GGGAAGATGATTTCGTTCTTGTGAGTGTGCGAGCGGCAGAATTCTGGACAAGTTGGAGACGTTTTATCGTATGTTGTGGTAGACCTACAAGTAGGCTATTGCAAAAATCTAATCTGGATGATATGAAGGCATGAATGAGTTGTTCTGCGGCAGAGAATGTAAGTGAGTTTCTTACTGCTGCTATGCGTCGTAGATGTATGTAAGAGGACTGACAAATAGAAGAGACATGTCGTTCAAGGTTAATTGACTTGTCAAAAATGACACCAAGATTGAGGGCTTCAGAGCAAGGAGCGATATGTGTGTCTCCTATGTGTATGTCAGAGATGTTGACTTTGTGTCTGAGGTGCTGAGAACATATGACAAGGTACTGTGTTTTAGCTGCGTTGAATTTGAGGAGATTGGCTGTCATCCACTGTTGGATGTCTTTCAGGGATGATTCAAGAATACGGTGTGTAATAGTGTCATCACCAGGAGAACTTGGACAGAAGGTGGCATAGAGTTGTGTGTCATCTGCATAAAAATGAGGGTGTAGGCCATGACGTCTTGCAATGCGCCCTAAAGGAACCCCATGTCGGAGACCTGACCGATCAGACAACTCTCCTGATATGTTGACAGCCTGAGATCGATCTTGGAGGTATGATCTGAACCATGAAAGTGCAGATCCCTGTATCCCAAAGTGATACTGTAACCTATGCAGCAGGATTTTTATGGTCAACGGTGTCGAAGGCTGCTGAGAGATCTAGCAGAACCAGGAGAACAACCCTTTTGTTGTCAACAGCGAGCATTATGTCGTTGTGAACTTTGACAAGTGCTGTCTCAACACTATGAAACTTAGTGTACGCTGATTGGAGGTTGTCCCGCAGGTTATGTTGAATGAGATGTGCATTCAACCTGGCTGCAAATACTCTCTCAACAACCTTCGACATAAAAGGCAGAAAAAAAAAGAAAAAAAAGGCAGTAGTCTATGTAATAGACAAAAAAAGGCAGTAGTCTATGTAATAGACCACGGCGAATGCCGTGGTTTATGATGTGTGAGCAGATTCGCTGATTAATTAGGAAAGACAGCCGCCTCTTGACCTCTAGATTTGAACCAATCAGCGGGCGCTTTCTATATCAGGTCTTCGGTCATTCACCCGTTGCGCGTCATAGAAAATGGATACAAACCTGTGTCACGCGCTCTGTATCATGTTATGCGATAATGCGCCCGGCTGTTGTATTACAATCACTCATGCATTCGAATTGACCAATCAAACCATTTAGTCCTGATTTGGGAATGAAATGACGTCACGATTTATTCGACTCCAATTGGCTGTCGTGCTGCTTACATATATCTGCATGTCTAGACATATCAGACGTTATACAGGAGATTTGGCTCCGTGGATAACGGGCGATACTCAGACTATGCTGTCTGTGCACCAGTGTGGCATACACTAACGACGTAAGTCAATATTATCATTCGGCGACTTTATTTTCAGTTCAAGTATTTTGTTCCCTGAGATTCCCATGCGCGATATTTCATTTTATCAACAGTGTATGGTAAAATGCTTATACCCAGCCAGTACACGTTTTTATGTAAATGAATTCATTATAAACTTTGCCCTAGTTTCATATACAAACAAGAATGCAGGCCAGCTTTCTGGCATGCTGCCAAGTCTTTGACCTAATTAGCCAGATCACCTCGCGCAGTTTCCAGCCTTGCACATCTGCACTCCGTTACCATATTTGGTATGCCAGGGAGAGATTTGAATTTGCAAATGTAAAGACCAACTTTGAACCAATGACAAATTTTGTTTTGTCCTATGTTGCTTGGTGAAGTGATGGCCCAAGTTGGGGCTGAAAGCGGCCTGTGCTCATTTTTGTTGCAGTCATTGAGACAGCAGGATCAGATTTCATTTTGTGCATTCATGGGTCTTTGTAGCTTCGGCCCTGCACCCAGCTGAAGTCTTGGGACTGTGTTTTGTACCATGTTGCTTCGGCTCTGTACTCAGCTAAGTCTTGGGTCTGTGCACTCTGTGGTGCCAGTGGTTAAGTGTATTTTGATCACTCGGTAGTGTTCAAAATATTGGGAGTGTGTCCCATGTACGAATTGATGTGACCTTGTTACATGCACACCACACTAATGTGAATAACGCCCTCAAGAATATCACCACTCATTCATGTGAGCAAGAACAGATGGCCGCCAGCATGTCAATAAAACTAGGTTCATGTTAAGTCAAAGACAAGTCCCTGTCCTTTCCTAAATGCTACAAAGAAGTATTAAATGGTGGCAACTGTAAACTGAAGACTTTTGTGAGTACCAAAGCAAACTCAGAAAGTGAAAAAATAGCGCCATTTTCAGGCCAATTTCGTGCCATTTTCGGGCCAGTTTCTCATCACGTTGTTGTCATTCGAACACGGTACATTAATTGTACTGAACTGTTGCTCATGTATTACTATACACGGTAATATACACGCACAATGGCATTTAGTTCAGCAGTTTCAGCTCCCCGAATGGACTTGGAGGCGACAGATATTGTCACAACTTTCGCAAGATTCAAACAGAAATGCGAACTTATGTTCTCAAGTGTCCTAAAAACTGCTACTGAGGAAGAAAGAGCAAGTTACCTGTTGCTGTGGGTAGGCGAACAAGGCCTGGACAAATACAATAGTTGGAACTTTGACAATGAGGAGGACAGAAAGAAACCAGATGTGCTTCTGTCCCGGTCCCAGAGCCCAGGTAAAACCACCGCATAAACTGATACAAACTACAGGACATGAGACAGAGTCCTAATGAAACTGGAGATGATTTTGTCTCTAAGATGAAAGCCAAAGCAGCAAAAGACAGATACCGTGACGACAAAGAGATGGAAGATCGCCTGGTTGATCAACTAATTTCGGGATCAGCCCACAAGGATGTGCAAAAGGTGCTGATAGGGAGAGACGAAAACCTATCACTCAAAGAGGTCATTGATGTTGCACGCAGCCATGAAGCGACTACACTCCCAGACTCAACTCAGACCTCCCACACAGCCAGTGCCACAGCAGAAAAGCCTATCAACGAATCCAAATCGAGACAAACTGGCAAGAAACGCGACCAACGATCTGGAATTACTACAACCGTGGCAGGAAACATGATCTACTGCCACGAAGCAACTGCCCTGCCTATGGTTCCACATGCCGTAAGTGTGGAAAAGCCAACCACTGGAAATCAGTGTGCAAGTCTGGCCGTCCCCCCCCCCCCACCCCCAAATCCAGACTCCGTTCCAAGTCTCCCCGTAGACGAGTGCACTATCTCGAGGAAGACGACTCCGAGGATGGATACCTCACATAGGCACCATTGAGGTCAGCAGTATTGGCTCCTCTGATGACACCAGAGAAGAAGTCTACGCAAAGCTCCACATCAATCAGAAAGGCAGGCGACCGATTATGCTGCGATGTAAAGTCGACACCGCAGCACAGAGCAACATCTTACCAGTGCACCTCTTCTGCATCACTGTGATCTGCCCCGACAAACTGGACAATGATGGGAGCCCAATGCCCGGTGTTCTTGGAAATAGCAACATAGCGCTCACTGCATACGGTGGATCCAAGACTAATCAGCTAGGCACAGTGAAGATTCCCTGCACATACAAGGATGCAAAGCACAACTGCATTTTCTACGTCACTGATGCAGTTGGTCCAGCAATCCTTGGCCTAAAGGCATGTCAAGCTCTGAACCTGATAACATTGCAGTGTGCTGTGGAGACGAAACCTGCAGTCCAGACCAACAACAGCAAACAAGTCACAAGCTGACAAAGGGCGACAAGTCCAATTTACAGATCCAACGGTGGTGCCCCCTGAAACACCGCCAACCAACCGGTCTCTAAAATACATCTCCAGCAGTACACCACTACACAATAGAACAAAAGATCAGCAACAAAGCCTAAATCCTGGAAATGCACCCAGACTGCTTCGACGGCCCAGTCGGGTGTTTCGAGGACTTCAAGTATCACATCACCCCTGACCCGGAAGCCAAGCCAGTCATCCATCCCCACGCAGGGTCCCCCTAGAGATCAGAGATAAACTCAAGGTGGAGTTAGACGAGATGGAAACTGCGGTCGTCATTACGAAAGTTTCCACGCCTACAGACTGGGTAAATTCGCTGGTTATCTGAGAAAAAGACAATGGCAGACTACGCCCATGCCTCAATCCAAGGGACCTGAATCAAGCGATTAAGAGAGATCACTACCCTGTACCTACACTTGAAGAGATCACACCCAAAACTCACCGGTCCGGTACTAAGATGTTTAGCAAGCTCGATGCCAGGAACGGCTACTGGAACGTGCAAGTTAGACGAGGAGTCCTCATACCTCACCACGTTCAATATCCCATTTGGCAGATCTAGGTTTCTACGAATGCCATTTGGTCTGCGAATGAGCCAAGACGTCTTCCAGCAGAAGATCAACGAAACTTACCGCGGGTGTGCGGGAACTGTCGGTATCGCAGATGACATCCAAGTTTATGGTACGAGTGAACGTGACCATGACATACACCTTCATGAAGCAATGGAATGCACAAGACGAGCAGGCATCAAACTGAATGCTGACAAGTGCATCGTCAAAACCACAGCGTGCAGCTTCTTCGGTTTACTGCCCTGACAGTAAGAGTAGAGGAAATGCAGCCCCTGGGAACAGAAAGCAGCTTCGCACATTCCTTGGTCGTCTACAAGCATATAAACTTGAGATAAGCTACAAGCCAGGCAAGAAGAAGGTTGTTGCTGATGTTCTCTCACGTCTTTCCCCCTTGGAGAAGCACGAAATTCCAGAGATGCGAGTTTCGCATACACAACATCGTGAGTGTAACAGCAACAAAGTTGGAGCAAGTACGGAAGGAAACAGCGACAGACCTGACCCTTCAACTACTCAAGCAGCAGATTGCAGATGGCTGGCCTGACAGCATCAAGAAAATTCATTGCTCTATCCGAGCATACTGGTCAGTCAAGGACGACGTGGCAGTAGAAAATAGTTCTTGTCGGGAGTAGAATGGTAATTGCGATCCTGCAACAGATCCACAGTGACCACCAGGGCATGGAGAAGTGCAAATTACGCATGAAATCTACCGTCTACTGGCCAGGAGTTTACAAAGATATTAGGAACATTGTAACAGCTTGCCAGCCATGCCAGAAGTACCAGCGATCACAACAGCGAGAGCTCATGATGGTAACAGAAGTACCACCGCGTCCTTGGCACACCCTTGGAACAGACCTCTTCTTCCATGACAAGACCTGGTACTTAATCATTGCGGATTACTATTCCAAATTCCCCTTCATTTGCAAACTAGATAACCTAACAGTCAGCACAATCACCAGAGTGTTGCGAGTTCTATTTGCTGAACAAGGTGTCCTAAATGTAATCATTTGCGACAATGGAACCCAATTCACCTCTTCGCAATTCCGAGCCTTCGCACAGCAGAATGGTTTTCGGATCCAGACATCGTCACCCCACTACCCAAGAGGCCATGGTTTCATTGAACGACACATCCAGACTGTGAAGAGAATCCTATCCAAGTGTCGCGAATTAGGAGACGACCCTAACCTAGCCCTCCTGTGTCTTCGCACGACCCCACTCAAATCAAACCTCGCTTCCCCAGCCGAGCTACTGAACAGACGGAAGTACAAAACTGCACTACCTTCAATAATCCATCCCCCACCTGACCGTGCAATTAGGTGATTTCCAAAGATGCGTCTTTTTGGAAATTTCCTTTGCTTCGTTTACAATTCGGCGAAGCCGTACATGGGTGCACGCGGTTGCTTTAATTCGTTGTTTCAGTGCGTGACATCGCGTAACTGCTGCCATCAGCGTGCACATCAGCTGAACAAGAACGTGTCCCGGACGCAAATTTCGGCCGCAATTAAAAACATGGACTCAGATCCTAGAAAAATTGTTTTCTCGGAATTTACATCATTCACAGAGCTAAAAGTTCCTCAGGTTAGTTGTAAAGCTCCGTTCTTCAGATTTCGAGCACTTTTGTTGCCTCAAATCAAAACAAAAAAGCACGAATGACAAATTATATACTTAGACAAGATAAGTTTGCGGAAGCACCATGTGAATAAATCTCTTTTGTGAGTACGTGTGGTTCTGAAAAGAACCGGAGGGACTCATCCATCCTTATAACATCGCATCATCGTTGGAATCCCTCATTCTCCTGACGACGGGCAGAGCATACTGTTCAAAGCGTTGAGTCCCTCCGATTCTTTTCAGAACCACACATACTCACGAAAAGAGATTTATTTTCATGGTGCTTCCGCAAACTTATCTTGTCTTAGTGTCTTTCCACCATGCAAACCTTCAAATCTCAAATTATATACTTTACCTTTAATATGAAATGAAATAAAATTGCCATATTTTTAATTTGCCAGATTCGTCAAAACACAGTGCAGCGACCCACCTTTGAGAAATTCAGTCACCTACATACACTCAAGTAATAACAACTCAATACTAAGTAATTAAGTTAATGCTCTTGTGTTTGTATTTTCCCATTTCCAGACTAGTTTTGAGTTCCCGTTCAGCTGTGTTGTTGACAGCTCTGCACATGATTGTCTTCCTCGGCGAATACCAACATGCAGCAGCAGTCAAGCTATACAGAACGAGCAACTGCTGGGAGATTCTCGATAGTAGTGGTAAGAAAATTGTATTCTGTATTAATTTGCTCATCCTGAGTTGCAAATACTGTATTCATAAATACCTAGGACAGTTAATGTATTCCTGTTGGTCAAGAACCCATCACTTGGGTGGTTAAAAACCACCGTTTGAGCGCGAAGTTTAAAAATGCAAGATCTCGCACTCCATGCCACATGCGCGCAGTATAAGCACCGTGCTGCGCGCGGTGTTTTTATCTGCAGCACACATCGTCAATAGCTCAATGCGTATTCATAAGAAAATAACAATGACGTCCTACCATTGCTCTCGCTCAGTCATGCATATGTACATTAAAGCATTTCTGAGAACGGTTTTCCGTCCAGCTTTCCGCAATCCTAGTGGACAGTGAAATAAACCATGGGTCGCAAGATCTGTATTTCGAACCCATGTCCATTTTCATCAAATATTTTTGTTGGTAGGGATAAGTTTAAATGAAGGGATACACTACAGTAACGTAAGTGTCTTCCATCCACACAGCGTGATACATATTCATGCAAGGGTGCGTGATTATACAGGGTAAGTCCAAAAAGCGAAACCCAAATGTCGGGAGTGAAGTTCTGCATGTAGCACTTTCTAAATCTAGCATATGAAAGTAAGCCAAATTCCGAGTACAAGAGTCATACAAATCACTCATGTGCTTTTCAAGTTACGGAATTTTAAACACAACCACCGTTTTAAAGTTCTGTCCACGGATCACATTAAAGGGAATATACAACATTTGCAAACATCGAAAAATAAAACTACCAAGTTTTTGCGAAATACCTTAATAGGATGTTGGTAAATGACAGTCTAAAGCATCCTGTAAAATTATGGCACCTGGTATACTTTCATTTTCAAGAAAAGTGGTATTTTTGTATCAATTTCCAACGCTGATCGGCCGATCAGCGTTGGAAACAACTGGCTTTTTTTTCAAATACTGGCCCCAATTGACCATTGCGCTTGTTTGCAATCGATTACAAACCTATGAACGGGTACGAGCCAGCTAGACTGGTTCCCTGACCTTACAATTCCCCAATGTATGTAAACTGCTCAATTTCTTCTTATATGGAGTCAGGGAACCAGACTACAGGAAAATGATCGTTTTTCTTGGTTTTTATAGCATTTTCGAACCCAAAACCTCCAAAAAGTCAGTGTAACTATATTTGCTTTATATTTCCAACCCCCCAATTCCATCCATTTCTGAAAATTACAGCAAAAGCAAATGATGTATATTCCCTTTAAAGGTGTGCGTTCTTTCAGCATTCGTATTTGTATTTGTTTTGCTGAAAGAACACTAACACTCTGGTGGACAGAACTTTAAAATGGTTGTTGTGTTTAAAATTCCTTAACTTAAAAAGTACATAATTGATTTGAATGATTCTTGTACTAAAAGAAAGCTCATGAATTGGGCTTTCATATCCTTGATTTTGAAAGTGCCACATGCAGCACTTCACTAAAACAATGGTCCCAACATTTGGGTTTCGTTTTGTTTTGGATAAAATACGATGTACGCTGCAAAAAAAACCACTGACAAAGACATCCATATAAGCAGTTGCTGGGCACACCACTCACTCTGCACGCGCCAATGGCAAACATGGAGTTAAATGGTGGGGACAATTTTATTGGAAAATATATTTTGTTACTACTTGTTGTCGTTTATATGAAGAAGGATTTGAAATGTGAATTGCTTGAAAAACACTTTGAGAAAAAGAAGACTTCCTTTCAGAGTAAGTGGAAGCACCCTGCATGCGGCGATCAAACAAATTCCATTTTGGGCGCTTAGCGATGCAAAGAAAGAAATCAGCCTGTGGATCTATAAAATCAAGAAATAATTGTATTGGCCTACTTTATACTGGGCTAAACGAAATTCAATCTTATTTCACCTGTTTCTGCAGATGTCTTGAGTGCAGCCATTTGCGTAAAAACATCCATTGGTGAAAGTCTGTATTAAAATAATGTCATCCATTTCTTCCCTTCAAATTCCCACTTTTCATTTTCATACAACACAAAAAAAAATCAGTTTTGGATGCCACAAGTGACACCAGTGCCCCGTCTGGCCAGCCAGCCTACCGTATCCTCAATAAGATCGATGAGAACGTCTACATTGGAGCCAATGAAACCCTCAGGAGACGGTTCCTTGTAAACAACAAACTGGAAATGGAGGAGGTAGGACATTTTCATTAAGTTTATATTGTATGGCCTGATAGCAAGGAATGTGTCGTATGGTTTTTAATTTTAAAAAAGGCCAGAAGACTCATCTCTAGACTCATCTCTAGACTTGAGGCCTGTCTTGACCATTTCAGAATGTGATCAACAGTAGTACAGAAAGTAAAACAAAGGAGAGAAATCATTAATTGGCTCCTAGGCAGGAAGGGAAATATTTGGGGGATTGTTCACTTTGATAATAAAAGCATGGCATTGAGCACACAGTCAGAGTAAGTCTCAAGAAAAATATAGATATAGGTTCAAAATGGTTGAAACTGCTTATTATTCTACCTATATTTTTTAAGGACAAATCTGTGATGGCTTTATAGCCAAATATCTTTCTCATGACAAACATGTACTTGACAGTGTTCCAAATTCCATGCTTTTATCATCAAATGAACAATCCCATCACCAATCTGCCTTACTATAGGATGCCGTTAAAGAGGTACAATGGTATAAGACGAAATAAAATATTGTTTCTTGTCTTAATACTCTCATTTCTTTTTACACTCAGATTCAACTGGGAACAATGGAACCCGAAGGCCTTGTCTTAACCTGTGAAGCAGTATCTCCAACCACTAAAGAGGTGAGCTAAAGATAGGTTAGGATTGTGCAGAAGATATTCAAATATTTGATAATCAACAAAATATCCAAGCAATATTTGTTTCGATTTCGAATATTACGTGAAAAAAAGGAAGTGGTCACAAGGAGATGATGTAAAACTACGGATCTATTACTCACAAGGATGAACGACTGTTCTGAGCTCATTTTTTTTTGGGGGGGGGGTGGATGCGTGATAACGGGCCTTAAAACCCGTATTGCACGTATTTTCTCAAAGGCTGTAAGACGGCAAACATATATTTCATCGTTTTGGAAAAACATTTATTTCGTCACTTTGACATCGTGAACGTTCCACTTGTACCATTTTGCTTGTTTTCCTGAAACGGAAATATTAATAAACTTTAAGCAAAACCACTTCTTGGGAAAGAGACTTGTTGCAAAATTGTTACAAAACAAATGCTCCAGGATATAAAAGATGACATTGAACAGTTTTTGTCGTCATAGATGGAGTATTTGCCCAAAAAAGGTCAAAATGTGACACCTTTTTCGTTAAGTTCTTTTTTATTTAATTTCATGTTGCATGTTGTCTTAATTGATATAAAAGCCGCCATTTTCCAGTTTTATTCGATTTGTGTGTTTTATTTATTCGATTTTGTGTGGTCCAAAAACAAGTGTTTGTTGGAATTAAGTTTTTGAATTGTTTTCTATGGTTATTCATATGTTTTCATTAATGTTTTTATTCTTCATTCATATATACTGGTGGATAGACATGGCTGGCTTTTTCAGTGTCACATAAGATTTTTAATTTATATTAAATTTGGTGCCAGCACCGTTTTATTGGTTGAACGTTCACAATCCTCACGTAGGCATGTGCAGTACTACTGTAGTGAGTCAATACGGTATTTCATAAGTCCTAAATTCAAACTATCCGGTTTGTTAGTGTGACGTCAGTTCATTCTAAACCACGCCCACTTGCCATTAAGTAGAATTGGAACCATTGGAACTGGAAGTTAACGCAACTTGAGTGTTTAATAGACCGCTTGCAGATGCGTTCGATAATCGACGCGCGAAGGCGCGCGACGCCATGTTGTGGGACAAGCGTATATCTATCTATGCACATTTTGTCCCATAACATGGCGTCGCGCACCTTCGCGCGTCAATTATCGATCGCGTCTGCAAGCGGTCTATGGGCGCAGGTAATCAGTAGTGCGCGCGCGTGTATGACGTTTGTACTAACGAACCGGATACCAGTACATCTGCGTTAGGCGCCACATAGCTAGAGGGCAATTTTGATGATCGAAATCGATGAAAATTTATAATTTTCGACTTGTTTTGACTTTGGGATTTTATTTGACCGAAAAGGTATTGATGAAAGGGAATAAATGTGTGCTTGGTCGGTATTAAGCACTCTGTGTAAGACCGGTTGGAGTCTGGATGCTGATAATTGATCTGGATGCTGATAATTGACCTATTGCGGTGTAGGATCGCATTAGAATTGCGTCAACGCAGCTTGTGAAATATTGTCCAATTACATGACATACAAATGGACGTGGAACGCGCAAAATCTGAGACAAGCAAAATTTACCATACACAAATTAATTACATAGGGTTGTTTAGGTGGCGTGGCTAACTCACAAACGGCAATAGGTAAATTACCCTCGCCTTCGGCTCGGGTATAATTATCAGCGTCCAGACTCCAATTCGTCTCGGGTAATTATCAGCATCTAGACTCCCAACGGTCTTAAACAAAGTGTTATTATTTTTTATAAGATTCACCCTGCGAACACCATTTAACAACTATTGCACATATCTTTGGAGCTTCCACAGGGAATATAAGCTCAAATTTCTTCTTTACAATTGGACAAATATCAGCCACCACTACCCCTTCTTTTATACTATTTTAATCATCTCTTTGTAAATTTGCGATATTAAGCGCATGGAGGTGCATGTACAATCCCAATAAGCGGCAAGTTTTAGCGAGCGCATGATCAGTCTATTTTAAATTTAATATCTGAATATTCGATTAATTCAAGTCCAAGTTGGAAAAATGAAAATATACTGAAATATTTGAAATGAACATCCCTAATTTAAGTTTTGTGTATGACTAGCGTTTTATTCATTACTTCCACAAGATAAAAAAAATCAAGGCATTATGGGTCTAAACCGACCATTTTGTAGGTGAAAACAAGAAAGAAAATTCTAGGTTTTACTCTAGTTTGTTACATTTATTTGCAAACCCTTCCTTTTCTATACAGACTGTCTGTTGGAACTTCATACGTATTGCAGACAAAACTAGTTCTGGTGATCTCCTGGTGTGTGGCACTAACGCGTTTAGCAGGCAGTGTTATCAGGTAAGTGTCATAATGGGCCGTCGGAAATGGACACTATAAACTTTGTGTCAGTGACACCACAACGTTTTAAAAAGTTTGGGGCTAAATAGTCAGTTCCAGTTTGGGGCACTATTTATTACTTTCAAAAAGCGTGCAATTACATGTAAGGGATAATGGGACCCGGCGAGTCAGTCATTAGAAATCTCAGAACCACTCTGTACTACCCTTTAAACGGTATATGCTAGTGAGCTTGAGATTTTGAGAACAGAAAGGAGAACAAAAGTATAGTGAAGTATCTACAAACCCGCCACACTCGAGAGGTACGTGCTCAGCAAAAAGTTATTTGAGGCTGCTAGCTCAGCACGAAGCTATAACAAAATATTCCCGTGTGTGGTCATTTTTTGCTGAGTGTCCTGCCTCGTGAGGCCGTGAGGCAAATATCTATCCTGTTCGATTTTTTTTTCGAGAGGACAAACTCACCGTGTGCGGGCAATCTGAGCTTAGTGCTAAGCTAGAAAGATTAACTTGACAATGAAAGAACATTATTTATTCTTGTTTATCGGTCGTGTGCTTTCCAAAATGGGGACAAACGTCAACAGGATTTAGAAGGCTTGCGCAACAATATTTTAAAATCACGCGAACGGATCGAGTATGTGATTTCATTGGGTTTTTAATCTATGTAGCTCAGCACGTACCTCAGATTGCCCGCACAGTAATTTTTTCGCCTTGTGAAGCGAAAAAAAAAACTAACGGGATAAGCCCAGCGCACAACTTTCTGATTTTACTGGTTCACCGGATCACCGGATCACCGGATCACTGGATCACCCGAACGTTTTTTTTTTCACCGTTGCGGTTAGACCGCAATGTTACCTGCACACGTGCCCTACTCCATTCTATACATGTAATCGGTCACACGATGACCAGGCACATGATGACAATCACGTCCTTCCTTGGTAAATCTGATTGGTTAACAGAAATATTGAGGCGGGGCGGGGCGGGTCCGGTGAAATCGGATGCGAAAAATCAAATGTGTTTGATTTCATCCGGTCGCCTGGTATACGATCAGATAGGTCCGAATTTTCAGCACACACCACTGTACGATAGCCCGATGATCCGGTGAACCGGGAAAATCGGAAAGGTGTGCTCCGGGCTATTTTGCCTCACGTCCAGAAAACTGAGCAAAAATGTACCGAACACGGGGATATTTTTTGTGAGCTACGTGCTAAGCATACGGCCTCGAATGACTGTTGCTCAGCTCTCGTGTGCGGCGAGCTTTAACTCCATACATAAACACTATTGGTATAGGGGGAAAAAATCATTTTGAATTAATTGTTAATAAAAACTTCAGGAACTACGAAGTCCATTCAGTTGGTTGCTGTGTGGTACGGTGATATTAAGTATAATAACGTGTTTATGATGCTGTCAGTTGTGATCAGAGTGACAATTCTTTTTTTTTAAATGCCCTGTGAATATACCTATACAGGCTGAGGATTTGCAGACCGACTTGTAAATGTTTTCCGTTTGATACACATGTATATATATTTATTTCACAGTGCCCACAATCGAATCTGAACATGTGCACTGAATTGTCCACAAATTATACCCAACTGACTGTGGTTCCTCAACAAAACAATATTAACGCCGAGACCGCTATTTTCAGTAAGTATCCCTCATTTTAACTCATTGTACGGGTATCCAACAAAAAAAGGATTCTTGAAGTTTACATAGGTTTATTGTACTGATCTTAATGCACATTATTTTCAACTAGAATACGGTTACCGGATGTTTATTTGAGTTGGTAACCCAAAACAGTACAAACAAATACTTTTTGCATAGTTCTGATCTTATAACGTTTATTTCATTTCAGGCAGTAATGCTGCAGGTGTGGATACCCTTTTTGGTGGTAGTGACAGGAAACAAACCTTCAACAGATATTCTGTAGATGCAGATTTAAGCACTGCTGACCCCATAGAGTTTGAGCTAGATACAGTCACTGTTGGAGAAGGGTTTATAAAGGGTAAGCTGGATATGATATTTTTCAGTGTGCCACAACAAGGAAATCAGTGAAGTAGCTCAGTGTACACACGTGTATACAGTTGAATATACAGTAAAACGCCGCTATAACGAACATTTGGCTATAACGAACATCCCCTATGGCTCCCCAAATATTAAAATATATTATATTTCGATATCACTATCATGAACGACCATTATAAAAAAAAAATTGTACAGATCCCATCGTGTTCGTTATAATGGCGTTCTATTGTAATACTTCACTGACACCACAAACTTAAACCTTTTATAACAGTGTGGCAATCATTAAAGACCTTTACCTGGTTTTAATAAATTGGTCGCTCATTATGCGTTTTCCAGATTGGGTTTAATGTTGTTTGCCCTCACTTCAGCAACCTCACTAATGACATTATATTTTGAATTTGCAATCAATATTAAATAAAGTGTGTACATTCTAGGAGATAACATTGAAAATGTTGGTGCCAGACAAAATGCAAATTTGGCATCTCAAAAAATTCTTTTTTTCTCTCGTACGCTGGCAGATCCAACCTTTATAGGGAGACCCTTTGAATACACTCACGATGACGGTAACGAGTACGTGTTCCTGATCTACCGTGAAACTGCACTGGAATTCACCCTTGGAACCAAAGTGTACTCACGCATAGCCAGAGTGTGCAAGGTACGTACTTTACCAGGAGACACAAGTTTGTCGTGAGCCAAATGTGGCCCATCGGTCTGGTGTTTATCTCTGGTTTCTTTAATACCATGAAATGACTGAGATTATTCCTATTCCCCCTTGGAAGTGATGCCAGTCCATTGCAGGTTACTGCCCGGCTAATGATGGTACACTTAGCTGCTGTGTGGAGAAAGGCAAGCGGGGGAGAAGTGGCTTGACCAAGGACACAACATATGGCCAGCACCAGGATGCAATGACCCTCTCACTATTAGAGTCACAAACCAAGAACTAGGCCACACGCCTACTTTCCCCAATAAACCCAACAAGATGGGTGGAATAATAAGTTTGAATATGCCAAGTTCACAATTTGCCTGTCAGTTGGCAGCTACGTATAAGACTTTACTTATTAATTTAAGTTTATCTTCAGCCTGCCTAGACCCATAGTCAACCAGCCTAAAGTTGCTGTTTTCACCACATCTTATAGGTATCTCCCAACCTAAATAAACGAGTTGGAGTACCAGTTTCTCATGTAAGGTTTCATATTGAATGGCGCACGCATTCCCAAGGAGAGCAAACAATATATGTGTGCAGAAACACTTTTCAATTGAAATAGTTGGTGTCTGGGTTTTCTTGACGAAGATTTTATAAAAAGTTTACTAAATTTGGAACATCAAGCATTCGTTATATATGACTTGAAGCTTTGCATGGCGGATGAGATAAAATAGAAAATATGCGCGTAACACCATGTGGAAAGAAACGTCTTCTTAAAAGAAGTGTGGTTCTCGAAAAGAACCGGTTGGCTGAGTGTAATTGTAACTGTAGCACGGTCCAGGGCATTTAAACATCTTGTCATTCTTAAATAATTGCATTTTTTTTTTACCAGGGCAGTGTCAAACAGAATAACAAGTGTCGGCCAAAAAGTTCATTGTGAAATTGTTCCCCAATTCCCATCTTATCCACTCACTGTTACACCACGTATAGAATGATACAGGAGGCACCGTCAACGATAAGAAGTTCGTCACCTTCATCAAGGCTCGTTTGGAATGCTCCGTACCCAATGGCGATGAGCCAGCATTTGAATATGATTATATTCGTAAGTATTCACGTTAGTCTTATGTCTTATCAGTTCAACATAACGATACCTCGCTTTCAATTTATAGCAATAACTAAAAAAAAAAATTACCAAAAGCAATCAGTGCACACTGTCACTTTTTGAAAGGCAACATCAACAGATAAACGGATCGAAATATTTCACTCCTTTTTTAGAACATGCCTTTCGTTGAACACAGAGATTCCAAAGCTTGTTACACATAGCTTAATCTATGAGGGTTTTTAAGAATAATAAAAACGTTTCAGTAAAGAGATGAAAAGTGTTATTTGAATTGCACTGATTTTAACTTCCACATAAATCAGATAATGTTAGTTCAAACTGACCGACAGAAATGGTTCTATAGTTTCCCAGTAATACCAGTTCCTGTACAGGCTCAGTGATGGTTCTCATTTTTTTTTTTAAATGGAAGAGACCCCCTGAGCTTAGTGCAGTGCATGTATTGCAGATCAGTTTCTCTTCGTGAGCCTAAATGGCCGGAGTGGTTTGATAAATACACGTTGTGGTTGAACACACCTACAATACAAGCCATTCTTCCTGGATGACATGTTTTGGATTAACAGGTCTAGTTGAAATGAAACTAACGCAATGTCTTTCGTTCCCGAGAAAAGACGGGGAAAAACCAGGTTGCCTACATCGGGTACGACGGATACGCAAACGTTTTTCCTGTCGTTTTCATTCAACGTACGATACACGTTGTGTGTGTCACATAAATTACACACAGCACCAATATAATGTGGTTCTAACACGCCCTCAGAAGGCGAAAAACTTTACGGCTGGAATCACAACCATCGCTGAAGAGCCCGATATTTTAGGGTCGCAAAATTGGACCCCGAAATTAGTTCTCACACGAACACAAGAATAATACAACGCCGCCCAGTTTTTAAAGGATAATTGTGTGGATGTTTATATCCTACTTTTAAATGTTCTTTCCGCATAAGAGCATTTTGTTCAAAACGCGTTTCGTTGCCGAATTAGGCTTATTAAACTTTAAGTTTCTAACGTAGTATGTCTTTTGTTCTTAATTTTAAATCAAGGAAATATTAATTAATCAATATATATACATATAATTAAGCGTTAATCAATATACTTGTTCAATATCAATATACAGAGGATGTTGTCTGGGATGCCAATAATACGAGAGTATATGCGGTTTTCACGAATCAAGAGTAAGTTCAAAGTATCTCGTGCTTATTTTACTATTTCGCATCTTTTATTCATAAATTATCAAGAAAAGACAAGGAGAAAAAAGTTAAAGATGAATTAAGAGATCAGTCTAAATGTTTATGAAGTAAGGAGAGGATTAGCACAACTATTTTAGTTATGAAATAAGTTAGTTATTGTTATACAAAGAAAATTCTGGAAGGGTGAAGTCTAAAAAGTCAAACAAACGTACATGACGAATCTTTTCAAACCACTTACACAGATTCGTGAACAAGATAATCGACTAATAATGCATAGACATTTTCTTTCACCCAAAAAAACTGAATGCTATGCCACAAGTGTTATCGTGTGTGGTGCGAATATATTGAATAGTTTGCATGAACAACTGAGAATCTGGATTCCTCAGCTACATTAAAATTAGAACTACGTAAAGCAAGAAATATACACTTGTTCGTGATTTCAATTAAAGGGAACATATATATATGTAATACAAGGATGCTTCTTTCTGAGTCGAGAAAGCATTTGAGAAGAACAGTTGTCTCAGTTTCTTTCAATTTTCTAAGTTAAAGCCAACCTACGTGCTGGTTTGGGTGTGTGGGGGAGGTTTCTTTTGACTTGTCCGTTTCCACAGTACGCATTCAAGCAGATTTCGAGGCCTCTTTTAAATCGTTCTTTTGGAGGCAGTCGAAAGTATAGGTCCCAGTTGTTCAGAATAGCTACTGTTTAGAACAACTACTTATCTTTAAGATGATACATTTGGTATTTTTTATTTCACGTTGAGTGTCTTTTCCAAGGCCTATGTAATTCACGCACGTGATCACTATTTCAGAAATGGACCTGCGACGTCAGCCCTTTGCCAGTACAGGATGGAGGATATCATGAATCTGTTCGATAACGGTAATTTCCAGGCACAGGTAGATGGCGACGTCCAAGCTCTGTGGAATGAAGTGCTTATGCAACGGAACCCAAGGCCTGGAACGGTATGTCCATCATTATGCCGGCTAATTTCAAAGACTCTGTGTGCAGGAGCTGCAGATTGTACACTGTCACCCCATGAGAACACACAGTATTATAAAGTTGTGGGACACTTGCAAGAATTGTAATGACTCGAGTCCTACTCGAGTCACAATTATTGGTGACCCGACTCAACTCCAGTCCCTTTGGGTAAATGACTTGACTCGACTCGAGTCACTGCGAGCAAATGACTCGACTCGACTAGAGTCCCTCATCAGAACACACGACTCGACTTGACTCAAGGCTAATAAAGGCAATTTTTTTCAATAAAATATTTGCAATAGCTCGAATCGAGTCACTGCCAACGAATGAATCGACGCGACTCGAGGCTAATAAGACTGGAGTCCCAAAAATAAAAGCAAAATTTCGCGGAAATTATTTGCAATAATTTACGGTGCAATATTTATGCTCACGGCACTTTGCAAATACAGGATGGTACACTGTGGACTCTTGTCGAGTACAAACATACAATGTGTCACAGGGGTGCAACCCTGCATTAAAATTCCAACAGACACTAGTGCTAAATGCCCATACTTCAAAATTCTTTTTTAAAATACTCGGAACTCACAGGTATCTAAGCTGCACAGAAAAATGACGATCAACATGTCATCTTTCATTTTCTTTTCATTTTTGGTGGGTTAACCATTTACTTTTCGAGAAATTCTCACCCAAAGAAGACGACCCCTATTTTCCCCAAAGCAGAAAGCTAGCCATCTTAAAAAACGATCCCTCCACAACATGGCAAAATAGCGCCACTTTCGAGCCCAATTGCATCCAAAATGCTCAGAATTGGAAGCCCCAAGTCCAAGCCAGAGGTAAATTGTCATATCTCTTCAATTCCCCAATTTTAGAGCTCTCAGAACTCTCTAATATAGAATATTTTGATTATTCATGAGCTTGGCGGATGGATTGAGGCCTATTTACAGATGTGCACACACAGACTCACACCTTGTGGTTATGGAATGCACAAAATACTATCCTGGAACCGACAGCGAACATCTTTTCCAATTCGTGGTTTCATCATTGCCTTTGCGCGATTTCTTATTAAGCTCTTGGATTCGGACTCCAGCTAAATTTATGCCCTCCTTTTAAAGATGAAACAGTTTTGTACAATGCAATTTGGTTTTGATGTTGTTCAGCGAAAAAGAAATTCTAGCCAAACCAGATAGCCTGAGGCATGGGTGTATTCGAAGACCTGTTATCGAGTAACCCACGAACAGTGTTTCTCGGATTGCTGATTTCGAACGCCCGAGTGCGTGTGGAGTGCAGCTGGGCGAAAATTCAAGATACCAACCGCCCTATCAAAACGCCGAATGGAAAGAAGGGACAATTAATTGAATTAATATGAAAATAATTGAAATCCCGAAACAGCTATAAAAAAAATGACAAAGACAAGGCTGACAAGCCCACTCTATAACCACGTACAATTTCTCTTTTTTTATCGTTACTGCTCCTGCACTAAATGAATGCTTTCAATTATATACACAAATATTAACGCAAATTCCGGTAGGGGCTTAAGTCCGCCATCGGACTCGGCTCGACTCGACTCGACTCGACTCGACTTCACACTGTGACTTGACTTGACTCGACTCGGCTCGACCTTCTTGACCTAATGACTCGACTACTCGACTCGAGTCACTTCTTTAAAATGACTCGACTCGTGTCACAAAACAAAAAAATCAGTGACTAGTCACAACTCGGACACTTGCATTGTTCTTATTATCCCTCTTCATCTGAACTTTCCTTGTCTTGGACAGTCAGACGCCGGGGTTTTTTTTTATCTCCTTTGCACAAGATGCAACAATAAAAACAAACTTCTGCCCATTCTGAATCGATTGAATTAAATCATGTTATGGACAACTAGTCTTGCCTTGTCTTGTACCATTAATGTGAGCACATCTCGTCGCCACACTCTTCGGATTATTTTTTGATATCTGTGGTCCGTGTTTTTTTAATTTTTATTCCCAGTGTAGTGCAATACACACCACTGACTATCCTCCCCTGTTACACAAGTCGGTGCCCAGCTATAATGCCATGGAACGAACTGGAGAAACTCAAGTTGCACCACCAGCCAATTTTTCCCAATCAGATCCACCCATACTTAACGTGGATGATGTTCGCTTCACCAGCCTAGCTGTCGATTTGCAATATTCTTCTCCAGTCTACTTTGTTGGAACAAGTATGTACATGTAATCAACGTCAAGAAATGACTGATGTTATCTGCAACTGTACTGCAAATGGGGTTCCTAATTGGATCATTGATTTCGCCCAGTTTCAGTCCGATTGACGATTTCTGCTACACGAACTTGAAAACAGAAGCAAAAGTGTCTTAAGATAGATAGCAGACATGGCATTACCAGGATTTTATTTTGGTGGGGGGACGTGAAGCGCTCACATTGTTCTTTACCTCAGTAGATTCCACTGCGAAGACCAAAGACCCAAAGCCCTACAAGTCATGGAGCTTCCAATGAACAGATTTTAAAAATGGGAGTTCCCAGGCCATTAAAGGAAGTTTTTAAAAAATTGCAAACTCTGAAATAAATGTATTTCTCATGACTCGCCCACTTCTTTAAGATTAATAATTATATCAGCAGGCCTGAGAGTTAAAAGATAGGCTCTAGTTTTGCCTCAGATTTTACAAAGAGCAATAACCTAAAATGTTCAGCCTTTTGTTTCCCTTTCCCATTAATAGGTGCTGGAAGTGTGATAAAATTTACCTCAGAAGTGTGCGACGGTATCAACACAACAACAAATGTCGTCGAAGTTTCAGGATTAGTAAGTAGTTCCATCTTGTTAGAATGTACACAGTATTATTAAAGAATATTCCTCTCAGCATAAAGACAAAGTTAAGATAACATTTATTTAAGCATGAATGCGATAATTTTATTGTTTAAATGAGGGGAACACTAATGTCAATCATTTAATTTGAATTTTTAGAGAGGTTAAAAACTGAGTGGGGCCTGAAATGGGCTTATCCACATGAGATATAATCGAAGTTTGTTTCATAAAGAGTGGTTCTGATCCCCCCCCCCCCCTCTTGGTGCAGCCAGCTTTTCATGTATGATAACCAATTTAAAGTTAAAAAAAACACCAAATGCTGGCGGAAACAAGTTGCTCAACCCCGCCCGATATACGCCACTGATTCCCCCTCCAACAAGCAGTACAAAAAAATTCTGCTCCCCCAAAAAACTAACATCACACCGGGCAGATTCCAAGAAATTCGCATGTGAGAAGCAGATGTAAATAAATAAGTGACTATTTTTTTGAAGAATGCCAACGGTCCCATAAATGGGCTGGAATTGTTGAAGAGTGCGGATTCTGCTGCCACTTTCCTGGTGGGCACATCCGATGTCCAAGCCTCCATCGTTTTTCCCTTGAACACCAAATGCCAATCAAGATCAGCACAAAATGCGGAGAAGTGTGGGTTCAGGTACCCTTACTGTTACTTCACCAACGAATCCGAATGTACAAGGTAGGTCCTCCTGAAGTACTTAATCCAAATTAGACCCAATCTTGCTTAACTGCACTCTAACGACTTAGTTATTCATAAGCATTATCGGTCATGCGGTAAACCTAGTTATTCATCAGCGTTATCGATCATGCGTTATCCGAATGCTGCAAACAGTTGCTAACGCCAAGAAAAAAAGGTACGCTTTTTATAAAAAAAAAAAACAATAGGTTTGGGGGTATAGTGGTCTGAGTATCATCCGTTATCCACTACATTTTATGTAATAAGCAGTTTAGGGCTTTACAAGAAAGGGGTGTAGGAAATAAACTTCACAAGTCTACGCCCTAGGAATCGAGCAACATCCTTTTAACTATTTCAGATTAGAACAACCCCTGAATAAATCCCTGTCATCTGATTGGTGGGTCAGTGATCACATGCCATTAAGTTATTTGGATCAACACACTATCCGGTCACACTGCAAACTTAATAAGAAGTTTCATTGTACGGTCACGCTCTTACATTTGCCAATCAGTTGACGAGTGTGTATTCAGTTGCTGTATGCATGTTTCACATGGAAAAAAAATTTCATGAGATGACTGTCACCGAATGTCATAAACATTTCTTTTTTTGTATACTATATAACAACTTCACTATTAGTCTTGCTGGTAATTTCAAGTAGTTCTGTTTACGGTACAAGTCACCAGTTAACAAAGTGTAATTCGATTGTCATTTTCCTAGTCAATCAGTTTGTAATTATTGTCTTTCCCAGTACAAAAGACTCTGTCCCTCAAGACCCGCCTACAGGTATGTCGAATCCTTTTTAGTGTGCAGTTTTGCAAAGTTTTGGCAAATGTTGCAATTAAAATAGTATAACATCATGGAAGATGTTATGTATAAAGCACATCGTCAATGTATACGTCATTATATAGCCTTTCTCCCATCAAGAAGACACTTGCCAAAAAGTCAGTCTGTGTTCCGGACAGTCAGAAAGGTACAAAGAGGACACTAGTCTGGTCCTCTGGGACCAGCAGGTAAACCAAAAAAGGTGCATTGACCTCCTTGAAAATAAATACAAAACACGAATTTCCCATGCGATAATGACCAACGTCACCAAAGGTGTTCGTTTCACAGTGATTGTCATGTGTTCCATCTCTTACAGAATTTCCTGATGATGTATTGACAGTGTTGCCAAACACAAATGTATCGGCCTGCCTGAACGACCACGTGTACTGGTTTTGCCATCTAGACATTGACAACCCAGCCATCGGTTCTACTCCATTCACTCTTCAATGGGATATAAGTACGTACTAAGGCTGGGTCTTATTTCACACAAATCTCAGTGCAAAGTAAATTCGTAAGGGTCATGCAAACGTGGTAATGAAACTGCTATTGTTGACGTCTTGAAAAATGGCTTCACTGTTGCTTTTGCGTAAAGTATGAAGTCAACTTTATATTTCAATACGCAAATTGTAAAAAGAATAGCAACTGAAAACTTGTTGAACAAAGACATGTCGACAGAGCCCCCAACATCATTCGGTTGCATAGGTCAGTTGGTAGAGCACCGGAATGGTAATTTGGAGTTCGCAGATTCAAACCCCGCAACATTCGATTTTTTTTGGTCATGTATTGGAAATCTTGCTCAATATGTATTTTTATTTATATGTATTTATATCTACAGTGGCAAGTGACCTGATCAAGACAACGAGCATATCAACTAATGAACTGGTACAATTGGACGTCATTGTGCAGAGCGGCACCGTAGGAAGCTACAGCTGCACGGCGAATGTTGGAGGCAGAGTGTTGACTAAACAAGTTGAAATCTCTATGAGAAGTAAGTCAATAATCATCTTCTCATTGCATTCTCCAAAATGTATTTACTCAAACATAAATATCGGATATATATGTGTGTGATCATAGTAATAAACTCAGACAACAGTCTAGGCGATATTTAATTTAAAAAAAAGGCTCAATAAGGGCAAGAAGAGAAATTTTTGAGTAGAAATTGGTAATTTGGGGTGCTGAAGTTGTTAAAGTCCTCAACGTAAGGCAACCCTTCGCCTAATTTTTAGCCCAATTTACGGACACCTCATTTTCCCCCGTTTATTTTTTGGCCTAAATATCAAGACGTTATCATTTTTCACATAATTTTCCATTTGTTTTTATCAGGGTAACTGTGCTAGTATGTGAATTTGAAGCTCATCAATACTGACATTTGGCGAGACTACTTGATGATATTTCAGGGAAAAAAGAAACTTTAGGGTATAATAGTAGCCGTTTTGGAGTATTATGCCCTCATATGTTTAAGAAAATATTATTGAAGTAAAGAAGTGTAAGTAGAATCACCAAAATATTTTTTTCCAAAACAACATAAATATACCCAAATATGGTGACAAATATATTACACGACAGATATTAAATATTTATGCAAATTAGGCATATTTCCACACACAAAAAAAACAGCTTGATATCCATCGTTTTCGGATTCGAAACCCCAAAATTAGGTAAAATAACTATGTTACTAACTTCTGTTATCTCTTTGTGCAAAATGTTTTTAAAATATCGCTTAGACTTCAAGGATTGTTTCATCAAAGTGGGATTTCTATTTGTGTCAAAAACTTGTTCGCGTTTTCAAGTTCTGTTCATTTATTTAGATTCCAATGCTGAATGCATATGCCATACAGGCTATAAAGTCTTAGCAGGGCATTTCCAACGATACACACATTCAGAAACAAAACTGCACCATTTCCTATAACAAAAAAAAATGAGGACATGCATCACACAAATGGTTTCACAGTGGAATTATATCACTTGGTTTCATGGTGACAAAATGCCTGTTCACAGGCATTGCGACGACAACTGTATCATAATGTACATGTGACACGCTGACAAAGCGTTAAGAGACATTGTTATATCAAAGATATAGGACCCATCGTGGATATGGCGTTTTAACCCCGTGGGGTGTATAGTTCGCCTTGGCTGCTATGCACCCCTCGGGTGTTAAAAACGCCATATTCTACATCACAGCAATTGTAGTCAACCAATATGTCATTGATGCCATATGATTACAAAAAAAATGGCATCACGATAGGGAAGGAGGGCTCAATAATGCCCAATCCTAATCCGAAGACAATTGAGAAGGAGATAATTCACTAGCTCGGCCACAAGTAGCAGGGGGACTTGCCACCGTTCTTTTCAGTTTGACTTGACTCAGGACTGGATATTAACAATGATAATAGTGGTATTATAAAGTGTACTTATCCACCATTATCGGTGATCAAGGCGCTACATCATTATTACCCTGCTCATTGGGCAAATGAAACATTCCAAATACCATCTCAGCTCCCTGTGGAGTATATACAGCTCGAAGCTGCCATTTCGGCGCAAAGCAGCTTAATTCAATCACAATAACTATCTCTACCCTCACAGGTATACCCATTTACTCCTGGGTGGAGAGAAGCAATGAGTGACAAAGTTCCTTGCCCCGTAGGGCACACGCACCATAGCCGCAGCTTGGACTCGAACCCACAACCTGTGGAATAACCCACAACCTGTGGAATAACCCACAGATCACGAATTCAAAGACCCAGACCTCGAGGCCACTTGTGTGGATGACTTGTGATTAAACTTGTAATTGGACACGACAACACTGAATATTTACAATATGAAAAATACCTCTTCGTTTGGATAGTTAAGATCCACTCCCCTCTTGAACATGTTTCAAGGCAATCGGGCCTCAGTTTCTCCAACTGAACCCCACCTCTCTCTCTACTACTGTCCTAACCTAATGTCCACCTATCTTTTTCACAACTGTCGTTTTTGTTCCAGCGGACTGTTTAACATGTGACAACTTTCGTGCACGCTTGGAAGAGCACAACACTCTTAAAGTGCAAAGTGAGGCTTTGCACATGAAATATGTGGACGGAACGGTAAGTTGGTTTCAACGTAGATGTGTTTTTATATGTATATTTGTTTTATTTCCCAAAAACAAGGGGGAGAGGAGCTAATTCTCATTTAAACTCTGTGACAATATTAAACAATATTCTTTAAAAGAGAGACCATTATTCTTATTCTCTTCTGTTTGTCAAAATGTCAAAATAATTGTCGGGGGAAATAATCAGAGAAATAATATATAATGTTGTTGTCGGTGTACTGATTGTCGGTAGGAAAAATAACTGAAATTGTGTGGAAGAACTGCATGATCAGTTTGCTAAGTATTAAGAAGAAAGCTTTGGCTTCAGCCCAGATAAAAAAAAAAGACCACTTCACTTAGCAAAAGCAGTTAATTATTTAAAAAATTAATTATGAAAAAGACAAAAGTTAGAAACACATTATGGAGAGTGTGGTAAACTGACCTCTTTTTCCATGTAGGGACAGCGTTCATTATTAAGTGTGCATCCATGGGTACGATCCTGCTACGGAATGTTGGTTCCCCTCATTCCTTGCCCGATCTCAACCCCTGGAATTTAGTAATTTGAATACATGCCTAAATAAATTGAATTTAATGAATAAATTGTAGTGCTTATACAGGGTAGATAAACAAAAAAACCGAAACCGGGATATTATTGCTAATTGGAACAAAAGTAGGACACATGTGAATCAAAGGGAGATATCCTCTGTTAGGGTTGAATCTCCTCTTTGACACCCTGTTCAGATACTTACATTCACAGTTGACTGAGCAGTGACCAATTTTATGTAAGGGCCTGTTTGGAGACTTGCGCCACTTTTCGTGGTGAAATCTCTTCTTTTTTCCCACCTGCCTTGATTGGCAACCATAGCCTTTCACTCTGTAACAATTGACACAACAAAAACCAGAATTGAAAAGTGGTGCAATTCTCTCAATGGACCCTTTCATAAAATTGGTCACTGCTCAGTCAACCGTGAATGTAACGACATGACCAGGGTGGCATTTTAAGGAGGAGATTCAACCCTAACAGAGGATATTTCCCTTTGATTCACGTGTGCCCGACTTCTGTTCCAATTTGCAATAATATCTCGGGGTTTTTTATCCACCCAGTATAACGTTTGAGATATAGTACATAAATCTTGTAGATCTTGTATATCTCGTAGATCTTATAGACGTATTATTTTCAGCAGTTGTTTTTGTGAGCAGACCTGCAACCTAAGTTGGTGTGGAAAAAAGTGTAACGTTGGGCCTCCTGCTGTGGGGGTTGTACAGCGCGCAGTTCCTTCCTCCTTTGATGGTACACAACTGCTGCCGGTCCCTGGAATATCACAGTTTTAGTGTTTACTTTTGGTAAGTTTGAAACTCTCCGGCCGGGCAACTGTTTTCACATCTTGATTCATGTGTGTTTTTTCCCCAGGGAACGTGTTCTGTGAAACAGCAGGATTGCGCAACATGTCCAGCATCGCCATAATATCTTTTTCTTCAACATTGTGCATTTATAAATTGATGAAGGTCTGCATGTTATTTTTTTTTTTTTTAGTTTATTAGCAGACACAATCGGTGGGAATAATCCAGAACTGCCAAAAAAAGGATCATTTTGGACCTGCTGTGTACAAAAATTGGCCAAGCGCAGAAAATGATTATTTGTGTTGATTTATAAAAAACCATACACAAATGTCACAATAAGTTTGCAACTTGTGGTCGGGTAAGTTTTGCTTGACTGGGCCCCATGAACAGTGGGTTTTTACTTTTCAGTTTTGATTGGATCTTTGGTCTATTTGAAAGGCTTAAGTACATATTATTACTACATGTATAGTCGGATATATCATTTATTTGCATAAATTGAATACGCAGAGAACGCAGCTAGTAAATTGTTCATGTACAAAAAGATGACTACATTTATTCATAAACAATCACCTGCTTTGATGCGCCGAATTCCATTATCTACTTTGTTGGAGTTTGTATTTTGATTTTGTTAATTTGATTTTAATAGCTTCAGCATTCCTTTGTACAGCCCTTTTAACACTTTTTATACTTCATTGCAACGTGTTTTGTTTATCCAAAAACCTCTGCCATGTAACTTTTAATTTTCTTTGAAGTAATTACTGCGTGTCACTTAATGACCAAAGGGTTACAGACAAGTAAAAGGAACGTTTACTTAAGAATACTTTCAACAATATTCTGTTTAATTAAAGTGTTTAATTGTGATAAACGCCCGTATGCTGTGGTGGAGAAGCCAAGTTGACTTGAAAAGGCAGCCGTGTGTGTCGGTCTAGAGAGGAATTAGGTTAGGTTGTGATTGCATGCATCTATATGCAAGCAGAAACCCAAGTGAAGAGTCCCACAGTACCCGTTATCAAATCTGTCGTAATGGTGTGAAGCTATTGCAGCACAATCTTAATCATTATAGGAATAATCTGGTTGCCCTTGCGCCCATCCCGGGAAGGGCTCGCTGCCGTCCTGACCGACACACTCCCAAGTGCCTTCAACTTCTTTGTCATTGCAAGCAATCAAGGCGCAGTAATCAGTGTTCTTCTTTCGAGCCAAATCTGACGAGATGCTCATTTCTTCGAGCGAGCAAGGAGCGGCCATTTTGCCTCCCATGTCTTGGCAAGCTGACTTGACACGTTTGCTTTGAAAGAGTGAAGCAATTGCAGACGTTCTGGAGCAATTGCCACTGTGGCGGTGGCATCTGACCATTGCAATGCATTGACAGTTGAAGTGATTGCTACAGTGCTAGAAACGTTGAATAAGAACATAGTGATAAGTTACGAAGATGGTTTGATAAGTTTTCATTTCTTATTTACCAGTCAAGAATCTAAGTATTGAGGTAGACTGATGCGGAATAAAAACTGGTGGTCGCGCAGAAGGAAAGTGAGTTTTTTTATGACGCCAAATATCATAAAGGTGGCAGACAATAGATCCTGTCGCCATGATCACTTTATTCCAGCTCTCGTCAAATAATAGTAAGGGGCCGAGAAAACTAGCCTCTCTGGCAACACGTCCTATTCACTGTTTCAAATAATCATTTAGCATCAGGTGGACAAAATTCATAAGTGCGGGGAAGAGCCTGCCTATTATTGCACCGCTTTGTTAGTAAAAATTAAAGGGGCACTAAGTCCTGAAATCCCCGAAAATTTGATGTTTTGCATTGTTTACTTATCCTATTTCAAACATGTGGTTGAAAGGAAAACAACCTAATGTCTTACCGTTCCCGAGAAAAGACGGGGAAAAAAACTGGTTGTGTACATCGGACACAACGACGGAGTACGAATACGTTTTTCGTGTCGTTCTCGTACAGTGTACGATATGCATGTACACGTTTTGTGTCTCGGGAACAGCGGTGACCAATCACCAACGCATCAACGTCCGCAAAAGGCGAACATTTTACGCGTACGAATAAATCACAACTAGCATCCAACGGCTTGAATTTATGGGGTCGCAAAAGTGGACCCCGAAATTCGTTCTCAGGAATAATACAAAACGCCCAGTTTTTAAAGGATAGTTGCGTGCATGTTTCTATCCTAGTTTTAAATGTTCCTTCCGATTAACATAATCTCGTTCAAAGCGCGTTTTGTAGCCCAATTGGGCTGTTCCAGGACCTAGTGTTCCTTTAATCACCGAGTAGTGAGATTAAAATGTTGTGTATTTTTAACAGTCTGAATTTATATTTGTAAGTTTTAGTAAGGTTCTTTTAAGAATTACTTTTTATGCTATTACGCTCTTTTTGAACTTCGTGAACCGCTCTGAGACTCTAGCTTTAAGCGCTTATTATAAGAGTTGTTATTGTTATACGCGTAACTTTAACAGCCCTAACTCCCTAGGGGGTGTGTAAAATCGTATTGAAATTGGGGGATTCAAAACTGTTAGGGCTGTGGAGATACGTTATCGTAATTTCTTCGCACGATGGGAGACATCAGTCATTAGGGAGACATTTCCTTTTCCCCTAATGCCTCGGTCTCCCTTTAGAGGCAAAATTTTACCGTCGCAATTAGATTATATTTGTTGCTCGTAGTCTTATTAGTAAACATACCCAAATTCGTGGGGAAAAGGACAAGGGAATATTTTGGTTAGGGCACATTTAAGTTTGAAAATTTTTGTGCACACGTCTATGGGGATGTCTCCCAAATGTCTAATCCAGAGTAATGTATATTATTATATGAATTTACATTAAAATTCGTGCTTTACTTGATGGTATTAGGCCATTATTGTACAATTGTTTTTGTTAATTCCCTTTTTCCCCCTATATTGTTGTTTAGAGTTTTAACTTGTATTCATCTTTCCCATTATTTTAAACCTAATATATCAACTGCTTTTAAGTGAGATTTTTATATTTTAGACTTTTGGGTTTGTAAGTCTTTTTTCTTCTAAATAAATTTGATTGTTAATCTTTGTTTATTACTGATATCTATGTTTATTTGTTTTGTTTTGTTTTGTTTGATTTCAATTTCTTATTTTGTTTATGCTAGTGATAGTTAAGTAATATGAACCATGGAAAGCTTTTTTTATTTAATAAGGCCATCCTGTATAAATATGACAGCAAATAAATACATGGTATTTTCATTTACTGAGTAACATATATAGGCCTACACTATTAAACATCGTTTAATGCGAATATCATCGCAAGTTGTTCCTTGCCAAGCAATATTCCCTCTCAGGAGGGAAATGTTAAGCCAATGTACGGAGAAACGTTGCTGAGGTGTTTTGTACATTTGGCAGAACTGCCATTTGTACATATGAATAATTAATTAGCCATAATTCCAAAACCCTTTGACCTATAGTCATGAAATTTCTTGGGTATGTTTAGGAAGAATTATTCTATGCATGTGCCGAGTTTCAAAATTTTTCGTCACTCGATGGCCGAGATCTTAGGGGGGGCGGAATCCGCCCCCCCCCCCCCCCCGGCTGAGAGTTGGTCAAAATAACCCGGCCCCTTTAGGGTTAAGCCAATGTACAGAGAAACGTTGCTGAGGTGTTTTGTACATAGCATAAGCGAAGACAGTTGCAGGCTTATTTGTGGTGCATTAGAAATGGATAAGTATAGACGCTGACAATAGAGGGCTCATAAACAAATTACAAGCCTCGATATTGGATGGTAAGCAATAGTCTGTGCCTTGTTGGGTCTAATTGCCAACATGTACATGTACTTAAACCCCTCAAAATCTACTGAGCTTATGCACCATGATGAAGAAGTCCACATTTCACTGAAACTGCATTCCATGGCATGCAATATATTACATAGTTACCTCTGATTGGGCTTCCTTTAAAATGTGTTAGCCCCGTGAGGGTCGAAGATCAAGATCGTACTTTTCACAAAAAGTGACTGCATGTAGCCCTATAGCTTCACCCAGTACATATGAACTATTGGCTTACAATGCGGCTTTTGTAGCTTACAATGCTCCGTGAAGTACACGCTGATAAAAAAAAAAATCCACCTGTTTTGTGAACTGCATCCTCAACCTGAACGGTGCAGACACTACGCACCAGCCTCCATACACACTGTACAAATATAACTAGCGCATAAGTAAAGGCGGAAACGAAATGTAAAAACACTTCACTTCTGACTACAGTCGAACCATTTTGCGGAATCACACCTTAAATAGTTGTCACACCTTCAGCCACGATGACCCACGCAAGGTTGGTAAATGTTTTTTACCTCTCTTACCGTTTTAATGCCGTTAACAAACCGACACTGTATAATTATAGGTATTACTTCATTGCAGTTTCAATCTCTTTGGGCCTGCATTATGATATGGTCAAGAGTTGAACATGGTTATAAGGAAATTGATGCTGGATTATGAAGTAGGCCTAGCTGTTGGGAATGCAATACATTAGGCCTATTCCTTATGTTTAGTTATAGACGAAGGTTTCTTTTTAAAAAACAAAAAGCGCCTGCAAAGTTTCTGGGCCCATCTTTCTTAGTGTAAGCCTATGTGTTATATCATTCCAAAATAACTTCTGCAACCTAACAGTCACTCTCAGTTCTAAACACCCATATTTGTAAATCTGTACAATAGTTTTGTACAAAATGTGATTTCCTACGATTTTTCTAGTTGATGCCTATTCCGAAAATTTGGGACTCAATACTGCGTATAAGAGTCCCAGCACTTAAGGTATCTGTAGCGTGCAAAAGTTTGTGTTGCGTAAAAAAAACAGTGTGCTTTAAATATGCAATCGTCTTACTACAGTTTCCTCAACTTTCCCCGATACTTCTGCCTTGCTAAGTTGCTGTTGTGAGTATTGCATCACCGAAAATTCTATTTTTAATTGATTTAAGGTAGCGAATTTCGCAGGCGACATGCTTGCCACCATAGCATTTCGATGTATGTGTTGTTTTGGCGTTGATTAGCCTAATGGCGAGTGACAAAAATGTCGGTAGTAATTTTGCCCGTTTTTCAGCACTCAAATTCCCAGTCGGGTTGATGCAATGTTTTCTTGATTCTTGCCGCGTTTTCCGTCTTCGTCGTCATTTTACTAGAACATTTCCCTAAAAAAAAAAAACACTGCACTCCATACACTGCACTCTATACAGGACATTCCTGTTGGGTTCCAACATAACTAATAGATACCGGTACTTGACAGAAATATGTCAAAACATGTACATTTATTTTGATGGGTACAGAAAAATTGACTTCTCCGATTTGCTAGAATATTAGTCTCAGTTTCGTTTCTGGATTTTTCAAGCCCAAAATCTATTGATCGTTATTACAGTGCAGTTCAGATCATAATAGCGGGTTCACGCTCTTTATACGAGACGAAGCGAGAGCAGCCATTTTTAACAAAAGTACGTTTCCATTGTCCAATATGTAAATTAGGGACAGTCCCAATTTGTTGTTATCGGCCTTTGCAGATAACTAGTGCAGTGCCCGTCTAAAATGTGCATGTTCGGGAAACGCAAATTGCTTTGCCGCTGGTATAGGTTGCATTCTCTTGCAGAGTTTTGGAGAACTGCTCGTGCAAACAACGCACGCTATTCAATGGTGTTGTTTTCACAGGTTGAAGGCACACTTACGTCAAAGTTTGTGCCAAGTTTGAAGTTCAACCACCTACAATGGTCGCTCAGTCGACTTCAAAAATAATGTGCCCGTGTAGATTCGGAAACATGGTATGCAGTGCTATTCACCCATTGATCCATTAGTATTCACCCATACTGGACAATGTATCGCCCTGCAATGCACGTGCGCGTGCCCGTCCTTTTTGCATTGTTTGCGTCATATTGAGCACGCGCGCTTTAGCTTAAACATGACGTAAACAATTGAAAAGAACGGCAGTGCGTGCGGGTGTTATGTTCTAAGCTATATACTGCCACGTTTGCCTCAGAAAATACTGCTTTTTGCAGCTTTTTCGAGAACCGCTGGTCCAAACAACTTCAAACTTTGCACTGCACATTCTGTTGTCCCGAAAAATATACCCGCCGATTTTCAACTTCATACGGTGCCCGGTTCTGGAGATAATCGACGGACAGACAGACAGACAGAGATTCCTGGAATTATAGTAAGACTAGTGCAGGGCCAGTTGAAAATGTGCCTGTTCTGGGGGGGCAAGTTGAAAATGTGCCTGAGCGGGAGGGGCAAATTGCTTGACCGATGGTAGGTTGCATTCTTGAGTTTTTGAAAACTGCTCGTGCAAACAACGCACGCGATTCAATGGTGTTTTTTTCACAGGTTGAACGCACACTCACGTCAAAGTTTGTGCCAAGTTTGAAGTTCGACCGCCTACAATGGTCGCTCAGTCGACTGCAAAAATAATGTGCCCGTGCAGCCACCACGTACGTGTACATACGGAAACATTGTATGCGGTGCTATTCACCCATACTGGACAATGGTATCGCCCTACAATGCACGTGCGCGTGCCTGTCCTTTTTGCACTGTTTGCGTCATATGACGTAAACAATTGAAACGAACATCAGTGCGCGGAGTTCTAGGCTATATTCTGGCGCGTTTGCCTCAGAAAATACTACTTTTTTGCAGCTTTTTTCGAGAACCGCTCGTCCAAACCACTTCAAACTCGACACTGCACATTCTGCTATCCGGAGCAATGCACCCGTCGAAAATGTGCGTGTTCGGAAGGGGCAGTTGAGAACTGCAGCTCGTACAAACAACGCACATTATTCAATGGTGTGAACGCACACTCGCAAGTTAAACTCACAAAATGTCGTCACCCCCCCCCCCCGGCACATACTGTGCAGTGATGGTTGCTCAGTTGAGTACAAAATGCATGTGCCCGTGCATGCCACTCACGTATATGTACGTACGAAGACATGGTGTGCAGTGCTATCGCCCTACAATGTGCCCGTCCTTTTTGCAGGGCCCGTCCAAAAATGCACCTGTTCGTTAGGGGCAATTTCAAAATGCTCATATCATGCAAACAACGCACACGATTCAATTGTGTTGTTTTCACAGGTTAAACTCACACTCATAGGTTGAGCGCACTTTGTACATGTCGCCAGGCCATCCCCGGCACTGATATTCACCCATACGCCCGTGCAGCTACTCACCTACGTGAGTAAGGTTGCTCAATCCACCGCCTACAATAGTGGTTCAATCGACTGCAAAATGCATGTGCCCGTGCAGTCATCACGTACGGAAACATATGGTACGCAGTGCTATTCACCCATACTGGACAATGGTATCGCCCTACAATGCACGTGCGCGTGCCCGTCCTTTTTCCATTGTTTGCTTCATATTGAGCACGCGCGCTCTTGCTCTAACATGACGTAATCAATTGAAAAGAACAGCAGTGCGCGCAGTGTTCTAGGCTATATTCTGGCGCGCTAGACCTCAGAAAATACTGCTTTTTTGCAGCTTTTTCAACAACCGCTCGTCCAAACCACTTCAAACTCGGCACTGCACATTCTGCTGTCCCGAGCAATGCACCCGCCGATTTTCAACTCCATACGGTGCCCGGTTCTGGAGATAATCGACGGACAGACAGACAGACAGACGGACAGACAGACAGACAGACAGAGATTCCTTGAATTGTAGTATAGATGGTCGGGCATGCATCAGTGGCAGTGCGCAACGAAAATAGCATGACTTGCATGACGTTTCGTGATCGGTTTTTCTCTGTGCGGGCCTGCATGTATGATAAAAATATGTTGCAAAACACACCCAACAGGAAAAAGTACATGATCTGTCGAAGCATGTTTTACGTTAGCGTTATAGGTTGTAGTCACGTGGCTTAAGTCCACATTTGGAAAATATTGTAACCGACTAGTCCAAAGCCCAAGACCTTGACGAAGTGCATCCTATGAAATCAGAGACGCACTTTTGCCATGGAGCAATCCTTCAAATTCCTCCACTTTGGCAAAGAGGATTTAGAAGGTTTCGGGCGGTTAATTTAGGTTAATATGCCAGATTAGTCAAAACACAGTCCAGTAAATCTTTGAGAAATTCAATTACCTAGAATCAAGTAATTACAACTCATTACTAAGTAAATAGGGTTATTCTGATGGTTTTTTTAATTTTCCCAATTCCAGGCTACTTTTGTGTTCCCGTTCAGCTGTGTTGTTGGCACTTTTGTACCTGGCTGTCTTCTTCAGCGACTTCCAACATGCAGCAGCAGTCAAGCTTGACAGAACGAGCAGCTGCTGGGAGACTAGCAATATTCGTTGTAAGAAAAGTTTAATTATTCATTTTGGTCAATAACCAATCACGTGGCTGGTTATAATCTGCCTGAAGTTTATAGAACACATAAACATGCGCGCAGTAACAATACCGTGCTTCTCACGCCGACTATTACTTGCTTGAGAATCACTGATATGTACAGCGTGTGTCAATAAAAACGCAGGATTCAAAGCGATTTTTTTTCTGAGAAAATTATGCTACTGGTGTGCCTAATTTGTTAAGGATTTGATTGTCCATAATTTCATCTTTGACAAGATTTTTGTTTGGTGGAATTTGGACTTTTGGTTCAAAAGTTATGACAAGTTTTGTGAAGCCCTTCTGAAGCGGGTTGGTCTGATTCAATGACCTTAACACGACCAGTTCAATGCAGGTATGCATTGAAGACAATTAAAGCAGAACAAAACTTTCTTTGAAACAACTGATGATAAGTATCACTTAAATTTAATAACTGGACTATCATTGTTTCAAAGCATCATGAATTATTGACTAATAACATTGATTGTGGACTAAAGGATTATGTAAGCCTAATCCTGCCACACATGTCCTTCTTTGTGATCCACAAATACTTTCACCTGTACTGAATTCAAACCTTTCATTAGGTATGTGTGATTTCACAAATCAGACCAGCTTGGAATTTATAACCCTTCTTCAATGTACTCTATCTCTAGACAGGATTGTCCAAATGAGATGGGATAAAAAGCATAGTGAAGAGAAAGGAAAGGTACTTTGAAAAGAGGGTTAACATTATGATGAATAGGGGTGGTTTATATTCTTAATATTTTTGTTTCTAATCCTGCGTTTTTATTGACACACGCTGTATATTGAGAAATGCTGGGCACACCACTCACTATTGCACGCACCATACCAATGCCCTGAACATCCAGTTAAATGGTGGCAAAAGTTTTATTGAAAATATATCGTTACTACTTGCTATTGTTTTATTATGTAAAAGTATTCAAAATGTGGAGTGCTATATAGAAAACACTATGAGAAAGTGAGGACTTCCTTTCAGTGTGATTGACAACATCATGCATGTGGTGATCAGCCTGTTGATCTATTACAAAATAGGGAATTATTAATGAATAGAAAAACAAATAATGATTATGTGCTTTTTGCCTAAACGAAATTCAATCTGTTTACATCTCTTTCTGTAGGGGCATTGAGTTCATTGGCCTGAATGCATCAACTTGTGCAAGTCTGGTTTGAAATAATGTCATATTTTTTTTGTCAATTTCCCAATCAGTTTTGGATGCCACAAGTGAGGCCAGTACCCCATCTGGCCAGCCAGCCTACCGTATCCTCAATAAGATTGATGAGAACGTCTACATCGGGGGCAATGAAACACTCAGAAGGGTTTTCCTTGCAAACAACAAAGTGGCAATGGAGAAGGTAGGATATTTTCATTAGGTTTATATTGTCTGCCCTGATAGCAAGAAATGTGTTTTTTTCATGAAAAAAGTTTCAGAATGTGATCAACATTAGTAAGGGTACAGGAAGTGAAACAAAGGAGTGTAGTAATGAAGACAAATCATTAATTGGTTCCTTTAAAATAGACTCAAGGCGAGTACTAACTATGGGTTGCTGCTAATGGGTCAGGTTTGGACAATGGAATAAGACGAAACAATGGATTGGTTTGTTTCTTGTCTAAATACTCTCATTTCTTTTCCCACTTAGATTGATACGCTGGCAACAATGGAACCCCCAGACCTTATCATAACCTGCGCAACGAAAAATCCAACTACTCAAGAGGTGAGCTGAAACTAAGTTAGGGCTCAGTGAGCAAAATATATTCAAATATTCGATAAGCAACAAAATGTCTAAATAGTTGGGGGGTTTTCTGATTTCGAATATAATATGAAAAAAAGTAATGGTCTCGTGGAGATAATGTAAAAATGCATAAGTTGCGTAGGTTTATCGTTTGTGGAATGCCACACTTTAAAGGCAAGCCACTGAGTAGGACAAATGTCAACCACCAACTACCTCTTGTTTTGAATATCTTTATTAATTTGCGATAAGCGCATAGAGGTGCATGTAAAATCCCATGCAGCAAGTTTTAGAGAGTGCCATATCAGTCCATTTTACACTCTAAAAAGTCCCGGGTCAGAATTGACCCGGAAAAGGGTCATGTGAGGCCTGGCCCTTTTTCGGGTCAAAAATGACATCTTTCTTGGTGACTCGTTTTCGGGTTATTTTGACCGGGAAATGGGTCATTTTTGACCCGGAAAAGGATCAGGCCCCACATGACCCTTTTTCGGGTCAAATCCGACCCGGGACTTTTTAAGAGTGTAATTATCAGATCCAGTTCGATCAAGTTCAAGTTGGAAAATAAAATACTGAAATATTTGAAATGAACATCCCTAGTATAAGTATTTTATTTTACAAGCTTTGTATTCATTTCTTCCATATGACACAAACAAATACAAGGCATTGTCGGTCTAATCAGACCAATAATTACAAGGAAAAGCAAGGAAGAAATTTCAAGGCTTTGCTCCAATTCTTACATTCATTTATTCGCAAACCTATACAGATTGTCTGTAGGAACTTCATACGTATTGCAGAACAAACTAGTTCCGGTGATCTCCTGGTGTGTGGCACTAATGCAGAAAGTAGGCTGTGTTACCGGGTAGGTATCGTGATTTATATCATCCCTTTGGAATACACTGTTTAAGTAGGGCCTCCCGCCCCGTCGGGAATGGGAACTACAAACTTTGTTTCAATGACACCACATCTTTTTAAACGTTTGGGGCTAATTTGTCAGTTCCAGTTTGGGGCAGAATGTATTAATTTCAGAAAGCGCACAATTACATGTTAGGGATAATGGGACCAGGCAAGTCCGTCAGTAGAAGTCTCAGATTACTACGTCTTATCCTTCAAGCAGTATGCTATACAGGGTGAGTAAAAAAAAAAAAACAACCCAAATGTCGGGACTATTGTTTTATTGAAGCTCTGCATGTAGCACTTTTAAAATCAGCCATGCGCGTCGGCAAAAAGAGAAAGTTGGGTTTTTTTTCACTAAAAGATGATGTCTCAAAACCGCCAAACTCACTGGTTTGACTGGAATCCTGCTGCTGCACAATTTTAACGTGTTTTAGATGGGGTTATGATCGAGAATAAGCTTTATGTGGCTTCTCTGGACTCCCATATATTTGCACTAAGTTTAGTTGGGCACCATTTGCAGACATCAGCCGACATTTGAAGCAAAACAAAACAGGTCAAAAAAAAGCCGTGTCGCCGCACCACTTTTTGGGCAAGCTCCATATCAGAAACCGGAGACTTTTGTTTGGACTAATGTGTTTTTGATGCTATCAGTTATGATCAGAGTGACATTTCTGCACACTGTTTACAGGTTGCTTTGAACATACCCGGACAGGCTGAGGATTTGCACACCAAACTTATGTGGTACTGATTAGTTAGATTAGATTTTTATGTTTTGTTTTACTTTGTTTTGGGTTTTTTTTCACAGTGCCCAAACGCCGCTCTAGCTGAGTGCACTCAATTAACTACAAATTATACAACACTGGCTGTGGTTCCTCAACAATACAATATTAATGCAGCGGCAGCTATATTCAGTAAGTATCCCTCATTTTAACTGATGGTACAGGTATCGCTGAAAAAAACACTAAGCAAAAAGCAAAATTACTAACAGTGAAATCTTCTAGTTTAAAGATATGTATTGTACTGAACCTAATATGAGTGATTTCCACGAGAAACAAGAAGACTGACTTGCTGTAGCTGACGTTTATCGGAATTACTATCAAAAGCAGCAATACGTACAATTAACTGCACCAACTACTTGTTGGCATGGTTTTCCACCATAGTTTTGTTTTGTTTTATTTCAGAGAGTGGCAGTGGGGATATGCTCTATGGTGGGGGTGCAGCAGAAAACACCTTCAGCAGATTTTCTGTAAACGCAGATTTAAGCGCCACTAATCCCATCAATTTTGAGCTAGATACAGTCACTGTCGGAGAAGGGTTTATCAAGGGTAAGTTGGACAGACACAGATGAAGTTTTGTACCCATGCACAAACGACATCAGTAAAATAGATGCATGTACAAAAACCAATTGCCCAGTACAAGGTATTGATGCAAAGTGTACAATTACTCATTGACAACACCAAGTTCTATTTTACATAATTTGTTTTAATAAAGTTGCCTGCTCATTATGCGGTTTTCATTTATATGCAGTGCTTGCATGTTTCCTAGGTTTAAACTGGTATGCCCTCTGCTGTGTTTTACATCACCCGCTTCAACAACCTCACTAATGACATGATTTCATGGATCCCTAACGATATTTAAACAAGGGGAAATTTTCAGGATAAGAGCACCATATGATAATGACTTCTGTATGTGTTCCAGAAACTATGTCCTGAAACATGGCCATTTTTGTCGCATTTATGTGGTACCCACTTACGATCATGTCTTTGCCCAATACAAGAGTCACCAAAGCATTCAGTTTCTCTTCTTTTTTTGCTCTACATTAATTTTATATCTGTGTTTTTTCCTCGTACGCTGACAGAACCAACCTTTATAGGGAGACCCTTTGATTACACACACGTTGATGGTAACGAGTACGTGTTCCTGATCTACCGTGAAACTGCACTTGAGTATACCGCTGGACCCAAAGTGTACCCACGTATAGCCAGAGTGTGCAAGGTACGTACTTTTATAATGAGAGACAAACAGCTGGAGCCAATGTCGTGCCCATCTATGGTATCTTAGCATGAACTGACGGATAACATATATTTCCCCTCGATGGGATGCTAGTCCATCTCCCGTAAGTCCTCAGTTAATGCTGATACGAATTTAGAGGGAAGTGGGTTTGAAGTGGCCTGCCCAAGGACACGATTATGACCAGCACTGGGGTTCAAAGTCCTTATCCTCAGATCATTAGTCCCAAACCGAAATCGGGCAACAAGTCCCCCTACTTGCGGGGGGGGGGTGAGTAAACCCCATATTTCCTATCTGCTGTCCCAAATAATCCCAGAAATATATGGGCGACAAAAATAAGCTTGGAATATGCCATGGTTCACAAATTGCCTGTCAATTGTCAGCTACATGTAAGACTATATTATTTCCTTCAAGTTTATTTTCAGCCTGCCTGCACTTAAACTAAAGTTGTATTTACCGCGTCTTAGGCGTGCCCCCCCCCCCAAAAAAAATGGGTTCCAGTTTCTGATTAAATCTTCATATGGAATGGCAAGCACATTTCCTAGAATAACAAGCAATATGTGTGATGTTACTCTTTCAGTTGATATAGTTGGTGTCTTGGTTTTCTTGATGAAGCTTTGATAAAATAGTCACTAAATTTGAACATCAAGTTTTCTATGGCGTTTGTTATGGAGAACAGCAGGCGTTGCGAATAGAAGCTGGACGTATTCCAAGTGAAACATTCGTAATATTTCAATAGTCGTTAATTGTTATTGAATCATGGTCCGTGGTATTTAAACATCTTTTTATTCCTAAATCTTTTCATATGCTAACTGTGACATCGGGGGAAAAAACGGGGAAAAAGGTCAGCCAAAAGCTTCAGTTGGGAATTATTCCCCAATTCCCACCTTGTCCACTTGCATGTTTCACCACGTATAGAATGATACAGGAGGCACCGTCAACACAAAGAAGTTTGTCACCTTCATCAAGGCTCGTTTGGAATGCTCCGTGCCCCATGGTGATGAGCCGGCATTTGAATATGATTATATTCGTAAGTCATACTTATTACCAATGCTATAATAGGGCGACTTTCCCATAGACTTGTGCACAAACTTAAAATGTCACCTAACCCACATTTACCTTATCCTGCCTCCACGAAATGTTTTGGAACACGAGGAATCGATCTAGACGGTTTGCAAAAGTGAAATTCCTTGTCCTTAGGGTCGTTTTAAAAATAGGGCGACACCAATTTGTCACCCCAATAAGGCCTGTCGCCCTAAAGCAGACGCGATTAGCAAAACCTGTCGCCCATTTATAATATTTTGTAGTTGTATTCACATTAATAATCTCATTTCTTATTAGTTCCAGAGAACGATACCTTGCTTTCTATTAGCTATAACTTAAAAAGAAACGCAAACAAAACTATCAGATTTTATGAGAGTAGATTAGATTAAACGTTATTATCCCTCACGAGGGAAATTAAAATGGCCTTGACAGAGAAACGGGTTATAAACTACTACACTACTACATATATACACATATTTCATGACGTTGATGAGTATCCATGTTGCTGTTTGGATATTGGACATTGGATATGCACATTGCTTTGCATATTGAATGTCCATATTTTATTTGGATATTGGACATTGGACATTCACATTCGTTTATACAGGGCATGTCCATGTTGCTGTTTGGATATTGCACATTGGATATGCACATTGGTTTGCATATTGAATGTCCATATTTTATTTGGATATTGGGCATTGGACATTCACATTCGTTTATACAGGGAGTGTCCATGTTGCTGTTTGGATATTGGACATTGGATATGCATATTGCTTTGCTTATTGAATGTCCATATTTTATTTGGATATTGGACATTGGACATTCACATTCGTTTCTACAGGGAATGTTCATGTTGCTGTTTGGGTATTGCACATTGGATATGCACATTGGTTAGTGTAGTGAATGTCCATATTTTATTTGGATATTGGACATTGGACATTCACATTCGTTTATACAGGGCATGTCCATGTTGCTGTTTGGATATTGCACATTGGATATGCACATTGGTTTGCATATTGAATGTCCATATTTTATTTGGATATTGGGCATTGGACATTCACATTCGTTTATACAGGGAGTGTCCATGTTGCTGTTTGGATATTGGACATTGGATATGCATATTGCTTTGCTTATTGAATGTCCATATTTTATTTGGATATTGGACATTGGACATTCACATTCGTTTCTACAGGGAATGTTCATGTTGCTGTTTGGGTATTGCACATTGGATATGCACATTGGTTAGTGTAGTGAATGTCCATATTTTATTTGGATATTGGGCATTGGACATTCACATTCGTTTGTACAGGGAATGTCCATGTTGCTGTTTGGATATTGGATATGCACATTGATTTGTATAGTGAATGTCCATATTTTATTTGGATATTGGACATTCACATTCGTTTGTACGCAGGGAATGTCCATATTTTTTAAACTCCAGGAGGAGGCGAAATTGAGATGCCCCCCCCCCCCCCCGCCGTGAATCGCACTGTTGGATCCCACCAGACGCTCTTCTCTGTTTGTCTGGTGATATATACACGGACATTGAAAATGCCCATACGTTTCTACAGCGAAAGTCCATATTTTATTTGGATATTGGCCATTGAATATGCACGTAGGTTTCTTCAGCGAATGTCCATATGTTATTTGGAGATTGGAACATCACAAGGGTGTATACAGCGAATGTTTTATGGGTACCAGTTCCCCCCCCCCCCCCGCACTATTTGATTTTACGGAGGCCAAGTGTCCAGTTTTAAAAAAAAGTTGACATTTCAGCACGGATGTGCCAAAAATATAATGCTGGATATATACAATGCCTCACCGACAAAAGATGCATTTTACTGAGCAAGTGCCCCTTTTGGTGATGCCCCCTCCCCCCCTTTTTGAAAACCCTTCCGTCGCCGCTGCTCCTCCCGGACTTTAAAAATGTGGACATTCGGTATACAAACCTATTGGGCTATCCAATGTCCAATATCCATGTAAAACATGGACATTCGTCATACAAAACCATAGGTATTTCCAATGTCTGTGTATCACCAGACAAACGGAGCAGGGCGGCTGGTGAGATCCGATGGTGCGATTCACGGCAGGGGGCATCTCAATTACGCCTCCTCTAGGAGTTAAACAAAAATATGGACATTTGCTGTACAAACATATGGGCATTTCAAATGTCCGTGTATTACCAGACAAACTTAGCAGCGCCTCTTGTTGGAGTCGTCGACGCGATTTAAGGCAGCCAGGGGGCATCACAATGACGCCTTTTTATGGACTTTGAAAATGTGGACATTCGCTATACAAACCTATTGCACTGTCCAATGTCCAGTATCCAAGTAAAACATGGACATTCGCCATACAAAAACATGGGCATTTCCAATGTCCCTTTATTACCAGACAAACGGAGCAGGGTGTCTGGTGGGATCCGACGGTGCGATTCACGGCAGGGGGCATCTCAATTACGCCTCCTCCCGGAGTTAAAAAATTATGGACATTTGCTGTACAAACATATGGGCATTTCAAATGTCCATGTATTACAAGACAAACTTAGCAGCGCGTATTGTGGAAATCCTTGGCCGGCGCGATTTACAGCAGGGTGGTCATAACAATGACGCCTTTTTATGGACTTTAAAATGTGGACATTCGCTATACAAACCTATTGGACTGTCCAATGTCCAGTATCCAAGTAAAACATGGACATTCGCCATACAAAGACAAGGGCATTTCCAATGTCCCAATGTGAGCAGGGTGTCTGGTGGGATCCGACAGTGCGATTCACAGCAGGGGGAGGGGAATCTCAATAACGCCTTCTCTCGGAGTATAAAAATTTGGACATTCGCTGTACAAACCTATGTGAATGTCCAATGTCCAATATCCAAATAAAATATTGACATTCAATATACAAACCAATGTGCATAGCCAATGTCCAATGTCCAAACAGCAAGATGGACATTCCCTGTACAAACGAATGTGAATGTCCAATGTCCAATATCCAAATAAAATATGGACATTCAATATACAAACCAATGTGCATATCCAATGTGCAATATCCAAACAGCAACATGGACATTCCCTGTACAAACGAATGTGAATGTCCAATGTCCAATATCAAACTTACTTTATTGTCTTCGTTCCAGTTGCTCATTGTACCATTTGATAGCTGCTGGAACGATTGAAATGCCGTATCGCTGTGTCCTGATCCTTCATTGTAAAAAAGGAGTTATACTTTTGTAGTTGGTTTGGAAGTAATTGGCATGTAATGGGTGATGTGAGTCGGAAAGAACTTAATTTTATTGCACATAAGAGATCTGTATAATGCCTCTGGAGACCGTCTCTTTGTCAAAGGCAACAACAACAGTAAATGACTGGAAACATTTCACTGCTTAGTTGAGAACATGTCTTTCGTTGAACACAGATATTCCAAAGTTTAATACCATAGCTTGATCAATGAGGTTCCTTACGAATACTAAAATCTCAGATAATGTTATTTCAAACTGACCGACGGAATTGGTTCTGTAATTTCCCAGTAATATCAGTTCCAGCACATAAACTCAGTGATGGTTCTCATTTTACAAGATAGAAGGGGCCCTTGAGTTAAATGCAAAGCACATATTGCAGATCAGTTTCTCATCGTGAACTTAAATGGCTGGAATGGTTTTATAAATATGATTCGTGGTTGAACATTATATTTAAAAAGCCATTCTTTCTGGTTTGCTGAAGATCTTCATCGAATCATGAATGGCTATGCTAAGCGATAAGTTTCTGACATAGTATGTCTCGTGTTATTAAGTTCAAATCTAGGAAATATTAAATATGTGCTTGTTCAATTTAAATTGATAGAGGATGCTGTCTGGGATGCCACTAATCAGAACGTGTATGCAGTATTTACAAATCAAGAGTAAGTTCAAACTATCTCGTGTATATATTACTCCTTTTATCCATAAATCAACAAGAAAAGACAAGGAAGAGAAACCTAAATACAAATGAAGAGAGACAATCTAATTTTTTTCAAAGAAAGGAGTGTAATAGAACAAAATAGTGATTAGAGATTCATGTTTTCATAAATTTCTTGTTAATGTTCAGCAAATTTTTTTTTTGGCGATTGATTATTCATTTTATAATGGATTGGGGTTTCCGTTACTTTCTTGCTATTGTTCAGCACTGTAAAACCATCTTGGTGTGAGAGAGCTTTATATATTACTGTATTGTATTGTATTGTATTGAATTGCATTGAATTGAATTGAATTGAATTGAATTGAATTGAATTGAATTGAATTGCATTGCATTGCAATGCGCAATGCAATGCGCAATGCAATGCGCAATGCAATGCGCAATGCAATGCGCAATGCAATGCGCATTGCATTGCGCATTGCATTGCGCATTGCATTGTATTGTGCACTGCACTGCACTGCACTGCACTGCGCACTGCACTGCACTGCACTGCACTGCACTGCACTGCACTGCGCACTGCACTGCACTGCACTGCGCAATGCAATGCGCAATGCAATGCGCAATGCAATGCGCAATGCATTGCGCAATGCAATGCGCAATGCAATGCGCAATGCAATGCGCAATGCAATGCGCAATGCAATGCGCAATGCGCAATGCAATGCGCAATGCAATGCGCAATGCAATGCGCAATGCAATGCGCAATGCAATGCGCAATGCAATGCGCAATGCAATGCGCAATGCAATGGGCCAGAAATGTACCTTTGTTCATGATTTCACTAGGAGGGAGTCTATAATGAAATACAGGGATACTTCTGGGGGGTTTTGAAAAAACTACTTGTCCCAGTTTCTTTCACTTTTTTTTGTTAAAGCCAACACTGTGTTGTATAATTATCTGTTTATTGTTTTTAATTTTTGACCTGTCCATATCCAGAGTACAAATGGAGAATGTGGGGCCTCTTTTAAATTGTTCTTGAAGGCAGTCGCAGGTATTGGTCCCACTTGTTCAGTAGGGCTACTGTTTAGAACGTCTACTTTTCTTTAAAATTAAAAATTTGGTGGGTTTTTTGTGCAAGGACTTATAGTTCATGGACATGATCACCATTTCAGAAATGGCCCCGTGTCGTCAGCCCTTTGCCAGTACAGGATGGAGGATATCATGAATCTGTTCGATTACGGTAATTTCCGGCAACAGACTGGTGGCGATGTCAACGTTGTGTGGAATGAAGTGACTACGCAACTGCCACAAAGACCTGGGACGGTATGTCCATCACTGTGCATGCTAATTTAAAAGACGCTGTGTGCAGAAGCTGCAGATTGCACTGTCACGTTTAATGAGAACACACATCAGTCGTATTAAATTGTAGGGTACTCATAGGCGTAGCCAGCGGGGCGGGGGAAGGTAAGGAGGTCTCCCCCCCCCCCCCCCCGACAATTTGAAAACACTGGCCTTTTCCATTCAAATGCCTTTTTTTTACCAGCGCTTACCCCCCCCCCAATATTTTTAAAGAGTGCACTTTTTTACTAAATAAATGCCCTTTTTTCCGAAAAAAGTGCCCTTTTTTTCCCGAAGAAGTGCCTTGTAAAATAATGTAATCGTTCCCCTTTTTGTTTCATCGGCCGTTACGGGTGCCTATCTTGAATGCCGCGCATTAAAAGCACCATATATAATGCAATATCGTCGGTTTTGAACAACGCCCCGATCCACAGAGGGTACCAGCCCCCCCCCCCCCCACCCCTACCCCCCCACCCCCCCCCCCCCCCCCCACCCCCCCCCCCCCTCCCCTATTTGTTTTACGGAGGCCAAGTGTCCGGAGAACTTTTTTTTCAATTTTACCCCCCCCCCCCTCAATAAAAGTGACCGTACTAAGCCACTGGTACTACTTACATAGATCTTATTATTACCTTCGTCAGAACCTTTCTTCGTGGGTAAAGTCATACAAGGGGAACTTTTCCCACCAAGTTTGTATTGAAATAGAATGTTCAGTGTAAATCAAATGACAAGGATCTATAAATCAGTAATGTATAAAAAAAAAAAATAGTGGAGGAATATCATCGCACGGTAATATTCTATTTTTATTTTTATTGACTTTCCCCCCAAAAGTTTAGATATTACCTTACGATAATGTTCCTCCCATTCCACTCTGAGTCGCTCGATATTTGTATGCTGAGTCGATGTAATGGAATTATGTTTATTCTGGTGACAACTACAGCCTTGCGTTGTCTTGTACATTTTACTTTGAGCACATCTCATTGCTAAACTATTTGTAGTTTCTTATGCAGATGTAAGCCTATATTTATAATGCATATTGTTTATTTTGTTGTTTACCTGTCAGTGTTATGAAGTCCACACCACTGACTATCCTCCGCTGCTAGATAAGTCGGTGCCCAGCTATAATGCCAAGGAACAAACTGGAGGAACTCAAGTTGCACCACCATCCAATTTTCACAAATCAGATCCGCCCATACTTTATGTGGACGATGTTCGTTTCACCAGCCTGGCTGTCGACTTGGCTGTCGACTCTTCTGCGGTGTACTTCGTTGGAACAAGTACGTACCTGTAATAAGCGTCAAGATATAGCGTCGAATGCATTTCAAATTGGGTTACAGATTGGGTTCTTGATTTGGTTCAAATTTTTGTCCGAAATTGGGAAGTCTTCAAACTGATGCTTTTTCATAGTACACGAACTTGAAAACAGAAGAAAAAGTCTCTTCAGCGGGGGCATGTAGCACTCGCATCGTTATTAGACTGAAGTAGATTCCAATGCTAGCACCAAAGACCTAAAGCCCTACAACCTAAGGACCTTCCCATGAAAACCTTTCAAAAATGGGAGCAGAGTTCTGAGATTATCCAAGTTCAGAAAAATACTCAAATCTAAATAGGCAAATTTCTCATGACATATTGTGGCGGAATCTCCCGAGGTCAATTGAAACCAGAGGTCAGGGAAGGCAATCACCGACTGAGGTGAAAGTTCCCCTAACCTCAAACTATGTTTTCTGCCTCGAACCTAGGGAAGTTTTCGAGCAGCCTCTAGGCCCAGGGATGCAAGCTCGTTTTGGTGGAAATCTACCGCCCAGTTGGATACTGATTACCAGGCCCTGTTACTCTAGTACAGAACAGAACAAACAGACGAAGAAACTGCAGAAATATTGGACACTGGGATACACAATTCTCTTTGTGGAAAGGAAATGATTGGTTTATTTAATCACGGACAATTCTGACTTGATTGGGAACTCTTTGATTTATAAGGTTATTATCGTTGGATTGTTATGATTGTATAAGTTTGAGCGCCTTAGCTGATCAGTATACGACAAAACCCGTGTGACAATAAACTTGACCGAGTACAGTTATTGACTACCTGTGACTATTCCTCCCAGGCCTCTATGTCAACCTCTGGGTCGACCCTCTATGTTATCGCACGTCTCTGTGAACCCACGACAACAATCCTTATGCCTGTACTTAGTCACCCTACTCTGTAAGTCAAACACTCAACTGCAACAATTGCGCAAACATGCACTGAATTACACGATAAAGCAATTCGGTCCTACCAGGCTAACTGGGTCACACCACGGGGCTCTGCGCTCCGTACAATCGCTCAACCACGGTACGAGAAGTCAGGCCGAAACAGCGTCAACACCGGTACACTGCACCACACACGGCCTCGCCAAAGCAAACGCTAGCTTCGTCACGGACAATGGCAATTTCACTTGTACACTACTACTGAACCCGCTCCATTCACAGAACTGAGGAACAACTTACGCAACTCACGCAACTGAACCAACTGAACCAACTGAACTCAACTGAACTGATTCACGCCCGGCCGACCATGCGCTCAAGTACCACGGCAAGGGTAGCGGGGCCACGCCCAATCACGCCGTGATTGGCCGCCAACCCTTCACCTCTGCCCGGTAACACCAATCACGCATACGCGGATACGGGAAACACAGATCGCAAGTGCGGTCACGGCCTGCCTCGCCCCGCCCAGCAACAGCGAGCGCGCTCCGATTGGCGGCCACTCCCGCCAAAACCACGAGACATTGTCCGCTGACACGACCTGACTTCCTTGCCAAGAAATTACAAGTAAACACTACCAAATAAGGGGAATTAGACTGGTGTCGGCCCACCCCATCACGCCACACAGGCCCGAGCAGAGCTTGGACTGTCCCAGTCCAAACCAGCTCGAACCCAGTCACGAGATGGGTGACCGGCACCAGTCTAGCTAATTAAATATGCACAAGCTTTTTAAACTTCACGTAAAATTCACTCTTATGTTTTTCGTTATAGAAAACTAAACTTATGATTTCTCTTTATACAAAACCAAACTTATGTGTTCCTTTATACAAAAATAAACTTAATGTTTTTCAGTTACACAAAAACCAAACTATGTGTTTCTTTGGCACAGAATGAAGCTTATGTTTTCCTTTATACAGCATTAATCTTATGTTTTCCTTTACACAAAACTAATGTTATGTTTTTCTTTACACAAAACTAAGTCTTTGTTTTTCTTTATACAAAACTTAGCTTATACATGGTAAAGTTTTCCTTACAATGAATTTGAACCACACAATTTATTTAGAAATCATGAATCCTCGGCAAAGATAAAAGCACTTTTCCTGATTGTTTTTCTTTTTATACAAGGAAATGTTTTGTATCAACAGATTACAATTTATGCAGATAATTTTAGGGATAAGACAGATGGAAAATCACACTTAAACTCGAATAGTATCCAAAATTAACTGGGAATCATTTTAACCAATGGACGGATTTCTTTTCAAACAAGATGAAGGCAATAATCACTGATTTTAAAACTGTAAAGATAAAATAACTTCTCTTTTACACACTAAATAACACTAACAAAACTTCTTTCAACTGTTAAAACTAAAAACAACTACTAACACTAGATAAACTTTAACTGGCCCTAAGGACTTGCTAGTTGGGTCCCGTCTTCCTGAGGATCATCCAGTGCAGCGTCCAGCTCTGTCTCTTGCAGATGCTCGATGACCTCGTCGTTTCTCTTAACGACCCTGTTGCGGTACATCACTTCGGTGGTCGTCCTTACTCGGATTGTGATGAGTCTCCTTATCTTCAACGGAGGTGAGTCACGACCACTTCGGGAGGGGGAGGGGGTCATCTCTTCTAGGGGTGGCATAGATGAGTCAAAGTCTGCCACTCTACCGGTATCTTACAGGCAGGCGGTGCTCTCTCCTCGGGTTCCTCCGAGACATACTGGTCCTCTCTGGCACTCTGATGGGGTCAACCTCTATCTGAACATCTCCATTTTCTACCGGAGCTTCTATTTCCGGTTCTTCTTGCTCTATTTGCTCTGTTATCTCTGTTTTCTCTGTTTCCTCAACATGAGGAGTCTCTTCTGTCACTTCGACTCGAGGGTTTTCTCCTGCTCTATCAATCTGAGGAGCTTCTTCACATGCTTTTGGAGAGTGACTCCAGGGTACCAGTTTCTCACCCTGGTATGGCTTCAGTCTGTCAGAATGCACCACTTTCATTTTTCCCCCTTTCCGTATCTGTATTCGGAAGGTCACATCTGACAATCTCCTAACTATCAGTCACGGTCCCTCCCATCTCAACTGCAATTTAGGGGACAACTGTTTCTTCTTAGCCGGGTTGTGTAGCCAGGCAAACTCTCCTTCTTTCAACCCTTTATGGGTGGCTCTTCTGTCATAGTTTCTCTTCTGTCTTTCGGAGTTTTTCCCTAGACAGTCTCTAGCCCTCTGATGTGCACTCTGCAAATTTCTTCGCAACTCTTCTGCAAAGTCTGTCCGAGTGTCAAACCCTGTCTCTGGACTACCGGTGACCAGGTCAACTGGTATACTGACTTCTCGCCCCAACATCATTATATTGGGGGACTCCCCTGTGGAATCTTGTGGGGTGCATCTATACGCAAAGGTTGCATAAGGGAGGAATCTATCCCAGTCTCTATGCCTCTTCTGTGGGTCAATCAGCACAGCCACCATGTTTACTAGTGTCTTGTTAAACCGTTCGACCATACCATCCGATTTAGGATTGTATGCTGTCGTTCTTGTCTTTGTGATTCCTAAGACCTTGCACATTTCTGTGAAGACTTCTGACTCAAAATTGGTGCCCTGATCAGAATGGAGTTCTTGTGGTACTCCAAATCTACACACGAACTCTTGCACCAGTTTGAGTGCTACTGTACCCGCCGTTGCGTCAGGCAATGGATAGGCCTCCATCCATTTTGTACAGTAATCACCCACTACGAGAATCCACTGGTTCCCACTCTCCGTTTTGGGTAGTGGCCCGAGCAAATCTATGGCCACTCTCTCTACAGGCACTCCCACTCTATATTGTTGCAAGGGTGCAATCCCTTTCTTCGCAGGGGACTTTCTTCTTGCACAGAGGTCACAACCCCTTATGAAGGAGCGAACATCTGCGGACATACCTGGCCAAAAGTATCTTCTCTTTACTTTGGCAAGGGTTTTCTTTATGCCCAAATGACCACTAAGCAGTCCACCGTGCACCTCCCTCAGGGTTTCTTTCCTCAAACTATGTGGCAACACTAGTAACCATATCACGACTCTACCGTCATCAGACTCCCACCTTTTATGCAACAACTTCTCTCTCACACTCAACTGGTCCCAGTAGGACCAATACGTCTTATGGGCCGCCGTCAAATGGGAAATCTCTACCCACTCCGGGCGATCTTTGCTCTCTTCCTTGGCCTCTAAGGCCCAACGTATCGTCTCATCTTCTAACTGGGCTTTCCTTACAGCCTCTAGTGGGACACTTGGTTTGGCCTCTATGCCTCTAACCAATGTCTTGTCCTCTTGTGACGTCACTTCCTCTCGACCACATTGTCTACAGGGTTGCCTAGACAACCCGTCCGCGTTGCCGTGCTTCTTTCCAGCTCTATGCTGTACTTCTATGTCATACTCTGAAATCACCTCAAGCCATCTCGCCATCTGTCCTTCCGGATTCTTAAAATTAAGGATCCATCTCAACGCACTATGGTCGGTTCTGACAGTGACTTTCCTACCGTACAAGAACTGTTTGAAGTTCTTTAAGTACACCACTACTGCCAATAACTCCCTGCGTGTGACGCAGTAGTTTCGCTCTGGTCTGGTTAACTTACGGCTGGCATACGCCAACACTTTCTCTTCTCCCTCTTGTATTTGGGACAACACCGCTCCGATACCGTCGCCACTTGCGTCAGTATCGAGGATGAAGTCTCCCTCTGGAATGGGGTAGGACAAAATGGGGGCTCTTTGAAGTCTACTCTTGAGGTCATCAAACGCACTTTGGCATGATTCGCTCCACTCAAACTCCCTTGACTTCTCTGTCAAGGCATGCAAAGGACTGGCTATCTCTGCAAAACCTTGAATGAACTTTCTGTAATAGGATGCAAGGCCAAGAAAGCTCCTTACATCCTTCACGCTCTTGGGAACAGGCCACTTGGCTACCGCCTCAACTTTCTTTGGATCCGTGGCCACGCCTTCGGATGACACTATGTGCCCTAAATAGGCCACTGACTCTTCAAACAAATGGCATTTGCTTGGCTTTAACTTCAGTCCTGCATTCCTCAATCTATTGAACACAAGCCTGAGCCTATCTATCATCTCTGCGACTGTTCTACCATAGACAATAATGTCATCCAGGTAGATCAACAGGATTTCCCATTGGAGTCCTGCCATCACCTTCTCCATTAGTCTTTCAAATGTAGCCGGGGCATTACAGAGCCCAAATGGCATACATTTCCATCTGTACAAACCATTTCTAACAACAAATGATGACTTCTGGCTGGCGTCGTCATCCAAGGCGACCTGCCAATATCCAGAGGCCAAATCAAGTGTTGAAAACCACTTGGCACCTCCTAACGCATCGAGAGTCTCGTCAATGCGAGGTACCGGATACGCGTCTTTGATGGTTACCGCGTTTAACTTTCTGTAGTCGATACAGAAACGCTTGGTACCATCTTTCTTGTTTACCAACACTACATTTGCTGCCCACGGACTATCCGAGGGTTCTATCACACCTCTTTCCTCCAGGTCAATGACCTGTCTCTGTATCTCTCTCTGGACACAGTCGGGGTGTCGTCTCGGTCTCTCTTTTATTGGTCTCGCTTCTCCAGTATCAATGTGATGCCTCACGGCATCAGTTGCACCAATATCCTGCTCACTGCTGGAGAAAACATCCTGAAACTCTATCAAGCACTCCTTAACTTGACCATGATAGTTGGTCTCTACATGGTTTCTACTCCTTGCATACAAGTCTTGCAAATATGGGGGCAAGCCCTCCTTTGCTTCTTCAGACTCATGTGCCTCACCTCTTATTGTCTCAGGGTCCACGGTGGAAATTAATCCCACAGTGGTCCCTTTTCGCGCCACTCTTTTCTCTTTTCCTGGGTTGAACAGCCGCAACGGAACAATTTGGTTCCCTGACTCCACTAGTGACCTGGCTAACACCAAGCCTTTCTGGGCTAAATCTCCGCCCCCCTCTAGCGGTTCCACTATGGCTGGGCCAGCCCACTCTTTTCCTCTGTGAGCAATAGTGCCAGGCACTACTGCCTCAGAACCAGATGGAATCACGGTTGCTTCAGCAATTACCACTCTCCCAACAAATGGCTCTCCAGCACTACTAGTGCATTTAATTCTCTCGCCATTTATTCTCCACTCTTTGGTGTGGAAATCCAAGTTACCCCCTGTGGGCAACAAGAAATCCATCCCCAGAATTCCGGGATACTTCATCTCTGTAAAAATCGCCCTGACTGGGTGCGTTGTTCGTCCAACTTGAACTTCGACCCAGGCGACTCCTAACACCGACAGGGAACTTCCATCCACCTGTTTCACTTTCACATTGTCTGACTCTAAGACTGGTCTCTGTTCCTTGGGTATCTCATAATACACTGTGCTACTAATTAATGTATCTGTGGCACCAGTGTCAACCAAAAATTGGCACTTGGTTTTTCTCACTACACCCTCTACAAACAAACCAAAGCGGGCATCACTCTTTGGGTTCGGTAACGTAATTACCTTTCCCTCCTCATACTTTCGCCGCTTCTCTCCTATGGCCCCCTTGCAATCTCTCCATCGTCTCTTTGCCCCTCTAGCACTTCCGAGGTGCCTACGGGCCCCTCGAGCAGCTGGCTCGACTTTTCCTGCCCCAGGCTCTCCCCCTGAGGGTCTGTTACAGTCTCTGGCAATGTGGCCGTGCTCTCCGCAATTGAAACACTTCCAGCCATCACGCTTTGGACTACTCTTCTTTGGTTTCTTGCACTCTCGCGCAAAGTGACCTCGCTCCCCACAATTGAAGCATTTCCTAACACTTTGCTCACTCCTTTGTGACTTCTGATCAGCAGGTTTCCCCACTAGGTCACTCTTTTCCTGGATTTGTTTCGTTAACTCTGTTAACAGTCCAGCCAAACTTTTCATTCCATTCTCCAATTCGTGGATCCTCTGTTCCACCCCGGTATCTAACACTCTAGCCAACCTCGGAGGCTTTCCATCGAGCATTCTCTGTTGCTCGACTTTTTCGAAATTCTCTGTTTCTATTGCAGCTCGAATGGCCTCATCTAAATTTTCAGGACGAGCCCTGTTTATGCCCTCCCGAGTTGACCTACTTTCGACCGCATCTAGAAAATGGTTCTTAGCCAACCGGTCACGTGACTCTTCCTGTATGTCAGGGTACGCTTTAACCGTCAACTCTTGTATGGCTTGGCCTAACTCTTGCAATGACTCTTTTGGGCCTTGTCGGCGATGCCTCAACTCGACAAGGTAATTTTCACTCTGGCGGCCTGAGCCAAATCTCTGTTCTAACAACTTCAACAGACCACTGTAGGACTGTGTCTTTTCAGTGGGAACGTCACCCAACAATCTTAGGGCATTGCCTTGCAAACTAGCTACCAAATATTTAGCCGCTTGCTCTTCGCTCCACTGATTCACCAACCGGCAAGACTCGAAGTGCCTGAAATACTCTTTCCATAGCACCTTGCCATTGTATCTATCAGGAGTGATATTTGGCCGTCTACTAATTGGCCGCTCGACACTCCTCTCTTTCTCTGCCACTACTTTGGGCTCACTTGTCGGCGTTAAGGGCCCTGCTGAGGTCTTTAAACTACCTGCCAAACTGTTGGCACCTGTGCCCACTGAACTCGGGGCGAAACTCAGCAAATCTCTATTTACTTTCTCAGGAGAAACTGTTTCTCCCCTACTCGGGTTCTCTACAGTGCTATCCGTGCTCAACAGAAAGGACTGGAGCTCCTCTATTGCACTGCTCCCCGTTAAAATCTCTGGTCGGGTACTTCCTACACCACTACTCTTAAGGGGTGTACTTTCCCCAAACTTCACTCTTTTTCCCATCCTCGGTCCAAGTTCAACTTCAGGCGACCGTGCGGTCACCGAGGGACTCGCCCCTCCCTGGGAAAAATAACCAGAACTCTCTCTTGGCATCTGGAACTCGATTTCCGAATCGATCCGCACTAGCCCCTGTTCTTGGCTCTTTTTGTCTATACTTCCCACCGGGGAAGGTTCCTCATAATTGGCTCTCATGGCTTCTAATTTCTTAGCCATCAACTCTTTCTCCCATTGCAAAAATTGAGCATCTAATCTCAGCTTCTGCAGTTCACTCTCAATACTCGAAGTATTCTCTTGACTCATGTTTGTCTCTTTCTATGATTACTCTTCAACCACAGAAATCACTGTACTATAAATCCTGCTTGATTTCTAGAACAAGACGCAATTTGTTTCTACTGGCCAACTCTTTAATCAGCACCAACTATCCCACTTCTGACACCATTTGTGGCGGAATCTCCCGAGGTCAATTGAAACCAGAGGTCAGGGAAGGCAATCACCGACTGAGGTGAAAGTTCCCCTAACCTCAAACTATGTTTTCTGCCTCGAACCTAGGGAAGTTTTCGAGCAGCCTCTAGGCCCAGGGATGCAAGCTCGTTTTGGTGGAAATCTACCGCCCAGTTGGATACTGATTACCAGGCCCTGTTACTCTAGTACAGAACAGAACAAACAGACGAAGAAACTGCAGAAATATTGGACACTGGGATACACAATTCTCTTTGTGGAAAGGAAATGATTGGTTTATTTAATCACGGACAATTCTGACTTGATTGGGAACTCTTTGATTTATAAGGTTATTATCGTTGGATTGTTATGATTGTATAAGTTTGAGCGCCTTAGCTGATCAGTATACGACAAAACCCGTGTGACAATAAACTTGACCGAGTACAGTTATTGACTACCTGTGACTATTCCTCCCAGGCCTCTATGTCAACCTCTGGGTCGACCCTCTATGTTATCGCACGTCTCTGTGAACCCACGACAACAATCCTTATGCCTGTACTTAGTCACCCTACTCTGTAAGTCAAACACTCAACTGCAACAATTGCGCAAACATGCACTGAATTACACGATAAAGCAATTCGGTCCTACCAGGCTAACTGGGTCACACCACGGGGCTCTGCGCTCCGTACAATCGCTCAACCACGGTACGAGAAGTCAGGCCGAAACAGCGTCAACACCGGTACACTGCACCACACACGGCCTCGCCAAAGCAAACGCTAGCTTCGTCACGGACAATGGCAATTTCACTTGTACACTACTACTGAACCCGCTCCATTCACAGAACTGAGGAACAACTTACGCAACTCACGCAACTGAACCAACTGAACCAACTGAACTCAACTGAACTGATTCACGCCCGGCCGACCATGCGCTCAAGTACCACGGCAAGGGTAGCGGGGCCACGCCCAATCACGCCGTGATTGGCCGCCAACCCTTCACCTCTGCCCGGTAACACTAATCACGCATACGCGGATACGGGAAACACAGATCGCAAGTGCGGTCACGGCCTGCCTCGCCCCGCCCAGCAACAGCGAGCGCGCTCCGATTGGCGGCCACTCCCGCCAAAACCACGAGACATTGTCCGCTGACACGACCTGACTTCCTTGCCAAGAAATTACAAGTAAACACTACCAAATAAGGGGAATTAGACTGGTGTCGGCCCACCCCATCACGCCACAATATCTATACCTTACTATAGCTCCCAATACCTATCAGCGAATAAGAGTATTATATAGGTTTTCTTTTTGCCTAAATTTTTAGCAACAAATGCAAGAAATCATACTTCTCTTGCCCTTGTCCCCTCTTTACTCAACAGGTGCTGGAAGTGTGATCAAATTTACGACAGAGGTATGCATATGCAACGGAGATAGCACAATAAAAAGTGTTGTACTTGAAGGATTCGTAAGTATTTCTATTAACGGACCAGTCAAAGTAAAATATAACACTTTTTTGGCGGCATGGTTTTGGTAATAGCGGGCAACTATGTCAGATCAACACTCAAAGGATGGAGAAGAATATGTAGGTGGATGCCGCCTTTAATTTTGGACCAAGAATACCAAATTTGCATAAATTGTTAATCCCTACCGTGTAATATATTTATTCCCATATTAGGGTTTTTTCTTAATTTTTTATTTTTTGAAAAGTTTATTTTGGTGATTCTACTTGCACGCCTTTACTAAAATAACATTTTCTTAAACGTGTATACATGTAAGTGACTGAATAATTATGAGGACATGGTTACGATCCTAAATGGCTATTATTATATCTATTATATCAAGTTGTTTAATGGCACAGTTACCCTATTAAAACCTTGTGGCAGATCATGTAAACAGTAATAACATTGTGATATTTAGCTCAGCAAACAAAAATGGGGGAATGAGCTGGCTGTCCGTAAACTGGGCTTACATTAGGCACTAACGCCTAATGTGGGATACTTGAAAAGGTTCAAGGCCCCCCCCCCCCCAAAAAATGCTTGCAATAATTGTGTTTATGGTGAAATGTTTTCTTTCTTTTAATTTTCTTTGCAATAATTTTGGGAATTTCCTTGAACTTGTTCAGGTCTTGCAAAAATGCGCGCAATTTCTGGGTATAGTAGCCATTTTGGATTGTTACTATGGTCTCATAAGCATTGTATATGTTTTAGAAAAAGTTATTATAAAGTGAGGATGTATCAGTAGAATCATCAAGATAACATTTTCAAAAAAAAAGAAAAACAATTAAAAATATACCCCAATATAGGGGGAAAAATACTCACGGCAGGTATTAATTTACCGATTTATGCACATTAGGTATATTTAGGGTCGAAATTAACGATGGCATCCACCCATATCTTGTTTGTTATGATTCAAAAAATCGATCTATTATGGATGCCAGCTATTACCAAAAAATGGCGTAAAATCATTTTCCAGAGAACTTTTCCACATTTAGCTGGCCTACTATATCTAAGGGAACTTACTTTTTTCCGGGAAACAGGGTTCCCAGCCACTATGCAAATCAGAGAAACCTTGATGGTGGTTTCGTTATCCAGTCAAAAGAAACTCCGGGAATTTCTGAAAATCACATACAACGGGGAATTTTGAAAACACCGAAAATCTAGGATAGCTTAGGCAATTGACGGTAACCCTGAGGGGAACGTTTTTGTTGTTTTTTTCTTCTCTTTTTTTGGCCAGTTTGGCGTCTGTGTGTCTTGTACCATGTATCCAAGTTGCATCGATCCATTGATTGACTGGCTGTGGCGGCATTTTTTTAATTGATAAAGTGTGGATATTGGTCAACTCTCCAGACAATAACAATTGGATGGAATGTTACACCTCCTCTTGATTTCACAGCAACTTCATTTAAGTGAAAATATTCCTCATGGCACTTTGGAATACTTCTCCAAAGGAAACATTATGGGAAAAGTCTCAAAACTGTGTTTTCATAAAGTGCTGGGAACTCTGTTTTACTAGTTTTATTAAAAAATGTAGCCAGTATAATTACCTATACATTTTACCCTTACAAGTTTGAGGACTTTGTTTCTTTGTTTCTTTTTTTTTTGGGGGGGGGGGTTGAAGAATATGTGAATAAGACAGGGGGGTGGAAGAAGATGGAAATAAGAAATTGATTTTTTTTCCCTGAAGAATGCCAACGGTCCCATAAATGGGCTGGAATTGTTGAGGAGTGCGGATTCTGCTGCCACTTTCCTGGTGGGTACATCCGATGTCCAAGCCTCCATTGAATGGCCCTTGAACACCAAATGCCAATCAGCACGAGATGAATCGGAGTGTGCGCTCAGGTACCCTTACTGTAACTTCACTGAAGCCGGATGCTCATGGTAAGTGCTCCACATCAGCTATTTACAGTCATCTTCCATAATCACCATACTGGCGCACTAGAAACTGAACTACCCAAGCCTATTATTGCCAGTGTCCAAGTAATGTTCCTAATGTTGTTAGCATCGTGACTACCTGTGCGTGATCCCTAGCTACATGGCCTTTATGAGTTAATGGGTTCCAACTATAGTGCCCCCAGAACAAGGATTTTCGGGAACCCCTAAAATATAAGGTAGAAATCTCTATTACACTGACTGGATAGCACTTCGACCTATGCGTGTACACAAAACCGTGTTACCCTTGCACACACGCGGCAGCCATTTTGAAGCTCCCTAAAAAGCCCCACAACGCACAGATCCGTATATAAAACACACAGATTTACAATAGTTTAGGAAGCGATTTTGGATCATCAAACACGTTTTATTTATTCATATTCCCCCACAGTTTTATTTTATTCATGTTAATATTTGTTCAAATATTTAATTTTATTTTTCGATAAATATATATTTGCATATACTTTTACGTGGCCGAAAGGAGCTTCAAAATGGCGTCCAGTGACTTCATCCCCCACGGCCGACCCGAAGCGCTATCCATACAGTCAGTATAATATTGTAGCGGGATCCTACTGGGCTCTTGTCCGCCAATTCCAGCAAAACGCAAGAAAGGGGACACACAGACGGGATTTCTAACTCTGAAAGAAGATCTCATTTATTTCGCCAAGCGGAGTCTGCGGGCAACTTGCCGCACCGCTACCAGAACTGCAACTGATCAATTCCCAGCATATACATGCACAGTTTCACAAAATGTATTACAATGTTACAACTTTACCCAACCCTGGAATCCAGCCAAGTTCTTCCCGCGCAATTGAACAAAAGAACCCCACTTAGCCAACCTATTTGTAGAGCCTATTTCCGGAGCGCGCGCCAGCAAGACCCAAAACCAGGTCAGGTGCGCGCCGCCGGAGCCCCTCCGCCGGAGCACTAGTGCTAGAAAGCAATGACAACAAAAGTGTGCATAAGACTGTCCGTTACACTACCCCCTCCTTAAATTGGGCCTATTCTCCTGAATAGGGGCACATATACAACACATTTTACATGATTTTTTTGTTCTTTAACCCAACATTGGGTGTCCTCAAAGGATGTGGAGCAACGTTGATCTGGTCCCCAAAATGGTTACTGCAAGATCAAACATTAATCCAGCAATCCATGATGACAACCTCTTCAACAGGGAAACATTTTAGAAACAACATGAGAAATCAGACACTTTACTTTGTTTATCAATGGGTGTCCTCAATGGAAGTTGATCAGCGTTGATTCGAGTCCCCAGACTGGTGCACAGAATCAAACAATGATACAACAAACCGTGATGACTACCTTATTACAACAATTTCAACACATTCTTTTACAGTCTTTTTGTCTTTTCCAGTTCACATGGAAACTGTTCTTTATGTCCTCACTGTTTCACCAAACAATGTCCATCCAAGACAGAACTTCTCTCCAGTCTCTGTCTGTGTTGCACTTCGCAAGCTTTAGTGTCTTCAGCCAAGTACACAGGTCACATCGCTGTACTCCTGCCACCTGGTCGTTGACTCCCCAACCTTGCTTTGGCCCCGTTGTCTTCCGTGGTGTCTGTCCACGCACTGTTGTCTTCTCCGGCAGCCTTGTCTTCTGTGGTGCACCCCGCACCGGCGGATTCCCGGTCTTCTTCGGCGGCCTCATCTTCTGTGGTGCACCCTGCACCGGCGGATTCCCAGCCTTTGATGCTCCCTGCATCAACGGGTATCCTGTCTTCTGTGGTACTCCCTGTACCTTCGGCCTCGTCTTCTTTGATGCGTCCTGCATCGCCGGATCCGCAGTCTGTTGGCTTACCGTTCTTGTCCCTGTCACCTGCACCTGCGGTCTGAAAGTCAATGTCGTTGCTTGCTCCAGCGTGGCTGCTTTCGCCGGGGGATAGTGCCGCTCCGGCTCGGTTGCCGTCACCTGAACATGAAGGTCAGTGTCTTGTGGTCGATTGTCCGTGGTCTGAGTTGCTGTCCCGGCAGCACGGCGGTCGATGAGTTCAGCGTGCTCCGGCTGATCGGCATGCACCAGCGGAGCCGTCCACAACGGTGGATCTGTGTGCATCGATGGAGATGTCCGCAACGATGGAGCTATCGATGTGCAGCTAAAGTCCTCCGCAGCAGTTGGATCAGGACTGGAAAAGTCAGTGCATCCACGAACCTCGATCCGATGGACAGCCGTCATGCTCGCCAGTATCACGGGACGGGGCTCCACGTCAACAGCAGGGCTATCATCGCTCGCAGCGGCCTCCCTACTCGTGGTCTCCCCATTCACGCGACAACCCGGCCTAACATCAACTTCTGCCCCCGGACCGCTGAACAGGCTTGCTCGTCGTTCATCTTCATCCTGATCCGCACTGGTAGAATCATCGGAGCTGTACATCGCTTCCAATTCGGCGATCATTTTATTAATCCTCTGCAACACACCTACCGCTGAACCAGTTGCCTGTGGATTACGTCTGTCCGAGGAATGGGCTGATCCACAAATCTGCCGCTCCAAGGAGTCTCCCACCTTCCGAACGTCAATGATGACATCGTTGATGGCGTCCACGATCTCAACTACGGTTCGGCTTTCCGTCATTTCCAGTGATTAGTCAAAAATCCCGTCAATATCCCACCGCTGCCACCATTTGTAGCGGGATCCTACTGGGCTCTTGTCCGCCAAATCCGGCCAAACGCAAGAAAAGGGGACACACAGACGGGATTTCTAACTCTGAAGGAAGATCTCATTTATTTCGCCAAGCGGAGTCTGCGGGCAACTTGCCGCACCGCTACCAGAACTGCAACTGATCAATTCCCAGCATATACATGCACAGTTTCACAAAATGTATTACAATGTTACAACTTTACCCAACCCTGGAATCCAGCCAAGTTCTTCCCGCGCAATTGAACAAAAGAACCCCACTTAGCCAACCTATTTGTAGAGCCTATTTCCGGAGCGCGCGCCAGCAAGACCCAAAACCAGGTCAGGTGCGCGCCGCCGGAGCCCCTCCGCCGGAGCACTAGTGCTAGAAAGCAATGACAACAAAAGTGTGCATAAGGCTGTCCGTTACAATATAAATCAGTGGGTATAGATGGATAGCTCTGTTGGTAGAGCACCGGAACGGCGATCTGGAGGTTCAAACTCAATTTATTATCATATGCATGCATTGTACCTAGTACTTCCTAAAAAGGGGCAAAGCACTCACCAGAACCGAAGGGGAAAATCACCAGCCATTTAAAACTCGACGCCCATGTTGTTACATCTTCATTCAATTAACATTATTTCTTTCTTCCCGCAGTACCGCTAATAACTGCACCAATGACCCGCCTACAGGTATGTCACATCCTTTTTTCATGTGGCGCATATCAGCTTGAAGATTACAACTAGTTTTACTGGCAAATGTTGTTTGCCAAAACAACCCGTATTTGTCATACCTCTGTCTTGGATTCTTTGGATTTTGATGTAAAAAAAACACAACAAGTAGCAGTAAACACAACAAACATGACAATCGAACGCCAACTCACATTTGCTAGTAGAGTTCACTGCTCCCACTCATGTGTGAAAACCTGCGGATGAAAATAGCGTGGGTACCAACTTTTCACAACATGCGTACCGTACGTACAAAGTCATTGCACACTCCCAGTGGGATATCACGTACGTGATATGCCACAGGGAGTGTGCCATGACTGTTTATAACTTAACACGTGATCGTTCTAGGCCAATGAAAATACAGTGTTTAAGACAGAGGTATAACAATGGGTAATGGCCAATGCAGTGGGACGCTTAGGCGAGCGATAGTATTATACACACCTCATTATAACACACCTCTTGCGGTTCTTTATTCTGGTTGGCTTAAACGCGGTCACGTGTGGTTCACTATTATAGGCTAGTACATGAAATTTGCGTCAGCGTGAACGAGACGCGCGTCAAGACATCGCGCGCGCGAAATTTCCGGAGTATGGAGCACTGATACTGCATAGCGGATAGAGAGCGGCACAATGAATGAATGTGAGACCGCGGCTGTTGATCTACGAAGAACAAGTTGCCTTCTTTATAGGCATCATGAATACTTTTGTAACATCGCAGTTCACTTTATTTACATTTTGACCACCACCACTGACCACGGTTTACAATTTTTCTTATGTCGTGGTTTACTTTTTTTTTAATGCCGCAGTTCCTTTTTCGGCGTTTTGGAAATAATAGTCACTGCGGAAATGTGTCCACTTTAGAACATCATTATACGTGTACGTCATAGATATAGAATTCTATATCTATGGTGTACGTGACAAAAATGCGCGTCAACTCTTCATACAGCGCGCGCGATATATACGCGTAGAACATTTGTAATATACGCGGCCATCTTCGTGAGACCGGGGGCGAATTGGTCAATACGCAAAGTCGACTTTGTGACTGGTGTATGAATATCCGCTATCCCAACCTCGTGCCCACTGATCTCTATATAAAGACTGGATAGCTCATAAAGAACCGCACAAATGAATGAATTTGACGCCATATTGGTGAGACCGGCTGGTGATCTACAAAGGACAAGTTGTCGTCTTTATAGACAGCATGATTTCTTTTGTAACGTCGCGGTTCACTTGACTTATATTGTGACCACCACCACTGACCAAGGTTAACTACAATTTTTCTAACGTCGTGGTTACTTTTATAATGCCGCAGATCACTTTTTCGGCGTTTTTGAAATAATAATCACTACGGAAATGTGTCTCTTTTAGAACATCATAATTATGTGTACGTGACCAAACTGCGCGTCAACTGTTGATACAACGCGCGCGTATTTACGCGTAGAACGTTCGTATTATACGCGGCCATCTTCGTGAGACCGGGGGCGAATTGGTCAATATGCAAAATGTATTGTGTGAATGTTGTATGCATATCCGCTATCCAGTCTTTATATAGAGATCAGTGCTCGTGCCCCGTGGGTACGATCTTGCAGCGCCATGTTGTTTCCCATCATGCCTTGCGCGATCGTAACCCCTGGAATTGTGTAATTTAACTATACCAAAATACGGTATATTATAATTAGGGCTGCAGTTTATCCGTTTTACGTGCCGACGCCATCTTTAAAATGTTAAAAGTTGTGATTTTGAAGAATCAATCCTTTCAAACACAACGTTTGGACGTTGTGTTAATTAGCAAAGATTTGTATTAAATGTACGTACCCCTTTCGTGCCTTTAAAACCACAGATACAGGGGGTTTTTTTAGCGAAAAACGCGGCTGACATAATCCATATCGTACAGGCATCGCGACTTTTGAATCATATTTTTTTTTCGTACGTGACGTTACGTGCAAAGCTAAGCACGCGAGCGCGAGCGCATTATGGGCGCGCCCGGCGTGCAATCTTCGAATAGCCATTCAGCGTCATTTACGTCATCATCACAGCCAGGGGTTAGTGTAAGGAACGAGCACGCGCCCCTGGAGTCGAGGCTGGTGTAAAAGACATTAGCGCGTGATTCAGCCCGAGAACCTACACGCGCGCGTACTTCATTTGTTTGCACTGCATTTCTGGTTCTAAATGACGTCACACTTCGGTACTCCACAGTACCCGTCTTTATAATAGAGATCAGTGGATCAGGCACTATACTAAAAAAAATTGACTGGTTACAGCGCCCTCTCAAAACTAAAAAAAATTAATCTAGGGAAACTAAAAGCGGTCCTTTAACTGTAATATTGCCTATAGTTGAATCTCTTCTGAGTTAATTGTTGAACCAAAACATTTCAATTATGAAACCCTGAACAAGTTTCTTTTCTTATTTTATATTTTGGACAGAGGTTAGTTTAATAAAAAACACATATGGACTTGTAAAATTCGGTTACTCGTGCACGTCTCTGCTCCCCTCAGTTCTAGATATACTGTGAGTGACCAGAAGAGGGTCCTATAGGTCACTCACAGTCCCTCGGGGCGCATAGACGTGCGTGCACTAGTGACCTCATTGCCAGTCCATATGTGTATAATAGGGTGCGCACTTGACTGCCGTACAAAATAATGCCGACGTTCGCGCGACGTTATAAAAAGGGGGGAAAAGCACAGTCTTGAGACAAAAATGGTCGAGGAACCTTACTATCCACTCAACCCCCCCCCCCTCCCGCGGATGCTACGCCACTTTAGTGTATCATACACTCGACCATAAAAGAAAGCCCCCTTCCAATACTTTTTTGTCTCAAAACTCAAAAACTACTGAGCACCTCTGGCTCAATAACGACTAATCAGTACATACATTTCTTAGCCAGCCAGCCAGCCATACTCTCTATTTGGCCCAAAACAGTGATAATGTACGAATTTATGCAATTTATGACAAAACAAATGCACTTTTGTATACGTGTAAGTTGTGGTTTACACTCACCTTGCACGCATACAAAAATGAAACTTTTTTCAGTACCATTTGTCATAAATTGCATAATTATGTACACATTATCACCGTTTTGAACCAAACAAAGAGTATGGCTGGATTGCTAAGAGATTTCGAAGGGTTGAGTGTATTTTTTTAGAGTGATTATCGTGTGCTCTTTTAATCTTTTGCAGATTTTCGTGACGATGTACATGTACTGACAGTGTTGCCAAACTCAAATGTATCGGCCTGCCCGAACGACACCGTGCACTGGTTTTGCCATCTCGATTCTGCTGTAGTCACTCCTAAGTGGAATTGGCCTATATGTAATAACTAAGACTGATTCATATTTCACGCAATTGTCAGTGCAAAGTTAATTCGTAATACGGTCAAGGCAAATATGGCAATGAAACAGTTATTGTTGACGTATTGAAAATGACGTGCACTGTTGCTTTGCGTAAACTTTGCGTAAACTTTCACCCTTTAGTTAACTGACAGCTAATACGCAACCTCTAAAAAGAAAAACAACTGAAAACGTGTTTGAACAACGACATTATTGTCAGAACCCCGAACATCATTGGGCTGCGTAGGTCAGTTTGTGAAGCACCGGAATGGTAATCAGGAGGTCGCTGGTTCAAACCCCGCTGTAGTCGATTACTCTGTTCAAGTATGAGAAATCGTGCTCAATGTGTATTTTTTTATTTATATGTATTTATATCTACAGTGGCAAGTGACCTGATCGAGATAACGAACATATCAACTAATGATGTGCTACAAATGGACGTTATTGTGCAGAGCGACAGCGTAGGGAGCTACAGCTGCACGGTGGATGTTGGAGGCAGAGTGTTGACTAAACAAGTTGAACTCACTATGAAAAGTAAGTCAATAATCAGCTTCTAATTGTATTCTCCAAATTTATTTACTGAAACAGACATGTGGGCTATACATGTTTGTGCCAGTAATAAACTCAGACAAGGATCGTTTCACCAAAGTGGGATATCTATTTGTGTCAAAACCATGCTCGCGTTTCCAAATTGTCTTCATTTTCTCAGACTGCAATGCTGAATGCATATGCCAAACAATCTATCAAGTCTTACCAAGGCATTCCCAATGGTACACACTCACAAACAAAATTGCACCATGCCTGATACAATTTAGGCCACCAACCTGGGGGGTTGGTCGGTATCAAGTGAGGAGAATAATGCTCATGGTGATTTTTGGCAATGTATGCACCCCTAGAGTTGTAAAATATGTGATAACATTGTAGCAGTGGCATCTTTTTGGGTGTTATCACTTTTTTTCCAAAATGGCCGCCAACATGCTTGTTACCACATATAAGCTGCCATAACTAAGCTCATTGAGCAGTTAGGACAGTGTTTTGGTGTCTATGACTAGATTCGAGGGGTCAAATATTTCAGTTCTGTCTTTACCTAACTCATCAAAGCCTTGCTTTATATGGAAATCCAAGATAGCCACCAAAATGGCTGCCACCACATGGAAGAAGCCATATTTAAGATATTAAGTCCGAATTTCAGCCAAGGAAATTAATTCTGTTTAAAAATAAGAGTTTTTTTTACATTAGTGTGCGACGTTGCAAAATTTTAGTACACGAGAACAAAGGAAGTACCCCACTTCTATGCCTGTGTAAGGGTGGGTGGGTGGGTGTGTGTGCACATACCGCACCCAAGTGGAACGCTCGCTGAAGTGTACATCGGTGTGCTTCTTGAAAGGCGTAAACTAAGTGATTTTTGTGATTTCTTGATTTTTAAAATATTTTTAAGGTACCGACATAAAACAATTCCGACTTGAGTCAAGTCTACCCTCGGCCACGTGGTATGTGGAACACAGACACACTACAATATTCCGTGTTTTTTTTTCCCACTCGCGCTCGCGGGATAACTAATATAATAATGGATATTATAAAGCACGTTTATCCACCGTTATTGTAGACTTGGCCAAGTCTGGGTTGCACTCGTTCTGAGCCTATAGTAAATCCACTCACGGGGCATATCGCATAACGCGCGCCCTCATGCATCGAATCCGGACCACCACGTTAAAAACGTACATGTTCATGTTATTTTCAAGTGATACAGAAAACCTTTGCACCACATGTATGCACATGCTCTGCAATACATGCACACATGTACGTGTGATACGCGTGCTGTACAATGTATGCACTGTGTGCGCATTGTTATACGGCACTAAAGAGGAACGCACGCTTAAGTGTACCTTGTCGGGCATGTGGAAAGGCGTAAACTAAGTGATTTGTGTTTTTGTTTTTTTAAGATACCGACTTAAGGCAATTCCGACTTGAGTCGATTCCGACTTGAGTCAAGTCTACCGTTATTGATGCTCAAGGCGCTACAGCATTATTGCCCTGCTCATTGGGTAAATGAAACATTCCGAATACGATCTAAACAGCTCCCTGTGGATTGCATACAGCTCGTAGCTGCCATTTCGGCGCAATGCAGCTAAATTCAAGCACAATAACCACCTCTGCCCTTACAGGTACCCATTTACTCCTGGGTGGAGAGAAGCAATGAGTGACAAAATGCCTTGCCCAAGGGCACACGCACCATAGCAACAGCCTGGACTCGAACCCACAACCTGTAGGATTACCCACAGACCACGAAATCGGACCACGAGGCCACTTGTGTGGATGACACCACTAAATATGAATAATATGAAAAAAACATCTTCGTTTGGATAATATGAAGATCCACTCCCCTCTTGAAAATGTTTCAATGCAATCGGGCCTCATTTTCTCCAACTGAACCCCCCACTTCTCTCTCTCCCACTGTCCTAACTTAATGTCCACCTATCTATTTGACAACTGTGATTTTTGTTCATGCAGTCTGCTTATTAACACCCGAGAATCTATGTGCACGCTTGGAAGAGTATAACACTCTTAAAGCGCAGAGTGCGGCTTTGCACAGGAACTATGGGGACGGAACGGTGAGTTGGTTACAACGTAGATGTGTTTTTATTTGTGTATTTGTTTTATTTCAAAGAAAGGGGGGAGAGGAGCTAATTCTAATTTAAACTCTGTGGCAATATTAAAAATTACTCTTTAAAAGAGAGACCATTATTCTTATTCTCTTCTGTTTGTCCAAATATCAAAATAATTGTTGGGTGGAAATAACCAGAGACATAATATAATATAATGTTGTTGTCGGTTTACTGATTGTCGGTAGGAAAAATAACTGAAATTGTGTGGAAGAACTGCATGATCAGTGCGCCAAGTATTAAGCAGAAAGCTTTGGCTTCATCCAAGATAAAAAAAAGACCACTTTAGGCCAAAAAAAAAGTCTCCGGTTTCTGGTATGCGCGCGCGTCGCCGTAGCCATGCGCTTCGGCAAAATGAAAAAGGTTTTTTTTTCAATGAAAGATAATGTCTCAAAACCGTTAAACTCACTGGTTTGACTGGAATCCTGCTGCTGCACAATTTTAACGTGTTTTTAGATGGGGTTATGATCAAGAATAAGCTTTATGTGGCCTCTCTGGTCTCCCCGGATAATATTGCACTAAGTTTAGTCGGGCACCATTTGTAGTCATCAGCCGACATTTGAAGCAAAAAAAACAGGTAAAAAAAAAAAAAAAGCCGCGTCGCCGCACCAATATTTGGGCAAGCTCCATACCAGAAACCGGAGACTTTTTTTTTTGGCCTTACTTAGCAAAAGCAGTTAATTATGAAAGAGACAAAAGTTAGAAACACATAATGGAGAGTGTGGTAAACTGACCTCTTTTTCCATGTAGGGACAGCGTTCATTATTAAGTGTGGATCCATGGGTACGATCTTGCTACGGAATGTTGGTTCCCCTCATGCCTTGCCCGATCTCAACCCCTGGAATTTAGTAATTTGAATACATGCATAAATAAATTGAATTTAATGAATAAATTGTAGTGCTTATACAGGGTAGATAAAAAAACAACAACGAGATATTATTGCTAATTGGAACAAAAGTAGGGCACTTAGTCTAGTGAATCAAAGGGAGATATTCTTAGGGTTGAATCTCCTCTTTAAAATGACACCCTTGTCATGTCCTTACATTCACAATTGACTGAGCAGTGACTAATTTTATGTAAGGGCCTATTTAGAGACTTGCGCCACTTTTCATGGTGAAATCTCTTCTTTTTTCCCACCTGCCTTGATTGGCAACCATAGCCTTTCATTCTGTAACAATTGACACAACAAAAACCAGAATTGAAAAGTGGTGCAATTCTCTCAATGGACCCTTTCATAAAATTGGTCAATGCTCAGTCAACCGTGAATGTAAAGACATGCCAGGATGTCATTTTCAGGAGGAGATTCAACCCTAACAGAGGATATCTCCCTTTGATTCACGTGTGCCCGACTTCTGTTCCAATTTGCAATAATATTTCGGGGTTTTTTATCCACCCAGTATAACGTTTGAGATATAGCGCATAAATCTTGTAGATCTTGTATATTTCGTAGATCTTATAGACGTATTATTTTCAGCAGTTGTTTTTGTAAATAGACCTGCAACTTAAGTTGGTGTGGAAAAAAGTGTAACGTTGGGCCTCCTGTTGTTGGGGTTGTACAGCGCACAGTACCTTTCTCCATTGATGGTACACAACTTCTGCCGGTCCCTGGAATATCACAGTTTTAGTTTACTTTTGGTAAGTTTGAAACTCTCCGGCCGGGCAAATTTTTCACATCTTGATTCATGTGTTTTTTCCCCAGGGAACGTGTTCTGTGAAAGTGCAGGATTGCGCAACATGTCCATGATCGCCATAGTATCTTTTCTTCAACATTGAGCATTTATAAATGAATGAAGGTCTGCATGTTATTTTTTCCTTTTATTTTTAAGTTTATCAGCAGACACAATCGGTGGGAATAATCCAGAACTGCAAAAAAAACGATCATTTTTGGAGATGCTGTGTAGAAAAATTGGCCAAGTGCAGAAAATGATTGTTTGTTTTGATTTATATAAAAACATAAACAAATTTTACAATGAGCTTGCAACTTGTGGTCGGGTAATTTTTGCTTGACTGGGCCCCATGAACAGTGGGTTTTTACTTTTCAGTTTTGATTGGATCTTTGGTCTATTTGAAAGGCTTAAGTTCATATAATAACTACATGCATAGTCGGATATATCATTTATTTGCATAAATTGAATACGCAGAGAACGCAGCTAGTAAATTGTTCATGTACAAAAAGATGACTACATTTATTCATTAACCATCACCTGCTTTGATGCACCGAATTCCATTATCTACTTTGTTGGAGTTTGTATTTTGATATTGTTAATTTGATTTTAATAGCTTCAGCATTCCTTTTGTACAGCCCTTTTAACACTTCTTATACTTCAATGCAACGTGTTTTGTTTATCCAAAAACCTCTGCCATGTAACTTTTAATTTTCTTTGAAGTAATTACTGCATGTCACTTAATGACCAAAGGGTTACAGACAACACAGAAAACACAAAGTGAGTAACTGGACTCAATATCGTTAAAAATGAGGCATTTTGTCGCTGTAGTGACACACTTTGAGCCAAAGTGTGCCACTACACGGACAAAATGACTCATTTTTTACGATAATGAGTCATATTTCTCACTTTGTGTTTTCTGTGAAGTAAAAGGAACGTTTACTTACGAATACTTTTAACAATATTCTGTTTAATTATTCTGTTTAATTTTGATAAACCCCGTATGCTGTGGTCGAGGAGCCATGTTGAGTTAAAAATGCAGCCGTGGGTGTCGGAAAAGAGTGGAGTTAGGTTAGGCTGTGAATACATGCATCTAGATGCAAGCAGAAACCCAAGTGAAGAGTCCCGCAGTGCACGTTATCAAATCTGTCGTAATGGTGTGAAGCTATTGCAGCACAATCTTAATCATTATAGGAATAATCTGGTTGCCCTTGCGCCCATCCCGGGAAGGGCTCGCTGCTGTCCTGACCGACACACTCCCAAGTGCCTTCAACTTCTTTGTCATTGCAAGCAATCAAGGCGCAGTAATCAGTGTTCTTCTTTCGAGCCAAATCTGACAAGATGCTCATTTCTTCGAGCGAGCAAGCAGCGGCCATTTTGCCTCCCATGTCTTGGCAAGCTGACTTGACACGTTTGCTTTGAAAGAGTGAAGCAATAATAGGCGTTCTGGAGCAATTGCCACTGTGGCGGTGGCAACTGACCATTGCAATGCATTGACAGTTGAAGTGATTGCTACAACGCCAGAAACGTTGAATAAGAACATAGTCATAATTTAGGAAGATGGTTTGAGAACTTTTCATTTTCTTGTTAACCAGTCAAGAATCTAAGTATTGAGGTAGACTGATGCGGAATAAAAACTGGTGGTCGCGCTGAAGGAAAGTGAGTTTTTCTATGTATATAATGACGCCAAATATCATAAAGGTGGCAAACAATAGATCCTGTCGTCATGGTCACTTTATTCCAGCGTTCGTCAAATAATAGTAAGGGGCCGAGAAAATTAACCTCTATGGCATTACGTCCTGTTCACTGGTTTCAAATAATCATTTAGAATCAGGTGGACAAAATTCATCAGTGTGGGGAAGGGCCTGTAAGCGAGGCATTACACTGGGCAACTGAGCAACAAAAACAGGTACCATGTTCAGCCATGACCTATTTTGCACCGCTTTGTTAGTAAAAATTGAAGGGGCACTAAGTCCTGAAATCCCCGAAAATTTGATGTTTTGCATTGTTTACTTATCCTATTTCAAACATGTGGTTGAAAGGAAAACAACCTAATGTCTTACCGTTCCCGAGAAAAGAGGTGGAAAAACCAGTTGTTTACATCGGACATGACGGAGTACGAATACGTTTTTCGTGTCGTTCTCGTACAGTGTACGATAAACATGTACACGTTTTGTGTCTCGGGAACAGCGGTGACCAATCACCAACGCATCAACGTCCGCAAAAGGCGAACATTTTACGCTTACGAATAAAATCACAACTAGCATCCAAATGGTTCAAATTTATGGGGTCGCAAAAGTGGACCCCGAAATTCGTTCTCAGGAATAACACAAAACGCTTAGTTTTTAAAGGATAGTTGCGTGTATGTTTCTATCCTAGTTTTAAATGTTCTTTCCGATTAACATTATCTCGTTCAAAGCGCGTTTTGTAGCCCAATTGGGCTGTTCCAGGACCTAGTGTTCCTTTAATCGCCGAGTAGAGAGATTAAAATGTTTTGTATTTTAACAGTCTGAATTTATATTTCTAAGTTTTAGTAAGGTTCTTTTAAGAATTACTTGTTATGCTATTACGCTCTTTTTGAACTTCGTGAACCTCTCTGAGACTCTAGTTTAAAGCGCTTATTATAAGAGTTGTTATTGTTATACGCGTAATGGTACAGCCCTAACTCCCTAGGGGGTGTGTTAAATCGTATTGAAATTGGGGGATTCAGGACTGTTAGGGCTGTGGAGATTAGGGAGACATTTCCTTTTCCCCTAATGTCACGACCTCCCTTTAGAGGCAAAATTTTACAGTCGCAATTAGATTATATTTGTTGCTCGTAGTCTTATTAGTAAACATACCGAAATTCGTGGGAAAAGGACAAGGGAATATTTTGGTTAGGGCACATTTAAGTTTAACAAAAATTCTTTGCACAAGTCTATGGGGATGTCTCCCAAATGTCTAATCCAGTGTAATGTATATTATTATATGAATTTACTTTAAAATTCGTGCTTTACCTAATGTTATTGGGCCATTATAGTACAATTGTTTTTGTTCATTCCTTTTTTCCCCTATATTGTTGTTTAGAGTTTTAACTTGTATTCATCTTTCCCATTATTTTAAACCTCCAATATCAACTGCTTTTAATTGAGATTTTTATATTTTGGACTTTGGGTTTGTAGTCTTTTTCGTTTAATTCAATTTGATTGTTAATCTTTGTTTAATACTAATATTTATGTATTTTTGTTTTGTTTTGTTTTGTTTTGCTTTGTTTGATTTTAATTTCTTATCTTTTTATGCTAGTGATAGTTAAGTAATATAATCATGGAAAGCTTTATTTTAACTAATAAGGCCATCCTGTATAAATATGACAGCAAATAGATAAATGGTATTTTCATTCGCTAAGGAACATATATACACTATTAAACGTCGTTTAATGCGAATATCATCGCAAGTTGTTCCTTGTTAAGCAATATTCCCTCTCAGGAGGGAAATTTTAAGCCAATGTACGGACAAACGTTGCTGAGGTGTTTTGTACATAGCATAAGCGAAGCCAGTTGCAGGCTTGTTTGTGGTGCATTAGAAATGAATAAGTAGACGCTGATAATATAGAGGGCTCATAAACAAATTACAAGCCTCGATATTGGATGGTATACAAATATTGAGTGGTTCAACGTGGAATGGGAGGAATATTATCGAAAGGTAAAATCTGGACTTTTCCATTTCACGAGGTGAAGCCGAGTGAACTGGAAAAGTCCAGATTTTACCGAGCGATAATATTCCTCCCATTTCACAATTTAAAGCCACTCAATATTTGTTTTATATAACTGACATATAGATCCTTGTCATTTGATATATTTGAACTGGTTTTTTTTTTCAATACAAAACTGGAGGAAAATGTATTTCTCTCTTCCAACCACCCCTTCACGAAAATGTTTGAACCCAACGCTGTAGCGCTTGCTCTTTGGAACAATACGCGCTACGCGCAACGCTGAACGCGCTCACCAGCATGCATTTGCACACAAATACCGCGTCATGATCCGAACTGTTGAATAGTATACAAATATTGAATGATTCGAGTGGTGTAGTAAAACTAGCCTCCCGAGGTGATCCATGGACCATTCTATTTTCCCGAGAGCGAGTCACATGTTACTTTCTAATTTTGCTATCTTTGGAATAATACGCGCTTCGCTTCGCACAACGCACAACGCGCACACCAGCATGCATTTGCACACAAATACCGCGCCGTGGAAATAGTACTTTGGTTGCTAATGGTATAGTATTTTGGTTGCTATGCGCATAGTACTTTTGGATCACCGAGGGAGGCTAGTTTTACTTCACCACGAGATAAAGAATTCAATATTTGTTTTATAACACTTCACCCACGGATTCTGCTTGATTTTAATATTTTACATTATTTAAATCTGAACACAGTTGAAATAAACTTTAATTTCAATACAAAATTGGTGGAAAATGTATTTCTCTCTTAAAAACTAACCCTTCACGAAATGTTTGAACCCAAGTCTGCGGCGCGCTCTCTTTGGAATAATACGCGCTTCGCACAACGCACAACGCGCACACCAGCATGCATTTGCACACAAATACCGCGCCGTGGAAATAGTACTTTGGTTGCTAATGGTATAGTATTTTGGTTGCTATGCGCATAGTACTTTTGGCCGTGCACAGAAAGATAGCAAAATTAGAAAGTAACATGTGACTCGCTCTCGGCCAATCAAGACACAGAATCTGTGGGTGAGGTGTTATAATATTTCCCATTCCCCATGGGCGTATAGTACTTTTTGAGCCGCGGCATGAATGGGAGCAATAACAAATGTCACGTGATGTGAGTTCCACCAATCAAATGACTAGGATCTGTATGTCAGTTATATAATAAGCACTTGTCTGTGCCCTGTTTGTTGTTGGGTCTAATTGCCAACATGTACATGTACTTAAACCCCTCAAAATCTACTGAGCTTATGCACCATGATGAAGAAGTCCACATTTCAATGCAACTGCATTCCATGGCATGTAATTTATTACACAGTAACCTCTGGTTGGGCTTTCTTTAAAATGTGTTAGCCCCGTGAGGGTCGAAGATCAAGATCGTATGATTCACAAAAAGTGGCTGTAGCCCTAGGGGATTTGTACTATGAACCGCGTCGCGGCAAAATTGCAATCGGGCAAGATGACGTCGGTCGGCAACCCCAACTGTATTTTCTTTGCCAGTGAGGGGGTACTTTTGAACGGAGCGGATACATATGTACTTGTGGCTTACACTGCGGCTTTTGTGGCTTACACAATGCTCCGTGAAGTACACGCTGATAAAAAAAATCCACCCGTTTTGTGAACTGCTTGCTCAACCTGAACGGTGCAAAACACTACGCACCAGCCTCCATACACACCGTACAAATAGCAGCTAACACAGCGCCTCAAAGTAAAGGCGGAAACGAAATGTAATACACTTCACTTCTGACTACAGTCGAACCATTTTGCGGAATCACACCTTGAATAGTTGTCACACCTTCAGCTACGATGACCCACGCAAGGTTGGTAAAATGTTTTTACCTCTCTTACCGTTTTAATGCCGTTTACAAACCGACACTATATAATTATAGGTATTACTTCATTGCAGTTTCAATCTCTTTGGGCCTGCATTATGATCTTGTTAAGAGTTGAACATTTCATTTCATTTCAATTCCAGAAACATTTATTTCCACATGAATAAGCACTTTAGAAAACAGAACAATTGTTACATGAAAACTACTAAGTGGAGGCATTACACAAAAAGCCGAAGCTTATAAACGGAATGCCTTAAACACAACAAATATATATATATATAAACAATACTGAAAGAGGAAGACTAAATTCAAAAGACAAAACATAACAAAACAAAACAAAACAATGAAACAGACACAGACAAACAAACGGAGTGGACATAAACTTAATAAACTTTACAGACGGACTTACGAAACATACTAGTGATACAACGACACAGCTTATAAAATGGATGATGCAAGCAAAAGAAAGCACAATGAAAGCAAACGGTATGAATGTAGAAAAAAAAAAAAAGACAAAGCAAACTATGCTATATACTGGGAGATAAGATGGTTCTTGAAAGTGGTTTTAAATCGGCCAACAGAGGACTGCGATTTCATAGACTGACTGAGTCCATTCCATAGACGAGGTCCATGAAAACAAAGAGTGTTCATTACGTATGATGTGCGTGCAAGAGGGATGTAGTAGTTATTATGTGATCTAGTATGGTATTGATGAATATCGTTAATTGAGGTGAAATATGAGGAGAAAGTGCGAGGAAGAAGGTTATTAGTATATTTGTACATTATTATACCAGTTTGAAGTTTATTAATGTCGGTGATTGTTAGTGTGTGTAATCTGGCAAACAAGGGTGCTGTGTTATTCGAATTTCGAATAACATGGTTATAAGGAAGTTGATGCTGGATTATGAAGTAGGCCTAGCTGTTGGAAATGCAATACATTAGGCCTATTTCTTATGTTTAGTTATAGACGAAGGTTTCCTTTTAAAAAACAAAAAGCGCCTGCAAAATGGGCCCATCTTTCTAAGTGCATGTGTTGTATCATTCCAAAATAACTTCTGCAACCTAACAGTTACTCTCAATCTTAAACACCCACATTTGTAAATCTGTACATATGTTTTGTACAAAATGTGATTTCCTACGATTTTTCTAGTTGATGCTTAGTCCAAAAATTTGGTACTCAATACTGCGTATGAGAGTCCCAACACTTAAGGTATCTGTAGCACGCAAAAGTTTGTGCTGCGTTAAAAAAAAACAGTGTGCTTTAAATATGCAATCGTCTTACTACAGTTTCCTCAACTTTCCCCGATAGTTCTGCCTTGCTAAGTTGCTGTTGTGAGTATTGCATCACCGAAAATTCTATTTTTAATTGATTTAAGGTAGCGAATTTCGCAGACGACATGCTTGGCACCATAGCATTTTGATGTATGTGTTGTGTGGGCGTTGATTAGCCGAATGGCGAGTGACAAAAACGTCAGTAGTAATTTTGCAAGTTTTCAGCACTCGAATTCTTGTGGTTGATGCCATGCGAGTCGACGCAATGTTTTCTTGATTCGTGCCGCGTTTACCGTCTTCGTCGTCGTGTTACTCAAACATTTCCTTTAAAAAACCAAAACACTGCACTCCATACACTGCACTCTATACTGTACAGGAAATTCCTGTTGGGTTCCAACATCGCTACCGGTACTTGACAGAAATAAGTCAATACATCTACATTGATTTTGATGGGTACAGATAAATTGATTTGCTAGAATATTACTCTCAGTTTCGTTTCTGGATTTTTCAAGCCCAAAATCTATTGATCGTTATTACAGTGCAGTTCAGATCATAATAGCGGGTTCACACTCTTTGTACGTGACGAAGCGAGAGCAGCCATTTTTAACAAAAGTACGTTTCCATTGTCCAATATGTAAATTAGGGACAGTCCCAATTTGTTGTTATCGGCCTTTGCAGATAATGGTCGGGCATGCATCAGTGGCACTGCCGCAACGAAAATAGCATGACTTGCATGACGTTTCGTGATCGGTGTCTCTCTGTGCGGGCCTGCATGTATGATGAAAACATGTTGCAAAACACACCCATGGAAAAGTACATGATTTGTCAAAGCTTTTGTTACGTTAGCGTTATAGGTTGTAGTCACGTGGCTTAACTCCACATTTGGAAAGTATTGTAACCGACTAGTCCAAAGCCCAAGACCTTGACGAAGTGCATCCTATGAAATCAGTGACGCACTTTTGCCATCAGAGCAATCCTCCAAATTCCTCCACTTTGGCAAAGAGAATTTAGAAGGATTCGGGGCGGTTTAGGCATATGCAGATTAGCCAAAACACAGTGCAGTAACTCTTTGAGAAATTCAATTACCTAGAATCACATTATTACAACTCACTTTTGCCATGTAACCTCAATCCTCCAAATTCCTCCACTTTGGCAAAGAGGAATAAGAAGGATTCAGGGCGGTTAGGGTTAATATGCCAGATTAGTCAAAACAGTGCAGTATCTCTTTGAGCATTCAATTACCTAGAATCACATTATTACAACTCATTACTAAGTAAATAGGGTTATTCTGATGGGTTTTTTTATTTTCCCAATTCCAGGCTACTTTTGCGTTCCCGTTCAGCTGTGTTGTTGACACTTTTGTACCTGGCTGTCTTCTTCAGCGACTTCCAACATGCAGCAGCAGTCAAGCTGGACAGAACGAGCAGCTGCTGGGAGACTAGCAATAGTCGTTGTAAGAAAACTTTATTCATTTTGGTCAATGACTAATCACGTGGCTGGTTATAACCTGCCTGAAGTTTATAGAACACAAGACCACACTCTACGCCACATGCGCGCAGTAACAATACCGCGCTTCTCACACCGACAATTACTTGCTTGAGAACCACTGATAATATATTGAGAAATGCTGGCCACACCACTCACTATTGCACGCACCATACCAATGCCCCGAACATGGAGTTAAATGCTGGCAAAAGTTGCTTTGGAAAATATATCGTTACTTCTTGTTAGTGTTTTATTATGTAAAAGCATTCAAAATGTGGATTGCTTGAAAACACTTTGAGAAAGTGAGGACTTCCGTTCAGTGTGATTGACAACATCATGCATGTGGTGATCAGCCTGTTGATCTATTACAAAATAGGAAATTATTAATGAATAGAAAAACAAATAATTGTAAACTTACTTTTTGCCTAAAAGAAATTCAATCTGTTTACATCTGTTTCTGTAGGAGCATTGCGTGCATTGGCCTGAAAGCATCAACTTGTGCAAGTCTGGTTTGAAATTAATGTCATATTTTTTTGTCAATTTCCCAATCAGTTTTGGATGCCACAAGTGACACCAGTGCCCCGTCTGGCCAGCCAGCCTACCGTATCCTCAATAAGATTGATGAGAGCGTCTACATCGGGGGCAATGAAACACTCATAAGGGTTTTCCTTGCAAACAACGAAGTGGCAATGGAGAAGGTAGGACATTTTCATTAGGTTTATATTGGTTCTTGGTTCTTGGTTCTTGGTTCTTGGTTCTTGGTTGGTTCTTCTCCTAAATACTCCACGTGGGAGTTTATACAGGAGGCCAGAAACACCGGGGCAAACCCCTTCCCTTAGCGATAAGTGTTTACTGGGATTTTTTACGTGCATTATACAACACACGGGACCTACGGCTTTACGTCCCATCCGAAGGACGAAGCAATAATGGTTAAGTGCCTTGCTATAAGAGCGGGCTCGAACCCACGTCACTGTTGCCTCTGAAACACCAGAACATGAGTCCGGTGCTCTTAACCTAAACCATGACACTCCAGTATTGTCTGCCCTGATAGCAAGAAATGTGTTTCTTTCGTGAAAAAGTTTCAGAATGTGATCAACATTAGTAAGGGTACAGAAAGTGAAACAAAGGAGTGTAGTAATGAAGACAAATCATTAATTGGTTCCTTTGAAATAGACTCAAGGCGAGTACTACCTATGGGTTGCTGCTAATGGGGCAGGTTTGGACAATGGAATAAGACGAAACAATAGATTGGTTTGTTACTTGTCTAAATACTCTCATTTCTTTTCCCACTTAGATTGATACGCTGGCAACAAGGGAACCCCAAGGCCTTGTCATAAATTGTGCAACGAAAAATCCAACCACTCAAGAGGTGAGCTGAAACTAAGTTAGGGCTCAGTGTGCAAAATATATTCAAATATTCGATAAGCAACAAAAAGTCCAAATAGTTTGGGTTTTCTGATTTCGAATATAATATGAAAAAAAGTAATGGTCTCGTGGAGATAATGTAAAAATGCATAAGTTGCGTAGGTTTATCGTTTGTGGAATGCCACACTTTAAAGGCAAGCCACTGAGTAGGACAAATGTCAACCACCAACTACCTCTTGTTTTGAATATCTTTATTAATTTGCGATAAGCGCTTGGAGGTGCATGTAAAATCCCATGCTGCGAGTTTTAGCGAGTGCATGATCAGTCCATTAAAAAAAATATTATTTGAATATTCGATTAAGGTTAAGTTGGAAAATGAAATACTGAAATATTTGAAATGAACATCCCTTATTTAAGTATATTGTATTTTTACACAAGCTTTGTATCCATTTCTTCCATATGACACAAACAAATCCAAGGCACTGGACCATTCAGTATAAGACCATTCAGTATAAGGAAAAGCAAGGAAGAAATTTCAAGGCTTTTACTCCAATTCTTGTATTCATTTATTTGCAAACCTATACAGATTGTCTGTAGGAACTTCATACGTATTGCAGAACAAACTAGTTCCGGTGATCTCCTGGTGTGTGGCACTAATGCAGAAAGTAGGCTGTGTTACCGGGTAGGTATCGTGATTTATATCATCCCTTTGGAACACACTTTTGACGTTGGATGGTTATGATTATGAAACTTTTTTAAGTATAGGGCCTTGGGGCCGCCCCGTCGGAGATGGGAACTACAAATTTTGTTTCAATGGCACCACATCTTTTACAACGTTTGGGGCTAATATGTTAGTTTTAGTTTGGGGCAAAATGTATTCATTTCAGAAAGCGCACAATGTTAGGGATATTGGGACCCGGCGAGTCCGTCAGTAGAAGTCTCAGAACCACTTCGTCGTACCCTTTAAGCAGTATGCTGTACAGGGTGAGTAAAAAAAAACACCGAAATCCAAATGTCGGGACTATTGTTTTATTGACGTTCTGCATGTAACACTTTTAAAATCTAGGTTATAAAAGCCCAATTCATAAGCTTTCTTTTAGTACAAGAATCATTCAAATCACTTATGTAGGCCTACTTTTCATGCTACGGAATTTTAAACAAAACCACCGTTTTAAAGTTCTGCCCACGGATCACAAAAAAAGGTGTGCGTTCTTTCAGCAAAACGAAAACAATTCACACACATCCCTATGTGATTTGTTTTCGTTTTGCTGAAAGAACACTAACTTTTTTGTAATCCGTAGACAGAACCTTAAAACGGCGGTTGTTTTTAAAATTATGTAACTTGAAAAGTACATGAGTGATTTGAATGATTCTTGTACTAAAAGCAAGCTTATGAATTGGGCTTTTGTATCCTAGATTTTGAAAGTGCTACATGCAGAGCTTCACTAAAACAATGGTCCCTACATTTGGGTTTTCAGGGGTTTTTTTACTCGCCCTGTAGTGGGCTTGACATTTTAATGGGAGAAGAGAAAGGAGAACAACAGTAGTGAAGTACCGGTAGTGGTACTGTGAGAACTCCGCACGTCAACGTTTGGGTAGGGGGAAAGGAAATCTTTTTTGATCAACTTGTGATTAATTGATGCATAAAATTTCAGAAACTCTGAACTTCTCTGATGATGTCAATTCAGTTTGTTGCTGTGATGTTGCCGTGATACGAAGTATAATCATGTGTTTTTGATGCTATCAGTTATGATCAGAGTGACGCTTCTTCACACCGTTCACAAGTTGCTTTGAACATGCCCGGCCAGGCTGAGGATTTGCACACCAACATTATTTGGTATTGATTAGTTTTTTATGTTGTTTCTTGTTTTGTTTTGTTTTGTTTTTCACAGTGCCCAAACGCCGCTCTAGCTGAGTGCACTCAATTAACTACAAATTATACGGCACTGGATGTGGTTCCTCAACAATACAATATTAATGCAGCGGCAGCTATATTCAGTAAGTATCCCTCATTAACTGATGGTACAGGTATCACTGGGAAAAAAACACTAAGCAAAAAGGCAAAATTACTAAAAGTGAAATCTTCTGGTTTAAAGATAGGCTATGTATTGTACTGAACCTAATATGAGTGATATCCTCCTGAATGTTGTTGTCATTATAAAAAAAAAATAACAACACTCAAGTGTTTTCTTGGCTTGCTGTGGCTGACTTTTATCTGCATTGCTAAAACAGATTGGTTAACATAACTAATCGTTGGTTGAAATAACCAACAATAGGCCCATATCATGCTGCCACCATTTCAGTCAGGTTCCCTGTATCCAATAAGAGTACTGAATGATAATGGTTTTTTGTGCAAAAAGGAACCAGACTATTTTTCCCTCCAGCCTCGCTTTGGTTACATTGATTTGAATGGGGAGGAATCAAATGGCTGCAACATGATAATGGTCTATTGGTTAATATGTGTCCAACCAATCGGTTGGTTGGACACATATTAAACAATTTTTGGTTAACCAATGTTGTTTTAGAGTGTAGCCAAAAGCAGTAATACGTACAATTAACTGCGCCAACTACTTGTTGGCATGGTTTTCCACCATAGTTTTATTTTATTTTATTTCAGAAAGTGGCAATGAAGATATGCTCTACGGTGGGGGTGCAGCAGAAAACACCTTCAGCAGATTTTCTGTAAACGCAGATTTAAGCGCCACTAAGCCCATCAATTTTGAGCTAGATACAGTCACTGTCGGAGAAGGGTTTATCAAGGGTAAGTTGGACAGTCACAGATGACGATTTGTACCCATGCACAGACGACATCAGTAAAATAGATGCATGTACAAAAACAAATTGCCCAGTACAAGGTATTGATGCAAAGTGTACAATTACTCATTGACAACACCAAGTTCTATTTTACATACTTTGTTTTAATAAAGTTGCCTGCTCATTATGCGGTTTTATGCATGTGCAGTGCTTACATGTTTCATAGGTTTAAACTGGTATGCCCTTTGCTGTGTTTTACATCACCCTCTTCAACAACCTCACTAATGACATGATTTCATGGATCCCCAACGATATTTAAACAAAGGGAAATTTTCAGCATAAGAGCACCGTATAATAATGAAAATCTTTGGTGCCAGGCAAAACGCAAATATGACATCTCAAGCATGACTTTTGCATGTGCTCCAGAAAGTAAGTCCTGAAACATGGCCATTTTTGTCGCATTTATGTGGTACCCACTTTCGATATGTCTTTGCCCAATACAAGAGTCACCAAAGCATTCAGTGTCTCTTCTTTTTTTTCTCTACATTTATATCTGTGTTGTTTCCTCGTACGCCGACAGAACCAACCTTTATAGGGAGACCCTTTGATTACACACACGCTGACGGTAACGAGTACGTGTTCCTGATCTACCGTGAAACTGCACTGGAATACACCGCTGGAACCAAAGTGTACTCACGCATAGCCAGAGTGTGCAAGGTACGTACTTTACCGGGAGTTTGTCCTGAGCCCATCGGTCTGGTGTTTATCTCTGGTTTCTTTAATACCATGAAATGACTGAGGATATTCCTATTGCCCCTTGGATGTGATGCCAGTCCATCGCAGGTTACTCCCCAGCTAATGATGGTACACACAGCTCCTGTGTGGAGAGAGGCAGGCGAGGGATAAGTAGCTTGACCAAGGACACAACATATGACTAGCACCAGGATTCAAAGCCCTGACCGTCTCACCAAACCGAACAGTAGGCCACACTCTTCCTACAGGGGGCAGTATATAACCCCTTAGTTTTACCTGTTGTTCCAAATAATCCCAACAATATGGGTGACAAAAATAAGTTTGAATATGCCAAGTTCACAATTTGCCTGCCAATTTGCAGCTATACCTATAAGACTTTACTATTTCCTTGAAGTTTATTTTCAAACTGCCTGGACCATTCTCAACCAAGCTAAAATGTTTTTTTCACCACAACTTAGCCATCTCCCAACTAAAGAGACAATAGTTCCAGTTTCTGTTGAAAGTCTTCATATTGAATGGCGCACACATTCCAAAGGAGAACAAGCAGTGTGTGGGTTGGTTATCCATTCAGACTGAGGACTTGGGACAATGGGGTGTGTGCTGTTTCAATAAGCCCGAGGACCTAGACACTAGTCCTCGGGAGAATTTCGTGTACAAACCTTTTGGGGGCTGTCGAGAAAAAGTACAAACAAAAGGGAGCAAAAGAAGGAAGGTGGCAAGCTCTCATGAGTATAGTAAAACGAACTGGGTGTGGGTGTATGTGTGTTTTTTCTTAATGAAGCTTTGATAAATGTTTACAATTAAACTTGGAATATCGAGTTATCGAGGCTTTTGCCTTTGGGAACAGCTGAGCAGGCGTTGCCAATGGAAGCTGGTTGTATTCCAAATGAAGCATGGCAACTTTTCTGAAATATTCTGAATGTCGTTAATTGTAATTGAAGCATGGTCCGTGGTATTTAAAGACAAAACGAAAAACCAAACAGCTTGTCATTCTTTCATGGGCATTGTTTTTAATCACGACATTGTAGAATGGGAAAAAAAGTCAGCCAAATTCTTTATTAGAAAATTATTCCCCAATTCTCATGTTGTCCATTTACATTCTTTACCATTTAGAATGACACAGGAGGCACCGTCAACACGAAGAAGTTTGTCACCTTCATCAAGGCTAGTTTGGAATGCTCCGTACCTAACGGCGATGAGCCAGCATTTGAGTATAATTACATTCGTAAGTATTGACGTTAATCTTAAGTCTTATCAGGTTAACAGAACGATACCTGACGTGCCATTAGCTATTAGTTCAAAAATGAACAAAAAGCAATCAGTGCACACTGTCACTTTGTGAAACGCAACAACAACAACAACAAATGAACGGATGGAAACATTCTACTGCCCTTTTTTGCAACATGTCTTGCGTTGAACACATAGGCTCAACCAAACTTGTTACAAAACTTGTTACCCATACTTGAATTATATAAGTTTTTCCTAAGAATAATAAAGACGTTCATTTCAGAAAAGAGTTGAAAATAGTTATTTTAGATACACAGATTTCAACTTCCACATAGATCAGGTAGTGTTAGTTCACACTGACCGACGAAAATGGTTCTAGTTTTCCAGTTCATGTAACATGATAATATCAACTTTTCTTTACATAAGCCCGGTGATGATTCTCATCTTATAAGATAGAAGGGACCCCCTGAGTTAAGTGCGATGCGTGTATTGTAGAGTAGTTTATCTTCATAAACTTAAATGGCTGGAATTACTTTAAAAATATGCTTTATAGTTGATTATTTACTATAGCATTCTTCCTGAATGACTAAAACATGTTCAGCAAATCATGAATGGCTAAGCTAAACTGTACGTTTCTGACGCTCAAATCAGGGAAATGTTCAACAAACTTGTTCAATTTCAATTTGCAGAGGATGTTGTCTGGGATGCCAATAATCAGAGCGTGTATGCAGCATTTACCAATCAAGAGTAAGTTAAACTATCTCGCGCTTATGTTATTAAGTCACTTCTTTTGTTCATAAATCAACAAGAAAAGAAAAGGAAAAACCGAAAGGTGAATTCAGAGAGACATTGTATATTAAGAAAGGAGTGAACTGGAACAAACGTTGTAGTTGTGAAATAAGTTAGTTAATTTAATGCAATGAAAAAGTAAGTGGTGGACCAGGGGGGAAATGGAAATGATATAAACAAAAGAGGTCTACAGAACATATAATTAATCTAAAATAATTGAGCTATCATTTTAACTCCACACATCATGTTCACATTTATGCAAGGGTTAATGTTGTTAACTGTCTCATCCCGCTTCAACGTTGGGAATGGGCAAGAAATGTACCTATGTTTATGATTTCATTAGGAGGAAATGTTTATATGAAATACAAGGATACATCTGTCTTTCTTGAAGAATAGTTGGCCCAGTTTCTTTCAATTTTCTTTGTTAAGCCCAACCTGATGTATAATTATTTATTTGGTTTTGTTATTTTATTATTTTTTTTTTTTTGAATTTTTTTTTATTTTGTTATTTTTTTTTTTTTTTTTTTTTTTTTTTAAATTTATTTATTTATTTATTGGGTTTTTTTTTTTTTGGGGGGGGGGTTCTTGTTTTGTATTAAATAAGTTTTGACTTGTCAATACCCATGGTATACAAGCAAAATTGGAGGCCTCTTTTAATTTTGAGGGGGAGACTGTCGAAAGTATAGATCCCACTTGTTCAGTAGGGCTACTGTTTAGAACATCTACATTTCTTTAAAATGAGAAACTTGGTGGATTGTTTTTCAATGACTTATATAGTTCATGGATATGATCGCTATTTCAGTAATGGACCCGTGTCGTCAGCCCTTTGCCAGTACAGGATGGAGGATATCATGAATCTGTTCGATAACGGTAATTTCCTGCAACAGACTGGTGGCAGTGTCAACGCTGTGTGGAGTGAAGTGACTACGCAACTGATCCCAAGGCCTGGGACGGTATGTCCATTACATGTGCATGCTAATTTAAAAGACGCTGTGTGCAGAAGCTGCAGATTGCACTGTCACCTTTAATGAGAACACACATCAGCAGTATTAAATTGTGGGGTACTTGCATTGATCTTATTATCCCCATCATACAAGGGGACCAGATTGTTTTTATGATTACCATCTCATAAAAACAATCTGGTACCGGCCATGAATTGGGCATAGCCCATTCTGGATCAATAGAATGGAATTCCGTTTCTTCTAGGGACAACCACACGCATGCCATGTCTTGTCTATGGTTTTACTGTCACCACATCTCATTGGCACACTTTTTGGAATATTTTCTTGATACAGATGTAGGCCCTGTATTGATATTGTTTATTTTGTTGTTTACCTGTCAGTGTTATGAAGTACACACTACTGACTATCCTCCACTGCTGGATAAGTCGGTGCCCAGCTATAATGCCAAGGAACGAACTGGGGGAACTCAAGTTGCACCACCATCCGATTTTCACAAATCAGATCCGCCCATACTTAACGTGGACGATGTTCGCTTCACCAGCCTCGCTGTCGATTTGCAATATTCTTCTCCAGTCTACTTTGTTGGAACAAGTATGTACCTGTAAACAACGTCAAGAAATAACTCATGTCATCGGCAACTGCATTTCAAGTGGGGTTCCAGATTGGGTTCTTGATTTGGTTCCAATTTCGATCCGAAATTGGGGAAGTCTTCAAACTGATGTTTACTCCTCGAACTTGAAAACAGAAGTAAAGGTCTCTTCTGATAGATAGTGAATAGGGGCATTACGAGTAGTTTTTGTCGGGAAGAGGGCATGTAGCACTCACATCGTTATTGACCGTGGTACATTCCAATGCGAGCACCAAAGGCCTAAAGCCCTACAACCAAAGGATCATCACAAGAAAGCTTTTCAAAAATCGGAGCAGAGATCCCAGGTCATCCGAGTTCTGAAAAATACTCAAATAATGCTAAATTAGCGTACTTGTCATGACATATCCACACCATTTAATAATGAGACTCCAAATACATGTCAGCGATTGAGAGTAGTAAACAGCCCGAATTATCTCAACAAATAAAAAAAAAATATACTTCTCTTGCCCTTTTCCCCTCTTTCCTCAAAAGGTGCTGGAAGTGTGATCAAATTTACGACAGACGTATGCGACGGAGATAACATGATAAAAAGTGTTGAACTTGCAGGATTCGTAAGTACTTATATCTTATATCTTACGAAGCTTACTTTTTGTTCCAGGAAACAGGGTTCCCAGCCACTATGCAAACCAGGGGAACTTTGAAAACGCGGTTTCGTTTGTCCAGTCAGGGAAAAGTAAGGGAATTTGAAAAAAAAAACACATATAAGTCAGGAAAAACTCAGGGAATTTGGAAACATCTAATTTCCGAGAAAACTCAGGGAATTAACAGTAACCCGAAGAGAAAGGTTTTTGCCAGTTTGGCGTCTGTGTGTCTTGTAACATGTATCCAGGGCCGTCCATTGATTGGCTGGTTTTGATGGCATTTTTTTAATTAATAAAGTGTGAATATTAGACAACTCTCCAGACATTAACAGTTGGCTGGAGTGCTACACCACCTCTTGATTTCCCAGCAACTTTATTACAGTGAAAATATTCCTCATGGCATTTTTTAATCATCAGAGAAAAACTGGGAATTTTGTTTTTATAAAGTGCTGGGAACTGTTTTAATATTTGCGGTGAGTATAATTACCTATAAATATTGCTTCTTGTACTGTTAGTTGCAAGAATCACTTGTTAGAGGGGATGGAAGAAGATGTAAATAAGAAGCGATTTTTTTTCCCGAAGAATGCCAACGGTCCCATAAATGGGCTGGAATTGTTGAGGAGTGCGGATTCTGCTGCCACTTTCCTGGTGGGCACATCCGATGTCCAAGCCTCCATTGAATGGCCCTTGAACACCAAATGCCAATCAGCAGAAAATGAATTGCAGTGTGCGCTCAGGTACCCTTACTGTAACTACACTGAAGCCGGATGCGGATGGTAAGTGCTCCACATCAGCTCCTTATAGTCACAGAGTCCCATATATCACACCACACATTCACCCCACTCTGTGCTGTAAGCACTGTCTACCCCAAGCTGTCCAAGAAAGCTAGGAACAACTGCAACAGTGGTCGTAGGTGCATATTCACTGCCAGGATATGTTTCTAGAGGGGAAAAGGCACTCCCTAGATTCGAAGGGGAAATCACCAGCCGTGGGAAAAATTGACGCCCGTGTTGACAAATCTACATTCAATAAACAGTAATATGATTTGCCCCTCGTCTTTTCCAGTTTGCAGGGCAAGTATTTTCTTTGCCCCCCCCCCCCCTCTCTATAGCTACGCTCATGCTTAGGTTTGACTCGAACCTGCAACCTCCTGCATACTATTTTAACCTATAAACCACCTGACCATTTTACATACTGGTAATTTCAAGTCATATTCTGTTTATAATACAAGTCATATGCTGATTTGTCATATGTTGATTAAATTCTTATTTCTTTCTTTTCCCAGTACTGCAAATAACTGCATCAATGACCCGCCTACAGGTACGTCACATCCTTTTTCATGTGGCGCATTATAAATCAGCTTGAAGATGACAACTGGTTTTACTAGCGAAATGTTACACTTAAACCAAGTATATCATGGTATTTCGGTCTGTAATCACATCATCGTAAATGGAGCTGCATTATCAGTTTTGGTATGGAAAGATGACTCTGCATATTGATAGCAGTTGGTTTGTAGCAAAGTGTACGCCAATTTAAATTAAGGCAGTATTGATGACATTTCTATCAAGAATACACTTGCCAGAAATAAAGAAAAAATGGCAACAGTCGATAACCAGTCTGAGTCACTATAGTGATAGTCAGTCAGTGAAATAGGTACGAAGAAACAATAGGCTGGCCCTCTTCGACCAGCAAAAAAAATATATACTTTCATTGATCCCTTCAATATTACAAAACAAGAATTTCACATTTGGTAATGGCCAATGTAGTGGGGCGCTTAGGCGGGTGATAATGGCGCACGTCATGGCGGTACAAATGCCGACGTTCGCGCGACGTTCAAAAAATGGCACTCATGAAAAAAGGGCACTTGTGGGAAAAAAGGACACTCGTGAGACAATAGTGAGGGGGGGGCCAAATATCCAATCACCCCATCCCCTGCGGATGCTGCGCCACTTCAATGTATAATTTTTTGAGAGTGATTATCGTGTGCTCAATCTTTTGCAGATTTTGCTGATGATGTACTGACAGTGTTGCCAAACTCAAACGTATCGGCCTGCCTGAACGACACCGTGCGCTGGTTTTGCCATGTAGACCGTGACAACCCACTTGTCAAATCTGCTGAAGGAGTCACTTTTAAATGGGATATAAGTAAGTACTCAGGCTGGTTCATGTTTTACGCGAATTTCAGTGCGAAGTGAATTCATTTGGGTCATGGCAAATGTGGCAATGAAACTGATATGGTTGAAGTCTTGAGAAAGGCTTCAATTGTTTTTGCGTAAACTATATAGTCTTTGGTGAAGCATTTAATGCGCAAACTAGGAAAGAAAAGACATTAACAAAACTACCAACATCATAGGACTGGATATAGGTCAGTTGATAGAGCACCGAAATGGGAATTCCGTTTTGGTTTTTACGGCGGATACTGATGATATCGTGGACTGATCGCATAGCAATGTAGAAAGAGCAAACACATCACGTGCTTTATTGCAAACAATTACAACCCGCCAGATCCGCTTCCTTGGCCATATCCTTCAGAAGAATTGACTTGAGGCAGTTGCCCTGATTAGTTCTATTGCAGAATGTAGGGCACGAGGACGACAACGAATGACTTACCTCTCTTGGCACAGAGATGTCATTGGCACAAAGCCCCTTGATATCACACGCCAGTGCCAGCAAAAAGAAGAACACATTTTGATACGCAACGTCAGATTCTGACAAGTCACATCAATGGATGGAGGTTCTAGCCCCACTACAGTCAATTGCTCTGTTCAAGTATGAGAAATCTTGCTCAATATGTATTTTTATTTATATACATGTATTTATATCTACAGTGGTAAGTGACCTGATCAAGACAACGAACATATCAACTAATGAACTGGTTCAATTGGACGTCATTGTACAGAACAGCACCCTAGGAAGCTACAGCTGCACGGCGGATGTTGGAGGCAGAGTGGTGACTAAACAAGTTGAAATCTCTATGAAAAGTAAGTCATTAATCAGCTTCTCATTGTATTCTCCAAATGTATTTAGTGACGGTATAAACTTAGAAAAGGAACGTTACACCAAAGTGGGATATCTATTTTTTCGGCAAAACCTTGCTCGCATTTTCTTCATTTGGTTAGACTGCAGTGATAATAATAACGGTGGACATTTATAGTGCGTCATGTCTGTCAGATTTGGCACTCCTGGTGCAATTGTCGGTGATATGGAATATTGCAATGTTGGCACAAACATGTACATGTATTATTACAACAAAATATACTAACATTGTCATTGATGGCATATAGCTACATAATAGTGGCATCACGATAGGAAAGGAGGGCACAGTGATCAAGCCCAACCCTTATGCCAAGTACATTCAGAAGAAGATCCCAATTTCATCCACAATTTGGCCATAAAAGAGCGATTTGCTACGGTTCGTTTGAATTTGACTTGACTTTGGACTGGATGACTTGTGATTGACTTGTAATGACTTGTGATATACACGACAACACTGAACATTATGCATAATGTGAACACCAGTACTAGAATTTGTATCCTTGTGGAGACATTTCTTGTTTGAAAGTGTATTTTCAAAATGCTCATATTTTAACCAGAATTAATTTCCTTGGCTGAAATTTGGACTGAATATCCCTTTTCTAAAACTCTTCCATTTGCGACTGATCAACATACCTTGGAAATTCCTAGTTTTTGAGTGAAGTCCATATATCTATTTCGTGATAACCTTGTGGAGACGTATTCATCTATAGAAATTGCCCTGTGGAGATGAATACAATCTTTTGTTCCCTATTGTGTGCATGTCTTCAGAGGGCACGGTGTATCAGATCACAAAAACATCACATTGTTTGGATATAAGTAATATCAATTCGACTCTTAAAAATATATGTTTGGGTTTTTTTCAAATATTATTTGAAGTAAATCAGGCCTCAGTTTCCAAAACTACCCCCTTCTGTCATGAATATTCACCTTTCTAACAATTTTGATAACTGTAATTGTTGTTATAGTGAACTGTTTGACATATGCTAACCTCTACGCCCGATACCAAGATTATTGGTTTCATAAATCACAGAGTGAGATACTGCACATGAAGTATGGCAACGGAACAGTAAGTTGGTTTCAAAGTGTGGTGTTTTGATATGTATACATGCTTTATGTAAAATGCATGCTTTATGAAAATAGAGAAAGTGAAGTCAATTTTAAACTATTTGGCAATTATTGAAAATGTTCTTCAAAAGAAAACGTCATTCTTATTCTGCCCTGTCTGACTACTTTGCCCAGCAAAAAGCAATAGTTTTTCTGTAGTTAATTATTTGTCCAATCCTTTCAAACTTGAGATTTCGACATTGCGTCATAGAGGGAGGCTGTCTATCAAATGTACGTAAATCTGTCGTCCCTTTTACACAAGATAGGCCTACAGTGTTTTTGGCGAAAAACGAGGCTTGCAGGATTCACATCGTACATGCATTGCGTAGTCGTAAATAACACAATTCGTACGTTACGTGACTTGCAGGAGTTAACGCGAGCACACACATAGACAAAGTGTATCCTTATGAGGTTTAATCAAAATAATCTTTGTTATTCAATTACAAAAAAAAATCTAAGAAAAAGGTTGTGTATCCTATTTCAGCGAAAAGTAGTGTGGGTGGGCAGGTTAACCTCTTGATTCTTTCTTCTTCGTTTTCGGCTGTTAATCTTTATGAACATAAAAAAAATAGGGGAGGATAATAGTTGGATAATAGTATTTTTTCCAGTGCATTCGTATAACAGTTCACATGTGAATTCACTATTCATTCTTTGTTTGCTGTGTTGCTTGCAGGCTTCACTGCAGTGCGCGACAAAGACCACAATACCGACCACCTTACACAAACAAAATGAAACCGCAATTATTAAAAAGAAAATGCAGGACAAGGGCGGATCCAGAACACAATTTTTTGAGAGGGCCCCGAAAAAAATTTGGATTCTAGATGCTCTGTGGTGCGATCTGAGGCAATTTCTGACCACTTTAACCAATGTTTTTTTGAGGAAAAGATGGTGGTGTACTCATTGCCTGCCTTTATTGCGATGTCACATAAAACAAAAACAAAAAAATTGGTTTCGTTTTTGGGGGGGGGGCATGGCCCCCTTTGCTCCCCCCCCCCCCCTGGATCCGCCCTTGATGCAGGATGATGTCGGCCAAAAAAAATAATTGGTTGGGGTGGCACCGTTACTGTATTTATACTCATATAGATATTTTTTTCGAATAACAAGATTATGAGTGATGTATTTATTTTTTTAACCCAATTTACTTGGGTAAGTTTGGAACTCTTTGGCCGAGAATCTGCTTTCTCATAAGTTGTGTTTATGTGGGGTTTTTTGCAGGAACCTTCCGAGCCATGCCAGCCTTGCACCACATGTGAGTGAATTTGCCAAGCTCTAGTCAAGCTGCACAAAACAAAACTCTGTCGACTTAACATGTACAGCATCACTATCTTCAAAGTCACCACGATACCTTTTTCTTCAATACATTTATACATGTATATGTAGATCTGAAAGTTGTTTTTTGAGTGGTCGGGCACAACCCGGCCACTTTTTAGAATTGTTTTGATAAATTTTCTTTGTTTCTTTCTCTTCTTTGTTTACTGACAATAATTCCCCGCGGGTTTTCACCTAAACGGTATATGGTATGACCTGAAAACTTTCAACATAATTATATTGGCCCTCATCCCTAGTGGTGCATATTACTCTGACGTCATGATGACGTCATCGGGTGTGAAATTACAAGCACTTAAAAATTTCTAGATTTCATCTTTGAAAATCAAAGTAATTATCAACCGTGAAAGATCTGAACATGACTTTTGCGGGACTAGAAAAATCCATGATCTTTTTTATTTTATCTCATGTGCGCCAAATCACGTGACTCTTCCTTCCGGTCCAAACCGGAAGTGCCCTGTAATTTGAAAGTGGAAAAAGATATGAACTTGCTTTTAACAATGTTAGTCTCTAGTTAGGTTCTATATACTTTTTAAAAAAAATACCGATGACGTCATTAATGTTAGAGCACCCTCTAGCGGCAGGTTGAACAATGTTTTAAATGAATTTTCAGTTCATGTCTGTTGCGAAGTTTGCGGTAATCGCTTCAAAATGATTATACATTATACATGATGACCATTATGCAAACAAGACGTGTACGAAAAACAAATTATGACGTCATCAAACCGAAACGTCACGATGACGTCATCAAGTATCAGATTACAAGCAACAAAACATTTCTAGATTTAATCTTTGAAAATCAATATAAAATCAACTGTGAGAAATCTGATTTTGCTTTTTCACGGGAATAGATAAAATAATCCAGTTTCTTCATTTTTGATATTAAGTGCGAATTCACGTGAGTCTTCCTTCTGGTCCAAACCGGAAGTGCTTTATAATTTCAAATTGGGAAAATATTTGAACTTGCTTTCAGCGATGTTATTCTATGTTTTGGTTGTACTTTAGAAAAAAATACCGCAGACGTCATAAAATGTTACTGCGCCTTCTAACAACAGGTTGAAAAATGCTTTTAATTGAATTTTTAGTTGATTATTGGAGCAATGTTTATAACATAATGAAATAGATACGAGCACTCTGCGTTTGTAACTCAACAAACGCCAATTTATCTTTTTTTTATTTTTAAATTTAATATAAAAAAAAACGCTCAGACTAAATCAGAATTGCAGACAGGGATCAGCTTTAGGATCTGCCATGCACAGCAATTTGCTAACCGCAGAAAACATTTGATTACCAAAAACATACGAAATTGGTACAAATAACTTGCAACTTGTCCTCCGCTAATTTTTGCTTGAGTGAGTACCATTGAATTGGGTTTGTATGTTTCTGTTTTTAATTGGAAAGTCTAAAGAATTGGAAATTCTGGCAACAGCCGCGTGTACCATTTATATAAAGAAATTGAATAAAAGTACTCAGTCAATTGTTCAGCAAAAAAATATATATAACATTGATTACATCGAGTTTGGTAAATTTGATTTTGATTTGATTTATTTGATCTTAATAGCTTTAACATTCATTTTGTACAGCTTATTAACCACTTCTTATATACTTCAATGCATGCAACTTTTTTTGTTTATCAAAAAACTTGCCATGTAGCTTTTAATTTCTTTGAGTTATTATTGAATGTGTCGCCACTTGATGACCAAAGGGTTAAAGACAAGTAAAAGGAACCGTTTACTTTTGGGTACCTTTCAACTTATTACACAAAAAGGAGTGTGACTTTTTTGCCATGACCGTTGCTTTCATTCGGATTTTATTTTTCACGTTTTATTTGTTCGACAAATTCGCATGTAAATATACTCCTTAATGCGATACATCATGAAGAATTATTGGACGGAATTTCAATTCAACACATTAAATAAATCGTGACTTTTCAACCGAACCCTCGAGTTTTTTTGTCATGCACGATGACATTCATTCGGAATGTGTTTGCCATGTTTAACACATCAATTTTTAAGTTGCCTCGCTCACATTATTTGAACTGTTTTGTAAATTGTCATAAAACTAAATTTTCGAATGTAAAACACTAATAGACCACTGTCACTTTTTTGTTGCCCACAAATTAGATAATTGACAGAAAAGGAAGAACTTTAGGAGGAAATTCAAGCAAATGTGAAGATTACATATCTTGCACCTGGGTTTACACTTCATGCTTCACTGAAAAGAGATATTATTTCTTCAAGGAGTAACTGAAGTTTCTTTAGAAATAACTATTATCCCGAAAGAGTGCCTGTTACATTTGATTAAGTTGAAGTGTAAGTTTTGAATTTTGTTCATATAAATCTCCAGTTTCGTACAACGATTAAAGAACATTGAAGTTGAAGGCAATTTGTCGACTTTGACATTGATACACGCGTGGAGAATCTGTCAATTACATGTACCAAGAGTTACACCTACAATGCAGAGGAATGCTTAGGCGCGTCCCTCTGCCACATAACTTCACCCAGGAGAACAATGGGCCTGCACGCGCATCGATCCGCGGCACGTGCCAACTTGGGGGTTAAAGGTCATACAACTTGTTTTCTATGGCCCAGGCCATGTAGAGACGCCTTATAAGGAATTCACAGGTGTGAATCTCTTCATATCTACAACTGTACCTTTTTCATCTACGGCAGACAATACCACAGGGAGAAAAATCAATACCTCTGTCAAACCGACCAAAAAATGACTTGGCAACAGAAAATAGGTTCTTGAAGCTGGGAACCAATTGAAGACAGAAAATATAAGCTCAACGCCAACTAAATCTAGTCTGCATATTTTTCTTTTTAAGCTTAGAACCAACTTATTTTAGAATGGAAATGAGGGGCAAACTCCGGGTTGTACCTTGCGTCATGTCGAATGAAACAAAAATAACCACGAACTGTATTTTTTAATCTCGAAACCTGATCATTTTAACTTCCATAATAAGGAGGCTCGGAGCCCTTTTTTTGAATTTGCAAGAAAATTTGTACAAGAAAAGAGAGACACTCAAGATCTGGACACAAAATCTCGTGCATGGGGGAAGTCTTTTTTTTACAAATAAGAACTGCAAGTATGACAAGGTTACACAATAATTTCCAGGAATAATTTCTAAAAAGTTTTCACTTACCTCAGAAATTGTTTTTGACTTACCAAAATGACGAATTTTCAACTTGTCCACACGATAAAATCCACACACAAAAATTCTTCACAGGCAATAGCCACAACACAGTCACACAGGCAATAAATCCATGACACTGGAGTTTGAGATGTTTCACAGATTTAGTTCATAGTTCAACTCATGTATTTATCTCGGTTTCTTGGTTCAGATCTTAAGGGTCCGTCGCTTTTTTTGGAAAAGTCCTAGGCTACTCCATTGAATTATTAATGACAGTTTAGATACTTAACTTTAACTTTTAGTTCAGTATTTTACTCGCAACAATTCCATGGACAGAAGTCCGGTACTGAGTAGTAGAACTTGGAGTGCTGCGAATTTCAACAGAGCAGCGATAGGGTTCATTTCCCAAAAAAATCACTGGAAGTTTAGTTAAAGTCTCTGTTCCATATCAAGTTTAACTCACGACATATGCAGGGTAAGAAGTCTGAGAAGTGAGTGCAGATCTTGCAGTGGAGAAAATTGGGAGCAGCGGCAACGCCATCTTTGAATTATCCAACTTAGCCGTGAAAAAAACGCTGAAAATTTCAACGTTTTTTTAATTGTGGACAAAAGAAGACGGTGCAAGTCGTTCCGAATTAATTTTGAGTATAACCACAGCATACTATATCGCTAGCAAACTTACTCGCACAAAGCAGCCAGCGGTGGGGAGTGATTAGGCGAGGTATTCATTTTACACGAAAATAACGAGCTTGCAGATATGTTCATCGCGGCTTGACTTTCCTACCAAATCAACCGAAAGTACTTATTTCAACACAGTTTCAACTCATCGTAAACCTTGTATGCTGTGTTCACCTCAAAAAATCAGACAAGTTGTTATTTCGACAAAATAAATCATCGTATTTTGATAAAACGTTGCGGACTATTTTCTTTAAACGAGAAGAGATACCGAAATGAAACCGGCTGACTTGGTCATGCACTCAGTGTCGAGATTGATTCCTATTGGTCGGAAGTGGGACAGTAACAGTTTTGATTGGCAGGTGGGGACTGCTCTTGTTTACGTAATGATTTCAAAGCCTCGACTTCGCTCCAGATTAGGTTTTCTCCGAGTCAGGGACGCCGCATTCGAAGATCGAACTTAGGTTTCAAAAAGCCCCAATTATAATGTACTCTAGCTGTACTCCATACGGTTGCAGTAAATAGGCTCAAAATGGCCTATACGCCGAAATCACGATTCGCATGCCCTCAAGACCAAAGTATCTGCCATTAGAGCATTTTTGTGGGCCATGGCCAAGGACCTGAGGGTTAAACAAGAAGGGCGGAAGTCTTGAACAGGACTGTTAGTTAATCCCCAGTTTTACAGGGCTGAATCGAACTTCCCAGATTACTCGCGGCCCGACCAAAATCAACACAAAATTCAAGCCATTGCAGAGGATTGCAGACGCCCAAGATAGAAAGAGAATTGTCTTCGTTAAATAAACCATACCAATATTGGTAATAGTGATTAGGGAAGAATAAAATTTTATGAAAAGCACGGACAGTTGCATCGGAAGAAAAAGGTGCCACGCCCACCACAAACCGCAAATATACTTGTTTGTCTCCAGGCTAGAAAAAAAATCAACTTCTATTTGCGGTCTGGTGGAGTCGGAGCTATAACCATGGTGCTTTCCGTTTCATAGCTCCATTTTTAACTGAGTTTCAAACAATTTGACCGAAAAAAGCAAATTCTTCTTAACAGAAAGTTCCTTCCTTATTTTGTGGCCCCTGGATTAAAACTTTTAAATCCAATTATCACTTGAACATCAAACACAAAGGTGACAGAGTGTATGCTCTTATAAAGCTGCTTGGTTTACATGCTCAGTCACTGGAATGGTTGCTTGGCAACTATCCTCCAAGTTCGGACTTAGTTTGCTTTTTTTCTTCAGGTTTTGTGCAAAAAAGTCGCTTATTCAACTATTTTTTGACGTACAAAGTTGGAGGTTGCAGTTTCCTCCATGGCAGTACAAAAGAAAGAGGGCGGGCCGCTATTATCTTCAAAGTGAGAAATAGCGCCCTCTAACATCCATCAGTAGGACACCAACGCTAGAGCATGCAGTGTATGCAGTGCACGTAGCAGTACTGCAGTGCCAAGAAGCGTGGTTAACCGGTTAGCTCCGAGTCCAAAGTAAGGTAAGTTCAGAACTTTTCATTCTTATGAATGGGATCATAAAAGTTACTGGGCCCTAATGTAGACCATTTAGGCCTCGTTACGGCATTTGTTCGGCAGCCGACGGTAACGCAGTTTTCAAGTGCTTTCGTCTTAACCACCACTGCACCAGCTCAGCTTGCAAAAGCATTGGCATGAGATTCAATATCATTCACGTCACAAATTTGCCAGAGTGCTTCGATAGCTCGATAGTCTGGTTACCAGACCAAAAGATTCTGACTATTCCTGATGAATATTAGGTCCGGCAGCCTCCGGTAATACATTGTATTACAATTTACGTCACGTGACTACAACGGGAGGAATTCCTCCTTTTTCCGAAAATGTCTGAGGTTTGCCGAATTCATTTCGTCGACAATAGGATAGGGCCCAAGTATTTCCGAGTATAATATAGGCTTAGGTTTAATTAAAAGCTAGGCTAATTCATTTTAATTGTGTATTATTTTTTTTATAAATGAGTTGATAATTAATATTCATTGCTTTCATTTAGAAAACTTGAAATTCAACGACGATTTTGTGCATCAAGTATACTCGGATTGTATGGGCAAACTTGTTGCTGCGTCATGTACTAACTAGGCCTATTTTTAATTTGATGACCGTTACTGAGATTTTCCAAAATTCGGTCTTTATTCGGCTCTGCCTGCTAACACTATTTGGGAGCCTAGATTTGAAGATTCCAGATCAACATCAGTCAATGTTTAATAACTTACAGAAATATCAAACTGTCTTATATAAATCATAACTGCATGATATTGATATTACGAAGCAAGTAATTTATTTTTAAAATTTGATCAGAATATTAAAAGCTATAAAGTGATAAAGCGAAATCGGAAACGAAGCCAAGCTTTGAAAAAGGCCATCAATGTCGTCATGTTTATTTTTAGCCATGGGGGCTGCCTGACCTACAATTTAGACGTGAGCGTTGGGAATAATCGTCATGTCTGGAAACCAGACTAATAGCTCGATTGGTTAAAGGTTTAACTAGTATGACGAACTTTGTTCCAGGGGTTTTTTGTATTTTTTTCTTCTATTTATTTATTAATGTTATAACACGCCTTAGCATACGGAGTGTCATGGCCTAGCGGTTAAGGACACCGGACTCATGTTCTGGTGTTTCAGAGGCAACAATGACGTGGGTTCGAGCCCGGGCGCGGACACTTGTGCCCTTAAGCAAGGCACTTAACCATTATTGCTTTGTCCTTCGGATGGGACGTGAAGCCGTAGGTCCCGTGTGTTGTATAATGTCTAATGCACGTTAACCCTTACCCTACTTGACCCTCCAATGCATGCCAATTGTGCCTCAAGAAAATCTCCTATGTTTTTTGCATGGCCCTCCAATATCTGCCATGTCATTTCAAGGGTAACTGGACAGGCACTCCAATACATGCCACAGAGAACAATGAGGGTGCATACCTGCAAATAAACTCCCATAGACACTAGTGCTAAATGCCCGTACTTCAAAATTCTTTTAAAAATACTCAAAACTCTCACAGGTATTCAAGCTGCACAGAAAAATGATGATCAATGTGTCATCTTTCATTTTCTTTTCAATTTATGGTGGGTTGACCATTGACTTTTCGAGATATTTTCACGCAAAGAAGACGACCCCTATTTTCCCCAAAGCGGAAAAGTAGCCATCTTGAAAAACGATCCCTCCACAACATGGCAAAATAGCGCCACTTTCGAGCCCAATAGCATCCAAAATGCTCAGAATTGGAAGCCCCAAGTCCGGGCTAGAGGTTCACTACCATATCTCTTCAATTCCCCAATTTTACGGCGCTCAGAACTCTCTAATATAGAATATTTTGAGGGTATAACTTTTATTCATGAGCTTGGCGGATCGATTTACAGGTGTGTACCCTATAATAGCAGGCAACTTTTAAATTTTAACACAAAATCACATTCAGGACAAGCAGAATATCTCCAAAGTCAATATTTTGAAAAAAAAAATGAAAGAAAAATATTATCCGAGGTAGATATTAAGCCCGAAAATAGTGATTGTTTTGCCCCTGCTAAGCTGTAGAGCGCCCCCAGCGACAATAAATTGAGTTCCAGCTACTTTTAAGCTCAAAATGCCCCCCCCCCCCCCTTTTCAAGTATCAATTGTTGTAATCGGGTGATAGCCTACTGCTCCCTAATGATTTGGAAGCATCCGTTACGGCAAAAAACCCTTGTTGATACCTTTAAAACACTTTTTCCCCCTCCCCGTAGGTTCCGCCCACTGAAAAGACCACTGCCGCGGCACAGCGCATGCGCGAAACGGCCATCTTTGTGATTCTTTATAGGGTGCATACCTGCAAATAAACTCCCATAGACACTAGTGCTAAATGCCCGTACTTCAAAATTCTTTTAAAAATACTCAAAACTCTCACAGGTATTCAAGCTGCACAGAAAAATGATGATCAATGTGTCATCTTTCATTTTCTTTTCAATTTATGGTGGGTTGACCATTGACTTTTCGAGATATTTTCACGCAAAGAAGACGACCCCTATTTTCCCCAAAGCGGAAAAGTAGCCATCTTGAAAAACGATCCCTCCACAACATGGCAAAATAGCGCCACTTTCGAGCCCAATAGCATCCAAAATGCTCAGAATTGGAAGCCCCAAGTCCGGGCTAGAGGTTCACTACCATATCTCTTCAATTCCCCAATTTTACGGCGCTCAGAACTCTCTAATATAGAATATTTTGAGGGTATAACTTTTATTCATGAGCTTGGCGGATCGATTTACAGGTGTGTACCCATGAGAGTCCTCTGATAACAAAGTGAGTGCCCCCAGCTGGTCAGTATCAGGCACCCTCCAGGGCCTCCAACTCCTGCCAATTGGAGCCTTCACTGTTAAGACTTGTTATCTGCCAAATAACTGCAGCTGGAGGGCATTGGCATAACCAACTGACATGCAGTAAACTACCCTCAGAGAGTAAGGGTTAAAGAACCCAGTACACTTATCGCTAAGAGAAGGGGTTCGCCCCGGTGTTTCTGGCAGTGCGATTATCTTCAGCCATGAAGTCTGTACTTGTAAGGAAGAAGAAGAAGAAGAAGAACAAATAACCTACTTTTGTGTCTTTAATCAAATCATTCTTTTTATTCAGTCCTTCTGATTTGAGGCTTGCAATCGCACCCCCACGCCATCACACGCCTTAGCATACATTTGCGGCATAATTATACATCTGTGAGCTCTTGAAATGGCTTTACTGTAAACCAAGATGAATATTATAAAAAAAATACCAGATTGTTCAGTCCCAGTTTGGACCAAAATCACACACCTAGAAAATCACACGCCTAGAAAATCACACGCCTAGAGAAAAATCCAGGTAGTGCCTTTTTCCACACGCATGTAATTTCCAAATCAGGACTGTTTATTTAGTTTTTAGGTAGATTTAATTTTCTTCTTTGACTTTGTAATCACTGGATTTAGAGGATTTTTTTAGATAGGCCTATATCGCTGGATCCTTTTTCTTTTAATTTCACTATGGTAAATGACATTAAACCAGAGATCTTCCCTCTGTGATGCATAGACGAATAGGCCTACATTATATTGTACATATTTAAATTACAAATACCACCATTATTTGACCAGCAGGTGTCATGGGTGTGGCAGAAATTCAGAATGGATGGCGCGTCTGATAATGTATGTATGTGAGAGATCCCGGGTTTGATACCCCTGTCGCGCTCAACTAACATTTTAGTATTGGGTCAGGGAACCAGGGGGTTGACTCCCATGCTGTAAAGATAGCAGTTGAAAGTTGCATTACAGCTATCGTAACGATAGCCACTGCCTTCAAAGAGACAGTCATATTAGTGGTCAAATATTCATCCTCTCATGCTTAGGAAATTGTAATGGATTGTTGGGACATAATTCTGTTAAAACCAAGAAAATGTTCCGTGCACATGAATAGATTGCTGCTGCCGTAACCTTCGACACCTGTTGTTATTGTTTGCGAACTCCATTTTGTTCTCCTGCAGTGAATCAGTCAGCACTCCGACAGCATCCAACATCATGGTGCGATTGACCGATCTCTTGCTCATGGCTCGCCGCGCCGGGGAGAAGCCAACCTGGCAACGAATCAACCGACACTACCGCTACGTCATGTCGCGGCCGTGGACCATCCAAGCCCAGATTGCTAATCTGCCGGGACGGGATCGCAAGAAGGTGCAAGTGGAGCCCATCCGGAACTGGAAATTCTTCAAGGGAGATCTCGTAAGTCAAGGGTGCCCCTAGTCCGTAAAATTTGGGACTCTCGATACTGTGTATGAGAGTCCCAAAACATAAGGTATTGAAAACATGCAGTACAAGAAAATAGACTGGCACCTGAAACAACCAGTCCGACACAGCTTCAGTACTGCATCAATCAACTGTGTCAGAAGAAACATGTGGCAAGTTAGGAACTAGACTCTATGTACTGCACATTTCTCCATAGTCAGTCACCCGACTAATTACACTGGATGAAGAGGTCAGTCTTTTCAAACAGTTGGACCATGGTTGGACATGTACCAGTCTAGTCTTTAGCCTCATTTTGAAATCACTTGACTTCCCTCTCATGTGCAAATAATTATTGTAGTTCTGTCTCCTTTAAAAATTGAAATAATTCTTCAATCTTGGTTGGTGAAATATTGAGGACCTTTTCTTTGCCTAATGACAATTTTGGAGAAATTTGCTGGCTGAAGAGTGAGTAAAATTGGCCTGATTTAGTTTTGCACGTTTCAGAGCACTCCAGGTCCCAGTTTGGGGTACCACTGCAACTGTGGGTTTCCACGACATAGAAAGTATGTCAACGTTTGCTATACAAAAATGTATACAGTGGAATCTCGATAAGACAAACCTCAGGGCTATTGGCTCAAATTTTGAGTTGAGTTGAGTTTCTACCTGTGAAAAAGAGTTGCTGCACGATTCCGAAGAAAGTAGTACAAAACATATTTTCAAAATGGCGGGCGGACGTGATTCAACAACTGCTTCATGAACGAACAAAATCATACACTAACAGCCATAGTAATGCTGTTATTACCCTCATCCAAGATGTTTAGATCTTTTAAAATGTTTCATGAAATTGATCAGCGCCCCCCTGCGCCCCCCCCCCCCCCAAAAAAAATAATTCTCCTTTTTTTGTGTATTTCTTCTGGTACCAGAGGGCCAGGTTACAGTCTTCTTAGTACCTATCTCACCTGCCTCCTTGTAAAAATTCCACACAGCCTCAGTCCTCAAAAATCCTCCGTTATTTCTTGAATGTGGTCCTCGGATGGGTGACCACTGTCTCAATCCTGCAAACTCCTCCGCAATCACTGTCAATATGTTGAGGCTGAGCCAGTGACTTCCTGTAGCAGTGCGGAGGATTTCACGTATACTCCAGGCCTAACTTTGTACACGGCTGAGCATGAACAGAACAACGTCCGGCCTAAGACTTTGACGCAGTACATCCCCCGAAATCAGCCACACATTCTTTTCCATATCGCCACAATCCTGCAAAATCCTCCATGTTGCAAAGATGATTTTGGAGGATTTGGGCAGGTTAAGGTTAACAAAAATGAAATCGGTAAAATGCTTTCATTTCCGGAGATTTTTTTAAAACAACTTTCTGTGACTTTTCCTCGCAGGTGCACATTTTGAAAGGCAAAGACACCGGTCGACAGGGTATCATCAGTGATATTATACGTCAGAGGAACTGGGTGATTGTGGAAGGACTCAACTGTGTAAGTCTTACAAACAAAAAAGTAATTCCTAAAAATATAAAAATAAAAACAGCTCTTCTATGTTATGTAGCTGGTCGAAAACTAGGGTTTTTGATGGAATTAATTGCATTATTAAAGGGAAGATACCACATTTGCAAACATCAAAAAATGAAACGATCAAATTATCACGAAATATCTTACTGGACTGTTAGGAAATGACAGTCTGAACCATCCTGTAAAATTGTGGCTCCTGATGTGCTGACATTTTTAAGAAAAATGGTATTTTTCCAATGATGGTCGGACGACCAGTGTTGGAGAAAACCTTCTTTTTTTTTTCAAAAAATGCTTCAAATTTTTCATATTTAGTTATACCGCATTTTTTTTGGCAATTAACAACACACCTGTTAAGGGGTACAAGCCTGGTAGATTGATTCTCTGACCTTACAATTACCCAAAGTCTACGAATTGCTCCGTTTCATCTTAAGTGGGGTCAGGGAACCAAACTACAAGAACATGATTGGTTCTCTTGTTTTTCCAGCATCTACCAGCTCAAAGTGAAACAAGTCAGTTTAACAATATTTTCCGTAACATTATTAATCCTCCAAATCCGTTTATTTCTGAAAAGTGTAGCAAAAGCAAATGTTGTACATTCCCTTTAAGACTAAAGAATACACCATGGCATTTCAGCTGATATATCAGCCAGGTGACTCTAGAGGGGGCAAAGAGTTAAGCCCGGTTCATACTTCACGCAAAAGCAATTTCGAAGTGATGTTCATGTCGTCAACAACATTAGACGCGCTTCGAACGTATGGTTGACATCAAAAATTCTGCTTCCGCATGAAGTATGAAATGGGCTTTCAAACTTGTAGAAATGGATTGTGTGATCTTGGCCAAAAAAAAAAAATATTCGGTCTCTGTTCAGACCAAAGTTCCGGAATTTTTTTTTTTTTTCTTCAAGCTTGGATTGTACAGACAAGGTGGGCACTATTTTGCTTTTTTGGTGTCCTCATGTACATTGGTGTCCTCCATAATTTGCCTTGGTGCTTTCGATCATTTGGCTTGGTGCAATTTCCCATTCCTTGGTGCCCTTTGGTAAAAAAAAATTGAGGAGCGGTAGAAATAGAGGGCGCTGTTGGAGCTACCGCAGAACATTTTGGAAAAAAAAAAGATTGACGCGCATGATTAAAATCGACGCGCGTGCTGACCAGAGAACGACTTATTGTTTTTTTTGGCCTTACAATGTTATATTTTTTTTTTCTAAGCAGACTTTCCTTACATACCCGTCTGAAGTTTATGTCACAAACATGAAAACAGAGAAAGTGCTTGTTAAAATTTTGCGTTACAAAATTATCCCACTATTAGCTTTAGAGGCAAAATGACGTTCTGAAATGTTGATTTTGTTGTAGCTGTGTGGGAATCACTCGTCTGTATTGAATAACTAGCATTTTGTATCTCGGATTGTTAATTGTGTTAATAGCACTACCGATACATTGGCAGAATGCCGGGTTACGACGGAACCTATGTGGCAAGTGAGGCACCGCTTAATGTCCGAGATGTTGCACTGGTCGATCCTTCGGACAAGTAAGTCATTTTTGTTGTCCCAAATATACCAAATTTTTGATCCTCAACCAAATAAGTCACTAGGTATGAGCACTGTTTGCTCAGTGTGTTACCTCCCGAGTGAAAGTTGGAAAAAATCACTCGGGTGAGACTCGAACCCACGACCTTCTGCTTTCCATTGCAGATGTCTTGCCACTCGACCACCGTACAGTGTTTATACAGGGTGAGTCAAAACAAGGGGAACCCAAACCCCATGAAATAGATTTCGTATTTTAAAAAATATGTAGCACCAAAATAATAATGACTGGAAAGCCAATTTCAAAAGCTACTTTTAGATGAAAAAAATACTGAAATTGCTCAATCTGTTCAAAGAATATCACCATTTAAACACAATGACCCTAAAACCTGTCTCGTCCAAAAAAAGCAATTCATTGTGTGTTTTGACAGTTTGGAACAACTAAGAAAATGACACAGAATACTTGTTTTAACAACTGTCAACAACTGTAGTGCACAATATCATTATTAACAACCCTGGTTAGGCAAACAATATGATTTATAAAATCTACTTTTTTTAAAGGACGGGCCTTCAAAGGGATTCTGTTGAATATTTTTAATGTTTAAACTGAGATTTTATCGCTGGTGATGTTTGAAGACAATTGGGACGACGATTCTTGAAATCGCATTGTTTTGGACGAGACAGGTTTTAGGGTCATTGTGTTTAAATGGTGATATTTTCTGAACGGATTGATGAATTGACATCATTTTTTCATCTAAAAGTACTTTATGAAATTGGCTTTCCAGTCATTATTATTTTTGGTGCTACAGATTGTTTTAAATATGAAATAAATTTTTTGGGGGTTGGGTTCCGCTTTTTTCGACTTGCCCTGTACTTCGATGAAGGGAAAAACCTATTGATTTTCACATCACCTCAATGCATTTTTTTTCTCTGGTGCCAATACATGTGAGAAACTATACTTGTTTAAGTGGTCCCAATCAAAATATTTTGGGATGATTTTTGAGACATGTTTTATCGTAAGAAGTTCTTAAGTTCAACCATGATGCAAGGAACAAGGTTCAACCATTGTCATGTCAACGTTCTCTACGACTATGATCTACCACGCTGCTCGCACACACGTGTGTACATACAGAGAAACATGAGACACACATTCAGACTTTTTGGACTGCATCGCAGTGACGATTACGTGATCAATGGTCTTGGTACAACGTACTTATTTTTAAAGTACAAAGTGATTTTTACAACAATGTTTTCTTTCGGATAATACCAGATGCATAACAAATCACTTGCTGATAAATTCCTATAAATTGTTGTGGTGGTCAGCGATTTTGACCAGTTTTGATCGGAAGTCTGTATTGTAATATTTTTTTCTCCAAATAACCAATAAAATCGTGTGGGGTAGCATTTATAGCTTGCAAAAATAGGGTCGGTCGAGTGACCCGAACCAAAGGTTTTTTTCTGTTTGGCCAAGACTTGATCTTGTCTCGTTACTTATTGTTTGTATTTTACCATGGTAGCCCTGGTAAGCACAGTTGTAATTCAGACTGGCATGACTGTTTCTTATATTAAATTCAATTATTATAAGTCAATAAGCATCTTGTTATCACATCTTCTTTGCTCCTGATGTTTTAACAGCCAACCTGCCGACGTGGATTTTCGGTTCACCGAGGCGGGTGATAAAGTACGAGTGTCAAAACGAACTGGAAGAATTGTCCCCATCCCACAAACCAATGAACACAAAGACTTCAAAACCAGGGAATCCTACATCGGTGAGCAGGCATTCAAAACCTTTCTACATTTTGTAGCAAATTTTGATGATTTTTTTTTCCTGTACTGCTCTACACTTAAAAAGTGTGTGAGTGAGACAAAACTGCAATTTTATGTATATTTTGCCAATTAATGAAGTATACTTTGACACATTTTCTTGTGTTATGTATTTTTTAAAGGTATTGTCTATTATTTGTTATTTGTGCATTTTGTTCGTTTGAAGCAATTAACGTGCTCAAAATGTAAAGAAGGGTGCTGAACAACTAACCTGATGAAGTTTTAGCTGTATATTTCGAGAAAAACAGCATTCTAGGATCTCGATTTCAAATCAAAAGCTGCTGAATCATGTTTTGAATTGGGCCTAAATTCAAGCGTACGAGACACGTTCTCACTGAGCCGATTGCAGCTACGCGACGTCGCGCACTGATCCGACAAATTATGGCAACCGCGAGCACATGTGCATCGTGTCAACGCTTGCGCGCTTCGCGAAAATTGTCTTAAGACGCACCGTTGGAAAGGCCTTCTTTCGTTGATTTCTTCAAAATGACAGCTTGCAAGAAAGAATAATTTCACAGGGAGTTTAGTCCCCTTACTATCTTTCAACCAAGTATGGTTTTCAACAATAATTAGGCCAGTTACTTTTTGGATAGCTGCAATTGATGGACAGTAGCTTTAAGCAAAAGCCGCATTTGATTGCCTAGTATTCCACAGAAACCATTGTATTGTATAAGTGGTTGCTTGCGCATATTTTACTGTCAGTTAGGATGCTGCACAATTCAACCAATACCCCTTTTGCTTTCAAACCAACAGAACAACCAAAGGATACCGTGGCTGAAGAAGTTTGCAAAAAGACCTACACACCCTCCTTGAAGACTGTAGAAGAAGAACTGATGGAAGCAAATAATATCACGGAAACAAGGACACCGGCTAAAACGTACTGGTACTGATGATGGGGATGGTGGCCTGATTTTACCTGGTTTTCAAAATCCACACCTCATGAATATTCATACTGGTGCTGACAGGGATTGTTTCCTGGCATTTTTCTCATGGATATTTGTATTGGTGCTGATGATGTGAGTGCTACCTGGTTTGCATATTCAGCACTTCTCTCATAAATATTCACACTGGTACTGAAGACTGAGAGTGCTGCCTGATTTGCATATTCAACACTTCATCGTGGATATTCATACTGGTACTCAGTGATGACCTGTAGTACTGTCTGAATTTGCATATTGAGCACTTTTCATGGATATATATTCATAAGGGTACTGATCAAAGTGACTGCTGCTATTTGCATATTCAACGTTTCTCATGGATTGTCGTACTGGTACTTGTGAAAGGGAATGCTGCTTAATTTGCATATTTAACACTTTGTCATGGATATTCATACTTTTATTTTATTTTACGTCATCTTTAGTGAGGGTAGCTCTGATCAGCGCAGGGCACTGCTTTCCATGGAGGCCCTCAATATGAGGAATATGAGACCCATTATGTAGCACCTTTAAGGGTTACAAGGTGCTGCGGCGCATATTGCAGCCACTGCCACTTGTACTGACGACATGTAGCTGTCTTGCATATTCAACAACGCTCACTGAATATGCATTTATGCTTTGTGGCATTAAAAAAACAACCTGTCAGGGCACCAGAGTGGTATGTAACCTGTCTTTAAGCTTGTAAGAGCCTACGACTATGGTCCAAACACCGACAGTGTTGGCCGGCCCACTGTAATCCTAGGAACACTAGCATGGGCGTCGCGAGGGGGGGGGCAAGGGAGGGGCACTTGCCCCCCCCCCCCCCCCCCCCCCCCCCCCGGAAAGCAAAAAAAAAAACAAAGGAAGAAAAAAAAAAGAAAAGAAAAAGAGGCGCAAAGACAAAGTGGTGTAAATTTAATGAGTGGGAGGGGGGGGGGCAAAATGTCCCTGCCCCCCTCTAAAACTGATAAATCGACAATGTGTTGAGAAATACAAGCATTTTTTGGCAACAAAATTTTTTGCCCCCCTCTAAAAAAAATCCTGGCGACACCCATGAACACTAGTGAGTTGAATTGTCTTGAAACAAGACTAGATTGAGGTGTTCATCATTTTAAAGCCGGAGTCCATCATTTGCAGCTATCCAAAAAGTAACTTGCGTAATTCTTGTTGAAAAACACACTTGGTTTAAAGATAGTAAGGGGACTAAACTTCCTGTGAATTTATTCTTTCTGGTAAGCTGTCATTTTGAAGAAATCAACAAAAGAAGGCCTTTCCAAAGGTGCTTCTTAAGACGCACCGTAGGAAATTTAAATTAATACTTCGTTTTGTTTTGCAGCGAAGCGCACGCAAGCATTGGCACGACGCACTGGTGCTATAATTTGTCGGATCAGTGCGCGACATCGCGTTAGCTGCAATGGGCTCATTGAGAACGCGTCTCAGACGCTGAATTCAGGCCCAACTCAAAACATGATTCAGCAACTTTTGAATTGAAATCGAGATCCTAGAATGCTGTTTTTTCTCGGAATATACAGCTGAAGCTGAGCTGAAACTTCATCAGGTTAGTTGTTAAATACCCTTCTTTAAATTTTGAGCACGTTTGTTGCTTCAAACGAACAAAATGCACAAATTACAAATGATGGACTATACCTTTAATTTGAGAAATTCAATGCAGTATGAAGAATAAATAAAATCAGAAGTGCATTATTCAAATGTTTGTTTGTGTTCTCATGTGTTACATTCCAATATTTCTGGCTGTAGGAAGTGTCAGGGGAATGTATTTCAGGATGACATTCGTGTCTTTGGAATTAGGCTTAAATTGCACCGAAATAATTTTGTAATGCTGTTAAATGATACTTAATACATGTAACATGTATTAGGTATCATTTAACAGCATTACAAAATTATTAACAGTGCCAATATTAGAAACATGGCTTATCAACCTTTTTCCTATTTTTGAGCAATAGCCAAGTGCACTGGTGTGAAAAAAGCCACATAATTTTACAACAACATGCTTGTGATTGCGTTGCATCATTCTTTTTATACACGCAATTTTCAGTGAAGGTTTGGTGTAAATTTAAAGGGTACCGGTATATGCAATTATTTTTTCTTAAGAACACATTTTATGCAACCTGTTACTCCACTTAAATGTGTGAAACTATTTGATGACCCTTTCTGGTGAATTTTATTGAAAAATGCACTTCTTTAAAACATTGAAAATTGTCGGTGCTTGATCGGACAACTGAGGGGGCTATTCTTGTGATGTCATTCCGGGAAGACAATGTTCAGCATGTTTTTCTGTTCAAATTGTGAACCAAGATTGCTTATTTAATTAAAAACATTTGTGAAAAAGGGTAGCTCTTTTTGCACTAATGGTTTTCAGTCACAATTTGGTGAAAATTAGAGGGTAAATTTATGTTTGGTTTTAATGCAATTTGTGTCAAATACCATGTTGTGAATAATTTATTTCTCAATCTAGTCACTTAGTGGCGCAGTTTATTTTTCAGGTCTTCGCCCTTGTCCCTACTTAAAAAAAGGGATGGAGATTCCTTTCGAACCAAACATATTTTTCGTTCCCAGAATATCGACAAGGGGGCGCATTTGGTGGGGGAGGGGCTCCTTGTCCCCCGGGGAACTCAATGGGTTTGATCATTATACAGTCACACCCTAATAAGTGCACTGTTATACAACATCCTGCTTATAACAAGCAACATTTTAGGTCACGAAACGTTGTTTTTCTTTGTCTTTCATTACAGTAACTGTTAATACAAGGTACCTGTTAGAACAAGGTCATTTGTAAAGTCCAAAGAACCTTGTTATAAAGGAGTTCGACTGTAGGCCTAGTTTCAAACAATACAAAGCTATGTTTTAACCATCTGCAATACTGAGCGGAAGGGAGGGGGTTGGCACAAGCCTTGAATTCGAAGGAGCTTAGGAGGGTATACAGGCCTCGAGCAAGATTGTACCAGTGAGACAGAGGTTGGTTCGGCAGGACTGCGGTACATGATTGTAATCAAGGGCAACGACTTAAATTTTTTCTTTCTTTTTTTAATGCAGAGCGAGGCACACTCTCGGCATCGTCATTTCTATCCACCAATCAGAGTTAGTCACCAAACAAGTCGGTGATCACCAGAGAGTGGTCTGTGATTGACAGGTCGTGTGTGTCACCGACACCATACACTATCCACTAATAAGATGTGGCTATTTCAGCGTCGGTGATACAAGTTTTGATTGTGACTTCAGAACATCCAACACATTGACACGACTTCCGTCTCATTAATATGAAGTGAGTCAGTGATGAGTTATTGACAGCGCGCAGGGGCCAATCACCGTGAACCGGGCCAAGTTCCCCAGTCACTGCTCAAATCGAGGGCAATATTTAAGGTAGAAGCGGCCGGTCAACTCCTTACAACGACCATCTTCGACTTCAGACGACAACCCGAGAGAGAACTGATTGCAAGAACGAGACGAGCTTTAATAGGTGAGTGTTTAAATCAGAACAAAACTTGCCCAGCGTGTATAGCAAACCACCAAAGTGTAAGTGGTGGGTTTTGTGTTACTTCGTCTTTAAGTTCCCGCCGTTGCTGATCACGGGTGGCGGTATCCTTATTTTGTTTGTAGTAGTATAGTAGTCAAAGGATTTCATCAACATGGCGACTTGGATTCTATTGATAATAACGGCCGTAATTGCAGGCGCGATACATGTATGCATGTCGTGAAATGATGTGTATCGAGAGGAAAATGCTTCAACTTTAGCCGACACCCACGCCCGTACCACCAGACCCCATCCCCCACACCCCATGATTTGTTTAGTCTCGCAAAGCTATGCACTGGCTAACATGCATGCCCGTTTGCTAAATTCCGATCCAGACATTTCTTTGTCGGTGCCATTTCAGGAGGGAGATGCATGGGCATCATTTGGCCAGCATTTCATCAACTATAAGTCGGACGGTCAGATTATGTATGTTGTCTTTCAGCGTTGTAGTCGAGTACGTTTTTTCCGAGTACCGAGTACTGCCGAGTAGGCCTACTTAGGTTGCCGAGTACGAGTATTTGTACCTCCGAGTACAAGAACGGATCTCCGAGTACGAGAACTTGTACTTACGAGTACGAGTACTAACGAGTACGAGTACTCGCATTTCCGAATGCGGCCATACGGCAAATGGTTATTGTGCGTAATTGGCCCAGGAATCCCGGGACATACCGTTATTTCGTTTTACCGTTTTGGATTTCCTCAAAAAACAAAAACAGTAAACGAACCAATGACCGTTTTGTCGTTTTACAGTTTTGTAAAACGGCAAACGGTATTACGATAAATACAGTTATTCCGTTTTATCAGTTTCATAAATTTCATTACAGCATAACGATCAATGATTTTTGTTTTACAGTTTTACACAAATAACTTTGAAAACAGCAAAACGGTCAGTATTCAATACAGACTGTTTTTTCTGTTACTTCATTGTATTAGTTAACAGTCCGTTGTGCATTTTGTGGCGGTACTTATGGTGGGCAAGGGGATGGAGAGGGACCATGACGGCCCCGAAGAAGTGTTACCTTGGCATAATTCGTGCGTGTGTGATTCCTGGCGTGACCCTGAACCCCATCTAGATCTACTGCGATTCAGTTGGGCTTGAAGAGTTGCAAGCAAAAAATTTCAAGGGGCGGGGGGGGGGGGGGGCATTTCACAATGGTTACAGGACGGTCCATGGTAAGATGTATGAAGAAGTTGCAGATGTGTTGGAGCATGGAGCAATTATTGCTCCATGGTTGGGGGAAGTGAAGTCCAGCGCGGCTCTTCAATAGCTAATATTCTCAAATTCTGTTGCGAGAACTAGAACGACATAAATGTAAGGAGGGCAATTTCACAGGCTGTGACCGTCCCAAGGACACGGTCACATTAACATTCCAAGGTGCATTGCTATAATTGCCAACTTAAACCTGAATTTAAAAAAATGGTCGATAAGACTATTGACCGTTTTGACATTGTCATGTTTTTGTAAAGCAACACTCTAAATATAAAGCAACTTTTTACAATTTACAAAAATAATAAAAAGATAATTGTTTTTTTGTGACTTAAAACCGTTTGACCGTTTTACAAAACTGTAAAACGACAAAACGGTCAATGGTTCGTTTACCGTTTTTGTTTTTGAGGAAATCCAAAACGGTAAAACGAAATAACGGTATGTCCCGGGATTCCCAGGCCCAGTCAGACCAATATACAGGCCCACTCGCGGCTAGCTGTTAAATATGTTTGTCCGGACTTGCACAGAGGAAAATCAAAAAATCTCGATTTCTCCACAAGCCAATCAACAATTTCCAACTGAAAGAATCGATCAAATAAGGCCATGGTAAGTGAAGCTATACCCCCCCCCCCCAGTACTGCTATTCGAGTACGAGTACTTTAATGATCGAGTACAATTTCGACATGTCGAGTACGAGTACTTTGCTGCCCGAGTGCATAGACCTTAAAAAAACCAGCATTTAAGGCTGAAAATGCCGGACTCGATTTTGAGCAAGTACAGGGATCAGTTTTACCTTCTTTGCACACCAGTGTTTAATTTCATGGTGGGAAGTTCGCTTGCAAATTTTCCTCCACTATATACATGTCGCAGGGACTACTTCCATTCCGCAAGTTAGGCCTCCTTGAGTCTACCTTGAGTTTACCATGAGTCCTATAATAATGACAAGTTGATGGTTGCAAGTTGGTAGAAACACTGTTTGTCCGCATTGTCTACTTGACGGTTGAAGAAACCGAAATGCATTTTTCTTTGCAATATGCATCTTTGAAACAATCTTTTCAGTGACATTTGAGAAATGGAGTCTGGCTTTGGTTTAACCAAAAATGATGTAAATTTTTTTAATGACGTCTACAGATAAAACATATCATCTTTGTTACAATTTACAAAACCTCAGGGTAGGCAAAGTATTATGTAATCTCAGTTGGCGATACCCTTAGTAAACCCGCTGGCCATATAATTATTTTAATCCATAGTTGTAACCCTTCCCCAGGGGTATTGGACTTGCGGAATCAAACATAACATGAATAATTATATGTGGTAGTTTAACATATTTTTAAATACAGTGTTGAAAAATAATCTCCAAATCTGCTTAGGCTAAAAAAAGTCTCCGGTTTCTGGTATGCCCGCGTCGCCGTAGCCATGCGTGTCGGAAAAATGAAAAAGTTTTTTTTCAATGTAAGATGATGTCTAAAAACTGCCAAACTCACTGGTTTGACTGGAATCCTACCGCTGCTGCACAATTTTAACGTGTTTTTAGATGGGGTTACGGTCGAGTATAAGCTTTATGTGGCCTCTCTGGACTCCCATATATTTTGCACTAAATTTAGTCGGGCACCATTTTGCAGTCATCAACCGACATGTGAAGGGGAAAAAGGTAATAAAAAAACTAGAAATTGCGTTTGTGGACAAACACAAGCTGTTTCGGATGTTTGAAATACTCTGTGCACGTGATGAACAACTACTGACGTCACTACAAATGTCATCTATTACAGCATATTCCCTACATGTCAAGTTTCAACCAAATGGAAGATATAGTTCTGTAGCTATAGACCTATAATATAAAAAAATGCCCCTTTATGGGATGTCACATGACAGTTGATGACGACATTACTTGAATTTTCATCTATAACACAACTCTGACAGTATGGGTACCGATCAAGTTTCCACCCAATCGGACTTGTACTTGAGGAGGTTACAGCGATTTGTAAAATGCACATTTAATATGCCGTCACGTGACACATGACGTCATCGTTACAAAAATCATCAGAGACCATCTTCGGTACCTGGTCTAAGTGTCTGCCAAGTGTAAAGTCAATCAGACATACGAAAGTGCCAAAGTGTAAGGTTTGAAGAAAAACGTGTACAAAACCTATGGGGAAAAAAGCATCTTTAATGTGACGTAACCTGACACCTGATGACGTCACGATTACGAGTTTCTTATAGGACCATCTGTGGGTGGTGTTTTAAGTTTTTTCCGAGGCTGAAGTTGATCAGATTTACGAAAGTGCCAAAGTGGAGCGTTTTAAAACGTGTACATACACTATGGGGAAAATGCATCTTTAATGTAACGTAACCTGACACCCGATGACGTCACGATCACGAATTTCTTCTAGGACCATCTGTGGATGGTGGTATAATATGTACCAAGTCTGAAGTCGATCGGATTTACCGAAGTGCCAAAGTGGACTGGTATAGAAGAAACGTGTACAAAACCTATGGAGAAAAAGTCTGAAAAAAGGAGAAAAAAATTCTTATCGAAAACAAGAGCTGTTTCGGCTGAAGAGCCGAAACAGCTAAAAAGCCGCATCGCTACACCAATTTTGGGGCAAGTTTCACACCAGAAACGGGAGACTTTTTTGGCCTTACTCACTTTGTTTTATATTCACTTTATGGTTCGTAGTCGTGAAGTTCGAATTATTTTTTTAAAGGAAAAATATTATATTTTGGGCGTTTGAAACCCACTGAAAAAAGACGCACAGAGAGATCCGCCCTGTAAAGTAGACTGGTTCGCGGTTCCTACGTCATCAATTAGGGAGGCGGGATGCGCGAAAGTAATTATATCCTCGGGCCTCAAATAGTTTGAAATTCAAGCAGATTTCCGATTTGTTTGTGTTTGTTTGATGCCTGTCTCGAAAGTGACAAACTTTTGAAAAGAACGATATACAATGCAGTCGAGTCATAATAATATTGCCAGAAAATTGCTAGAAAATAGTTGAGTTTATTTGATTAATCGCAAAACTCATGCAAGTTAGTCGTCACATAATTATAAACAAACTGTACTTTTTTCGTTGGTTCAGTTTTCAGTCTTCACTTAACGTCATCTCTTCTTTGGCCTCATCTCAAGTTCAAGAAAGAACAATTAAGGTGAGGTATTTTTTATATAATTTAAAAGTTGGTATAATGCGAAAGTTCTTTGTTTGAACAGTTTTGCAACGGTGAAGTCAAGGACGTATGTGGTGAAACTGTTTTTCTGCTTTTTAATTGACATTTGTACCGTACCGTTTAACCTGCATGTTGTGCACTGTTGAACTCACAAAAGTAGTGACTGCGGAAACCCAACATAGGCGTGGTCCAGACGGTGCTTGCTCCCCGTGCGCCCATTCAAAACAAAATACTCATTATTTGCTCGCCACAATGCCTATAAAGAATCTTTTCAATAATATTGTTACAGTTTTTTCTCCTTGTACGACTTAAAGGTTTTCTAACATAAATAATTTATCCTTGTCTATCCAGACCTTAACCGTTCTTTAGCATTGAAATTTAAAAAGCATTCTTTTTTTATTAATGAAATAAAAAAAAATCCCCTTTTTCACTTTTAAATTGATTGTTTTATTTTCTCCGCGAATTCATCAACTTCCGTGCATGAATATAACACATATCTCAATCATATTTTTCTTTGTGTGTTAATTGACATGGAATATTGCTTAATACGAATGCGGCTCGAACTTATCTCATTAAGAGCGGCATAGATCTGCAGCAATTTGATTGCGACAATAAAAACGAATATGCACAGCTACTTCATCAAATTGCTTATCAGAAGACGAGGTATTAAATATAGAAGTTTAAGTTATGCACATCATTTGCAAATATTCAAAAAATTTGAACTGTAAAAATCCCTAAATATCATATATGACAAGTAAACACGAACAAGCAACATCATGAAATCATTACGCCTAATATTGAAGAAAAGAGGAATTACCATCATTTTTTTGTAAAATGGTGTCCATTGACTTTAAACGATGTAAGCAACAAAAGATTGATGTCACGAACATAGGCCACATTATGTACGGATTTTTCTTTTTTTATTCCAATGATTTGTTCAGGCGAATTTTTTATTTTTTTTTAATCAGCAAACAAAAATGTATTTTGAACTTGCAAAATGTTGTCATGTGGCCAGAAATGTTGTGCCAGCAAATGGTACAAGTTGGCACAATTTTATGGTCCGAGTTAATGGTCGGACCGTTTTACGATAAGCTTTTAAATGAGTTTTAGATCCCAAAAAAAATTCTCTCCCCTCGATCTGACGTCATAATTAATTCTCCGTCAATGGAGAATTATGTCACTTTGAAGTTTTGAACCACAGGAAATGGTTAATATCAAGCTATTTCAATGTTTGGATTGCATCGCAACACTGCAACAATCGACGGCAATTAGTTTCACAAATAGTTATTACATACCATGCATCTGTATCAAATCTTGGCTGGCTTCCGCCGTCGGAGGACGATCCGCAAGTTTCTCAAGCTTGACACTTTTCCTATTTTTTCCTAACATTTTTAACAGATGAAGATCTGCGTGGCCACCATTCTGTCAATCGCCCTCCTTATGGGTAACTCTGTCAAGCTCCGAGCTTCCGTTACTGGGCCGGTTCCCTCGGATGGCGATGGTCCTGCGTCTCAGGTGTGTCAGCAGTGCTGCCAGGGACCTGCTGCAATACCCGGCATACCAGGTCTGCCTGGACCGGTGGGACAGACGGGGCCGTACGGTCAGCCGGGGTCAAAGGGCGATGTAGGTGATCCAGGTCAGAAGGGTGAGATTGGCCCTATTGGACCTATGGGTGATCGGGGAGCACCTGGCAACACTGGGCCCAAAGGGGACGACGGGATTGGCCTGCCTGGCAAGATAGGTCCGAGAGGTCCAGCAGGTTTGGTCGGAACAATCGGTGTCAAAGGTCAAAAGGGTGAGCCAGGGGAGACACCAGACGACTCCAATCAGCGAGTAGCATTCACCGTGGTCAGGACGAGCAGCTCGGATACCTCGTCGAGTCACGACACCCGTTTGCCCTTCCAGGAAACCGAGACGCTTCTGCCGGGTACCAGCTTCGATCTAGAGACCGGTGCATTCACGTGTAGTGTGCCAGGCACCTATGTGTTTATGTTTTCTGCGTTCAAATATCGTCCTAGCGGCGACCTTGCCGTGCATCTTCGGAAAAACACAGATTGGGTTGTTTCTGGCCGTAGCGATGATCCAGGTAATGAGGAGCAGGTGTCTGGAAGCGCGGTGCTGGTCCTGCAGCGAGGAGACACGGTGTATCTTACAATGTCCGGTAAGGTGTTTAGTCATTCCACCTACCGCTGGACCTCATTCAGTGGCTTCCTCCTTTACCCCGAGTAAAGAAATTGTAACTGTGCATCAGTGTTGTTGCCGAGTCCCTTTTGGGAGGAATACAAGGCCTATACACGGATACAAAGCTATAATAAGAATACAAATATATCTCCCAAATTGACCCTTTGCAGGGTGCGCCCTCACTGAGGGCAGTAGGGCAGTTTCTTGTTAATTCAAATACATTGACTGTGAAAGTGCATTATGCCTATATCATAGAGGATCAGAAAAAAAGGCCTGCTCTCAATGTGATGTGAGATGCAAGGGGTTTATACGATTCGCAGCCTGGAAACAAGTTAGTTGTAGCGCTTAGACTATAAGTCAAGACTTTATAATGCACTTAAAAGAGAAGAGCTAAATAGGTGCAGATAGTGTATACTAGGATACGAGTTTAGTTTTGTTGTGAGCCCGTACGTTCTTTGCCAGTCCACACATACTCCCAATATCAACATAAATTTTCTCCTCTAAAGCATGTCTTTAGATACCGGCTCACAGTAACCCATTTTATTTGTTTTTCAGACACAGTGAAACGTTGTAAATATTTCAAGACATGCATGATAACTAGCTAGCGAATACTATGTAGTAAGAAAAATGTTTTATTTTGTTTCAGTAGCACGCAATCGAAATCTTTACAGCGACAAAGGGTGAAACAAATACTAAGACACCCCTTTTATGTTTTAAATAAATACATAAACGTCAGTTTATATTAAAATTCCTACAAAATTTAGTCCCAAAGTGTCCCGACGTGTCATGTGCATGTTTATTATTATTAATACATTTGGGGGATGGGAATTTTAATTTAGGTGTATTGTGGGGAGGGATGCATATTAAGATCGATGGTGATTTAATTGTAATCAGTGAGTTGAGGTATTATTTTTTTTGGGGGGGGGGAGACGTGAAAGGGGCATACACCTCATCTGTGCTGAAGTTAGACATATTTTTCACTTGTCTCTCAGCCTCTGTAAAAAAAAAAAAAAAAAAAACGCTGGGGGAAGAGGGGCGGTATAGACACCGTTTTCCTATGGGGCACTTAATAAGCGGGCTCTATCTAATGGCTTTATCGGACAACGGGGCTCGCTCGATGTTAAAAAAAAGGGCTCTCGTGAGTAATTTTTTCGAGGATGGGAATACACCTCTCCCCAATACTATGTCATTGCAAGGGTTGAGGGTAGGTAGGGCTAAGTATGGGTGGGACGGAGGTTGGTGAGAGTTCAGGGGTTAGAGTTGCACCCCCGGGCCCAGCTAGGTCTCCCAGCCCCCCCCCCCCCCCCAAAAAAAAAACCCAACACCACAACCTTCCCCTTTCTCTGTATGGGGACGTCGCTCACTTTTGGATTCCATACTTTAAATACATCATGAACAAACCTTCAGTTTTCATTTCTGCGGTTTTATTAACAGTTCCCGAGATCGCCTGTTCACCACAATTTTAAGAAAAAAATATTAGTGTGAGACATCATGCAAGGACGCGAAGCTTTTTCTGAATGACATCTTACAAAAAAATAACATTAATAATTTCATTCAATCATACATGTATTGGACCATGGAAGTCACATCGTAATATAACGTATATATCGTAATATACTGTCATTCATAACTTAATCATCTCCACGTTCAGTTCTAAATTAAGTTAACAAAAAAGATAGTGTAGTTATCATTCCCAATGGAGGCGCTGGGTAGACCTCCGCGAGATCTGCAGTTCCCTCCGGCTCGAGTCAGATACACCGGGAGAAACAGTCCTTGCAGTCGGTACCCGCAGGGCACTTGTCGTCGTAGGAGCCCACACCACCGTCGTTGCAGATGTCGTTGTTGCGATGAGTCAGGCAAGAGTTGCTGCAAAGCGGGCCTGGCAACAAAATGAAACAAGACCACGAAAACCTTGATAAAATTTAGAATTCTGTAAACCACTATAAGGCGAGGCAATTGGGCTCGTTTTCCCATCCATGAAAAAAATATTGAAAATACAAACTTAGTTTTAGCAGATGAAATTGGTTCCCGTCCCCCGTTATCGAGATCGATAATGAAAGTATACACGGGAAGTTTCCTTGCAGAGCGGGGCCAATTGCATGGAGCTGCTAAGCACAAACATTTGCTTAGCATAAAAAGTCTACCTTGGCGAAAACAGGATTACCAACCAAATGTCCATGTGATGTATATTGCCTGTGATTGGTATTCGGCTGTTGGTTGCTTAGCATGACAACCAAATTGGGTTATGGCTAATAACTTGCTTTTATAAGCCAGACTTTTTGTGCTGAGCAATTTTTTTTGTGCTCAGCACAAAGACGAGCGCTGACAGGGCCTTTTCCTTCTACTATTGTTGTTTTGTTATCTTACTTCCAGTGAGGCACACGTCACAAGTAGTGCCGTTCCAGCTTTCCCGGCAGATGCAGTTGAAGTCCACGGTGTTAGGTACGCTACCGGGCTCAGAGATACACACGCCTCCATTCAAACACGGATTAGAGCTGAGAACAAAACATAACCACATATTCAATGTTAAATAATTATCATACAAGTATTTTCTCAGATTGTGACTATGACTATTATTCTTCGATCTATACATCGCCATGCGTGCAGTTAAAGAACATGTAACCTGTATGAGCTGTAGGTCTAGCCGCTGACACTGTTTCTTCGGGCGATATTTCATTAAAATTTGCAGGGGCGGCATGGCTCATTTTCAGGTGCGGGTCATTAACGCATTAACAACAAAAAGATCGTTTGTGCCCTAGCCGAATTCTGAGTGGGGTTCCCTTCCCGAGCCTCGTGCACCCCCCTATTACGCCACTGCCTTTCTCTGCACGGACCTACCTGCATGGGCAGTCTCGCAGAGGTGGTGGGGGAGGGACCGTTGGTGGTCCTTGATGAAAGGCCTGGCGCCGGACTCTGGTGCGCACAGCCGGCTGGAGATAGTCTGGTTGCCGCGACCGGAAACGAAAGACGTCACCGGCGTCTAGGACCTGGACGGCGAAGCACAGACTCAGGATCAGCAGGAGGGCGGGTTGCCTGACGAAACGAGGCATTGTGGGTCTGTGGCTGGCATGGAAGAGATAGAGAGAAGGGGTTAAAATCAAGCCAATTTGATTTAAACTAATATTATAGACTTACACATCTTTACACTCTCGTTCGACATTCCCTGATCAGTTCCGAAACAAGATCATTGAAATGAAGTAGCCTTTATTCAGTTACTGCGGATCAAATTATAATTGGTATATCTCACAGAGTACACAGACAAGCATCATCAGGAACTGGTACTCTCAAAAAGCTTCAAAAATGAAGGCACAAAAAATGTTGCAACCGGACGCCACTTTTATCTTCATCATCTCAATGAAGGTCATTCGTTGCAAAAAGGATGACAAGACATGACTCTGGGACTGAACAATTTTGTTACGAAATAGCCTACTTCTCCATAGACTTTGTACACAATCGCGGACGTGGCGTCAGATTGCAACATTTCTTTCCTCAATAATCCACCTATCGCACTTTTTCATACCAAGATTTTTCCGAGGGGGTTTTTTCCGAGGTTAGGAAATCATCATCATATCTCTATGCGGAAATCCAGAACTCATGTCCATGGTTTCCCACTGACTTGTGACTCTTTATCGTCCGTCAAGAAAGCGGCAACTGGACACTCTGTTCTTTCCATATTGCATTATTCCAGCTTTATACCAACATTCGTCATGATAAAAATGCAATTACCTTGGATATTATTGCCGATCCGTGGAGACACTGTCGTCTGTGAGCCTGCAGTACACCGAGTGGGACGATCGCTCTTGCAAAACCAGGACTCAAAATATCCCACATTGCTTGCGCTTCGTTTGCTATTCACGCGTGGATCTTGATTTAAATATCTCACCGTTTTCCTTACGAATTAACATTCCTGAGATATTTTCTTCGCAAAGACGTAGCTAGAAGTAATATTTATCATGCAGGAAAAGTACAGTTACGCATGAAAGGAGTGAAGAAAGGGATTGCATGCAGCAGGCATGGGTAAGTGTTTTGTGTACTGTACCCTGTGCGCAGGCACAAAATTTATGCTACACTCAACCAAAAAGAAAGTCCCCCACCCCTTCCAATACTTTTTTATTTAACTCAAAAACTACTGAGCACCTGTCGCTCAAATAACGACTAATCAGTACGTAAATTCCTTAGCAATCCAGCCATACTCTTTATTTGACCCAAAACGGTGATAATGTGTACGAATTTATGCAATTTACAAACAGTTGCACTTTTGTATACGTGCATGTTGTGGTTCACACTCACCTTGCACTCATACAAAAGTGCAACTTTTGTTTCAGTACCACCTGTCATAAATTTCATAATTGTGTACGTATTGTCACTGTTTTGGGCCAAACGAAGAGTATGGCTGGATTGCTAAGGAATTTCTGTACTGATCAGTCGTAATTTGAGCAAAATGTGCTCAGTAGTTTTTTGAGTTTGACAAAAAAGTATTAAGGGGGACTTTCTATTTTGGTTAAGTGTATTAGGTCGTAAAGTACAGCACTGTACATATTTATCAAGGGCTAGGGCAAACTGGTATACATTGTAGGTCCTAGCTCTGAAGCCTGTTGGCACTAAAGGCGTCAGTCGCTTTTCAAAAGTAGGGGGTGGTACATTGGCCTATGCATGTGTATCTTGATCAGAAGTAATGCGAGTGCAAATCCCAACAGCATGGGTTTTGGGGTCCGCTTGAGAGCCCGGGGGATGGATTCTATAGATGCTCTAGACGATCGGTGGTGCGATCTCACTTTATCCAAAAAAAAGATCACCATTTTAAACACCATTTTCGAGTTTGGAGGAATTGAATAAACTATTCTGGGCCCGCTTGAGGGCCCGGCCAAAAAAAAGAGTAGCCTTAAAGAGTTAACCTAATGCCCTTGCCCTAACGCTTACCCTAAGGATTTTGGGAAACCTAGGTATTGGGGTACACGGTATATATAGACCTTAATTAGGACTCTTCTGGGATCTCGGCGGTCCCAGCCCACACACTTCTTTCCCGGTCCATGCATATTACCTCAGGGGTAAAGGGACGTATATGAACAAGGCGGCACCCTAAACCCTGACCTCGAGTGGCCAAATGCCGTGAACCTGTACGAAGATGCCAACCTGGAATTCGCAGAAACTAGCAGCAGCGGTTAGCAATACTGTTGGTATTTTTAGGACGGTAAAATTAAATCATTTTAGTAGGAAGTGTCGGACAGCGCGTTGAAAACTAAAATGACGCATGCGGGAATCGAACCACCGATTCTCCACCCGTAGGTCAGCAATTTAACCCACTAGCAGTTTCAGTAACGTTCAGTAAGTAAAGTTCAGTTTAACCATTAATATTGTATTCTTATCGGGTCGTTGAATTGGTTTCAATTTTTGACGGGTTAATTTGTCCTTTCTGAACAAAGGGCCAAAGATACAAATTACAGAATGGGAGCGGTATTTTTGTGGGCCCCTATTTTTTTGTAGGCCCTAGGCACAGTGCCTAATGATATTATCTTCGCCTGCATGATATTCGGTCCTGCGTCATGTCATGCAAGATGCGGTAGCCACAATGGGGTACAGGCGTGGATCCAGGAACTTTTGCGGGGGGGGGGGGTCATCAGCAAATCAATGTTGAAATGTATAGACAAGATTTTTACTCCGGACACTTGGCCTCCGTAAAAACAAAGGTGTGGGAAGGGGGAAGGTATAGTCCGAGTATCACCCGTACAAGCTATGCGCCAGCCAATCGGAGTCGACTTTACGAAATCGTGACGTCATTTCATTCCTAAATCAGGACTAAATGGTTTGATTGGTCAATTCGACTGCAGTGTACGTTTTGTAATACAACACAGCAGGGCGCGATGTCGCCTAGCATGATACAGAGCGCGACACATTTTTTTAAATCCATTTTCTGTGACGCGAAAAGGGCAATGACCGAAGACCCAATCTAAAAAGCGCCCGCTGATTGGTCAAAATCTAGAAGGTATTATCTCATTAATCAGCGAATCTGTTCACGCATATGGAGGGGATAAGGGCACATCCAGAACAAACGTTTTTGGGCCAAATAAAAAAAAATCATCCCCCCCCCCCAAAAAAAAAATGGGTAAAAAACTACGGCGTGGGGTTCGGGCCCGCTCGAGGGCCAAGTTGGGACTCTGGATGCTCTAGGGAGAGATCTGAGGCAATTTTGACCACTTTAACCATTTGTTTTTGAGGAAATGAGTGTGGTGTAAGCAGTGCTTCTCTTTATTGCGACGTCACTTTAAATAGTGGGGGTGGGGTGGGAAATGGCCCTTGTTGTGTCCCCCCAACTGCATCCGCCCTTGAGGGGAAGGGGGTCTTACACTTATTCTAGTTAAACTTTGTATTGACATTTTTTTTTTAGCAACCGTATGCTAATTTAAGTTAAGTTCAAAATGTTCTCGTTTGTGAATTTTTGCCAATCTTCCGGACTCGGTCCGTTTTTTCCGTTTTTTTTTCAAATTTCTTCAATCAATTTTCCATCCGATTTTTATCGCACTGTTTTTTATATTCTTCACTTATGCCATTCAATTTCGTTTGTTACATGTATTTTTTCTAACTTTCCTTATGGTGTTTTGTACCGTGTAATCATTTTAATTGTAATGCATACTGTGTTTACATCCGTCTTTATTATTTTTTGGTTAACATTTTAAGTGTCAATCTGCCCACAATTAGCATTCGGGCTGCGAGTGAAATAAACCATTTAATATTTTGTTTGCAACCACCCTATTCACGTGCGACAGAAAACTTCGCAGATGAAATGCTCCAGCCAGGGCCGTAAATCCAGGGGAGGTTTGGGGATTATAACCCCCCCCCCCCTCTCTCTCCCTCTCTCTCTCTCTCTCTCTCTCTCTCTGACTAGGTAGTGGGGTGGGCTATTGAATCATCCCCGCGTTTTCGTGATGAAAAAAATGCGGATTTCGTGGTATTTTTCGAACATCCCAACAACCAAAATGTATTCAATGGCACTGAAATGTAGAGAAACAAAGTAAACTTGCGCCGTTTTGATGCGCTAGTAATATGTACATCTATATCATGAAGAGCGCCTGGTATAATGTGGTGTCTAGCCCCCTCCCCCACCCACGCTTTTCGAATTGTATTTTGGTCAAACCCCCCCCCCCCCACCGAACCACCCCCCCCCCCAACCCACCGACCCACCACACCCACCCCACCACCCCCACCCCCACCCCCACTGGCCGGCACAAGTTAACGCCACTGGCTCCAGCGCGCGCCTCATCTTTGAACATTATATTTTTGTAAAAAGGATGACCTTATTATTCGCTCTTTGCATGCTCCGCCATAAGCATGCAGAGTAATTGCAGAGCCTCGATCTGGCAACTTTACACAATAAAATAACCGGTTTAGTGATTCCCGTGTATACACGGGAATCACTGAATCCCAACACGGGAATCACTGAACCGGCTATATTTATTGTGCAAAGTTGCCAGATCGAGGCTCTGCATGCTTATGGCGGAAGCGTGCAAAGAGCGAATTGGATGATTTCGCATCCCAAAGTTTCTGGAGTGTTTCCTAGACTGCAGACTCAATAATGGGATGTATTCCGGATGAACAAAATCATGGAGTAGTTTCTGTTTTACAGTTCAAAATGTATTATCTCCAATAGGAACTCTGAGAAAGTTACTGTTCTAGTGACATACAATTTGTTTATGTTAAGAATGTTATCAATGAAATAGGGTCCAAAATATGAGCTTTTTCTGTCCCTGTTAACTGGGAAGTTTGTAATTTGCCATTCAAGTGTCATTGAAAAATATTTCAAACTTTTTTGTTTGTTTGCTACATCGTTTGATTAACATACTCTTGGTGGAATCATACTGTACATTAACAGGGGTGTGAGTGACCACTGATAAAAATAGCTGAAAACAGATGGAAAAGGTGTAAAAAAAAAGAGGAAAAAAAAGATGATTTTTGGTAATCTACTTTTGTACACAGCAAGTGAGGGGAAAAAAAGCTGAAATCCAAAACAAAAACAGCTGAAATCAGCTTTAAAGCTGTGATTTCACACCCCTGCATTAATGACTGCATCAACAATTTCAAAATTATAGATGTCAGATGTGGACAGGGACTGCAGGAAAAAAGTGGACCCCAAATTTATGGCATGACCCTTATTGCCCCAATTATGATATAATAATATATATTTTATTGTCCACAATAAGCATGCGGAAATTTGCTATCCACCAGCACTGCAATTTAAAACATAGAGATAGTACATACAGGTACTTATACATTTGCAATGTTGTCCATTTGCAAATATATCAAACACTAAGTTGAACTTATCACCAACAAAAACTTAATTAACAATATGAGTAACCAATAGAAGTGAATTAATACCTTTATTTTTTTCTATATTGTATACTATAACCATAACAATAATAGTTATCATCACATCGGTTTCAATTAGTTATAGTCCCAACATGGTCCTGCAGTGTATAATAAAGATACTGGTCAATTACCATTTCCAAACTCGCAAGTTTATGAATTATTCTCTTTGCAGTTGAGTTATCATATAATACTTTAAAGGGAATATACATCATTTGCTTTTGCTGTAATTTTCAGAAATGGATGGAATGGGGGGGGGTTGGAAATATATAGCAAATATAGTTACACTGAGTTTTTTGAGGTTTTGGGTTCGAAAATGCTATAAAAAACAAGAAAAACGATCATTTTCATGTAGTCTGGTTCCCTGACTCCATATAAGAAGAAACAGAGCAGTTTACATACATTGGGGAATTGTAAGGTCAGGGAACCAGTCTAGCTGGCTCGTACCCGTTCATAGGTTTGTAATCGATTGCAAACAAGTGCGATGGTCAATTGGGGCCAGTATTTGAAAAAAAGCCAGTTGTTTCCAACGCTGATCGGCCGATCAGCGTTGGAAATTGATACAAAAATACCACTTTTCTTGAAAATGACAGTATACCAGGTGCCATGATTTTACAGGATGCTTTACACTGTCATTCACCAACAGTCCAGCAAGGTATTTCCAAATGATTTGGTAGTTTTATTTTTTGATGTTTGCAAATGTTGTATTTTCCCTTTAAGTGATTGTTACATAGTACAATTTTAGAATTGTAAAGTTATCAGCCTTTGTTAATAAAAATACCCAATGAATGACTGATTCTATAATTTATGGCAAACATCTTATGGCAAACATCGTGTTGAAAACAGTCAATAAATTCATTACATCAACATCAAAATGGATTCTGCAGTTGATCAGATGTAAAACCTCATCATGTATGCCAGTTCAATCTAGGCCATAGTCAAGCATTAAACTTGAAATTTAAAGAGTGGGCTGCTGCCTTTAAACAACCAGTAAATAAATATTGCTAATCTACATCAAAAAACAAACCAAAAAAAAACTCAATTAAAACAATAATGACACTGTCCAATCCAGAACAACATTTTATCTTGTGGAGGGAGGGGTAGGAGGACAAGAACATGGAAACATTTCCTGTGAAAGGGGTCGTGCTTACACCTGTAAGGGTTGGTCGGAAACAGAGAAAATACTGCAAGTAAAACTTGAGCAATCCCCCTGCGTCCTGGCAGTTTGTATGTACAGGCAGTTTAATTTTCAGTGAAGGCGTTGATTGTCCACCCGGCAGGTACCAGTTCTCAGTTGAATGAGGAGTTTAGGTGAGACACCCGACTAACATACATGTATGTTAGTCATTAGTAATACTGAGCTGAGCTCTCCAGAGACCTCTTAAACATCCATACTGGAAAGGATTTGTTTGTTTGGACGTCGTCCTCCTCTCCACAGACCACGGCACCTTTCAAGGTTGGTTGAGATTGATGACTGAACTTTATAGTGAAATGGAACACACACACACCGACACACAGAAGGAATACGCAATCGCAATATCCCCCACTCTGGCTTGAAAGCCAGGAGGATAAACACAGTTGCCTCCACTCATCTGGTTTCATTTTTTTTTTTACAAACGTTGGACTTTTTGGGGGGTTCAATGTCGTCCATTTTAGAAGTCAATACATCGTCCTTTTCGCTCCCAGTCCCCGTATCTGGTAGGCTCTGGCCCTTTAGGTCCCCCTCTCTCTCCAGTGACAGGGTTGATGTCATCTGGGAAGGCTTCCAAGGGCTCCTTCTCTGCATCCCGGTGTTTCTCCGCGGGGTTGTCGTGTTTGCCCACAGGGGTGTACGGTTTCTTCAGGGGTGGCTTCCCACTTCCTGGGGATGACTGGGAGTACAGTCTGTACTGCAACTGTGCACAACTTATTGATGTTACTGCTAGGTTTTGGTGGTGATGCCCAACTGCAGAACAAAAATATAAATACACAATAAGATTTTATCACATAATCAGTAATTTACCACAAAATTCATGCATGTAGTTTAATATCCAAACTAGTGGGAGTCTGGCTGTGGTGTACTAATATTTATATGGATCTTGGAAAAAAAACCATACATTTGTACTGTATGACTAGTATTACTATTAGTATGAGACAATTATCAATGAAAACAAAACATTTAATCAAAGCACAAAGAAGGCACAGCACAGATCCTTTTTGGAAAAAAATTTGCAACCTGACGCCACTTCAGCGGTTATGAACAAAGTCTATGGAGAGTCAAGAACTTTTTTTAAAGTATTTCCAAAATTGGAAATGTTTCTCAGTCCCAAATTCATGTTTTAGGCCTATCACCTTTTTTTGCAATGCATGCAATGACTGACCTTCAATTGAGATGATATATGAAGAAAAAAAGTGGCGTCAGTTTGCAACATTTTTTCCGATTTTTTTTTTTTTTAAGGTAGGTAAATAAAGTCCGAGTTATAATTCGTCATGATCGACCGATCATGCATCATCGCGCAGATCGACCGATCGCGCGTAGCCTAGCCCTAGCCGGCCGTAGCGTAGCCCCCCGTAGGAAGTTTTAGCGGGCTGAGTACAACCAACTACCAAAGCTTCTTATTGGGATTATGAACGCTGAAATATATTTTCTATAAACGTACCATCTATGAGCCTACGTTCAATACCATACTTGGCTGATACTACAGAGGTTTTTAGTGGGTTAAAACGTAGCACACGTCCAACGAAACGAGTGACCATGGGCGCCGCCATTTTGTTATGAAATTGAAAATGAATTGTGGGTAATCTTGTTAGTGAATCAACTATTTATTTCTTACAACGACATACGTAGGATAATGCTCATCAAATAAATTTTTTACTCAATTTTGAATCAAATGTATATATGCAATTGATATTAAATAATACAAATTGGAATAAAAATATTTTTTTAAATGTAATATGTGGTGTTTATATAATTACTATACTATAATATTTTGGAACTAAAAATAACTAAGTATACATTGGCGGGTCTGTTGAACTTTTGCACTGGTACTTGAGCGAGTGCAGGGAAAATGTGTCAGTCAACTCATGGAGGAAGTTGGTAATGTTATTTGTCGTCTTTTTCACAAAATATAAATTGCAAAATGCGACAGGCCTAGGTTGTAATCATAATTACCATGACTTCAGTACAGAATTCGTTTCCTTTAACATGTTTTAAAGTGCACAACAAATCAGATTCAGAATTTGAGCTTTTTTTTATTTTCGAAGTGGCTATCATTACGGCAGCCAGTGTTTAGCGCCCTCTACGATACTTTTTGGATACGCACGCAGGTATATAATTATTTGTTTCCCCACGTTTTAGCGAGCAGTGTGACAGCTCAGTCGATTAGAGGGTAGGATTTTGCACCGCGAGGCGCGAGGTTGCGGGCTCGCATCTCAGTTTTGCACTCGAATTTGTTTCCTTTTCTAACCTGAGGCTTTGGAGGAATTTTTTTTAAAGGGAAATAAAGTCCGAATTTCATAAAGTTCAAACTCACTTTTTTCCTTCTTCTACTTTTTTTCTAGTTCTAATTTTATATTTGGCAGTGGATATTTTGCCGGAGACGGCAAACCTTCAGTAAACGTTAGTTTGCCGGATATGCACTGAACATGCGCAGTTACTGTTATTATCATTGTAACCTCGTATTCACAAGATGGGATTCAGACCATTTTATAATTTCGGACTTTATTTCCCTTTTAAAAAAAATCCTCCAGAGCCACAAATCTGAAAAAGAAAATACTCTGCAATAAAATGTTTGAGACATGTTTTTAAAATAATAAAAGAAGAATATTCTTATTTATTTGGGGATGGAAAAAAAAAACTTAAAAATGTGGCGAGGATCAGGATTCGAAGTCGGGACATCCCACTCACTAGAGCAATTGCTTATCCACTGCACCGATTGTGCTACACAACTTTGGTGGGAATTTAATACATATTATAATTCAGCCCTATCTTAAAGAGTACAGCGCCCTCTGTTGATATGGATTGCCGCCGGCAAACCTTTAGTAAACGTTAGTTTGCCGGCGTTACCTCCGGCAAAATATCCACTACCTTTATATTTTCTTCTCATGTTTTTATAAAAGTTGCAGTACTACCGTAACGATAGAAAATGGGAAATGCGTTATGGCTGCCATAACGATAGCCACTGCGTGTTATTTTTGGTCGCAGTGCCCATTAGATGATGAGTGCAGTGGCTGTTGTTACTGCGATCGTGTAGTGTAGGGCCCTTGTTTAGTTTAGATCAAATTAGAGCAAAGGGTGTATTTGTATCACTAAAAAAATGACCTTTTCAACCTAAGGCCCCCCCTCCCTCCAAAAAAGTCTCCGTTTTCTGGTCTGCGCGCATATCGCGCGCTGTAGCCATGCGCATCGGCAAAATTATTTTTAAAAAATTTCAATGTAACTGTAAGATGATGTCTAAAAACCTCCAAACTCACTGGTTTGACTGGAATCCTGCTGCTGCACAATTTTAACATGTTTTTTAGATGGGGTTTAATACGATCAAGTAAACTCAGCTTTATTTAGGCCTATGTGGCCACTCTGTGCTCCCATATATGTTGCACTAAATTTAGTCGGGCACCATTCATGCCATTTGCAGATGGTGTTGTAATTTTGTTATTGTGCGTCTGGAAGCCAGACTGAGGAAGCGATGGATCGTGTATCTGGAACCTGTACCTGTAAACGCTTTTTAATTAGCGCAGTAAAAGGGGGCAGACTAATAATAACCAAAACGTCTGGCAGCACATGCACGATGTTGGTGTGGTCTGACGTTACCTGTAAGTGCTTTTTAATTAGCGCAAAATGAAAGGGAACAAACTAATGACCAGCCTGGCAGCACATACACAAAGTCGATGTGGTCTGACGTTACTGTTTTCTCTGATTTTTGTCTTGACTATCCAAATCTCCCAAAGAATGTTCATGTCGGTCAAGATCGTCAGTGGGTGCAGAATCCTCACGCAAGGCAGTCCTTCTGTTTTGAGGCGTGCGTTCACACCCCCATGCCATCACAGGCCTAAAAGCTTCCCGAGAAGTGCCAATAATCGCACGCCTGAATCCCTCAGTACATTTACAGCATAATTTTACTTCATAATTTGTGAAAAATAAAGTACGTCAGTGAAGAGAAAATGGCTTTATTGTAAACTAAGATGAATATTATGAAATATATCCCAGCTTGGACCATAGAATCACACACCTAGAAAAATCACTCGCCTAGAAAATCACACGCCTAGAAAAATCACACGCCTAGAAAAATCACACGCCTAAAAAAATCCAGGTGTGCTTTTTTCCACACACCTGTGATTTTCAAATCAGAAGGACTGTCAAGGGAAAGATTCCCATATCTGGCCATCACTAATTTTTCCCTGCAGTGACCTATCAGCTATCAGAAAGTGATATGTCCTAAAAAGTCAAAAATAGCAGGGACAATTTTGAAGCATTTACTGAGAAAACACTTAGGAATTTTCAGACCAGTATCATAGGGTTTGTGCACAGGTTGACAAGTGATGGCCAGATATGGGAATCTTTCCATCTCAAGCCTATTATGGCTTTACTGAGGTCACCTCTAGCTCCACCCTGATGTGATTTTCAACAGCTATAATTATGTGCCTATCAAATGGTCCCTTTAAAGCTACAGTCCATCATTTGCAGCTATCCAAAAAGTAACTGACGTAATTATTGTTGAAAAACATACTTGGTTGAAAGATAGTAAGGGGACTAAACTCCCTGTGAAATTATTCTTTCTGGCAAGCTGTCATTTTGAAGAAATCAACGAAAGAAGGCCTTTCCAAGACGCACCTTTGGAAATTTCCGTTAGTAGTTCGTTTTTTTTATTCGGTTGACACGACGCACTGGCGCGTGCGGTTGCTATAATTCATCAGATCAGTGTCCGGCATCGCATAGCTGCAAACGGCTCAGTGAGAACGTGTCTCGGATGCTGAATTCAGGCCCAATTCAAAACATGATTCAGCAACTTTTGATTTGAAATCCAGATCCTAGAATGCTGTTTTTTTCGAAATATACAGCTGAAGCTGAGCTGAAACTTCATCAGGTTAGTTGTTCAGCACCCTTCTTTAGATTTTGAGCACGTTTGTTGCTTCCAACGAACAAAATGCACAAATTACAAATGATGGACTATACCTTTAAGGATATGAGTAACGAAGGGACTTTAAAGGATACAAAGGGAGTCCATTAATTATCTTGGCCACAGAATGGGGCTACTGTAATGATAGCCAAAATCCTTTTTTTGTTTTTTAGCTTTAGCCCTTGCTTAAAGTCACCTAACATATTGGCAGATTTATGGTGGTTAGGATTCAGGAATTTTTTTTTTTTTTTTTTTACTCCAGGCCTGTTTAGTTGACAACTTTTATTTGAAATCCATTCGTCATGAGTAAGAAGAAGAGCAAACACCACGCGTCTCAGAGTCTGTCACCAGATGTCTTGGAAGCTAGGGAGATCTCCTTCACCAACTTGTTGCTTCTTGGGTTCGAGCCCGTAGAGGCAGAGAGGAGACATGCTATTCCATTCAACAGGTTTGTACACGTAGCAGTCTAGGTCCTAGACTGGATACCTCACACTTGCGCATTAGCTCGAATATGACACACATGAGGTATCATCAGAATTTTCATGGGTCTGAGTGGCAAAGTTTCCAAGACTGAATTTGATTCGTCTTGGCGTAAGCATTCTCCAGTGGTAGAGTCTTGACCCTGCTTTTCAGGGTCCGACTGTAGTTTGTAATTGTAGTCAATTGAATGAATCCGGACGCAAGGTGTAAAGTAGTCTTGGCCAAGACATCAGTGATGAAGAGTGATAGTTGCACTGTTGTATAGCGCCCTTGCATGATTGGTCATTTCTTGGTCATTTCGTAGCAATGGGGGAGGGGCCATTTTATGTAAATAAGACCCTCTGTATAAATTCAAATACATTTCCTTTTTCATAGCTCCATTGATCACCGCACGTATAGCGCGTATGTTTACAACCGTCAGGTGAGCCATTGAAACTTTTCTCGATCGCTGATTGGTCCCCTAGGAAAGCGATGATGCTTGATCACGTATCGCACGTAGTGCGTATGTTTACAACCGTTGGGCGAGCCATTGAACCTTTTCTTGATCGCTGATTGGTTCCCTAGGAAAGCCTAGGGAGAAAATAAAGAAAAAATTAAACTGCTGAAATGAAATGGCCAAGATGTTAGTGCAAGTAGGCCCACTGGTCTAATTGTTGTGCCATTAGAGGGCACACACATTGAGGCTACATGGCAAAAGTGTGTTGCTGATTTAGGAGGATGCACTGTGCCAAGGTCTTGGGCCGGACCTTGTGTTGTTTATGCTCAGCTGTGCATACATTTAGGCCTATATACTTCTCCGCACCGCTCCAGGATGTCACTGGCTCTGCCTCAGCATATTGACAGTGATTGCTGGAGGATTTTGCAGGATTGAGGCAGTGGTTACCCCTCCAAGGACCACATTCAAGAAAAAAACAGGATTTTGCAGGATTGAGGCTGTATGCTATTTTTACATGGAGGCAGTTGGAGGATTTTGCAGGATTGAGGTTACATCCTAGCAAAAAGGCCTAGGGAGTAATGATGAATAAAGATCATAATTATGATTCAGCATTTGAGATGATGCATAGAAAATAATGTCTCTTTATTACTGTTTCAGGGATATGTTTGCTCTCCCGAACAAGAAAGCGTTTGAAGTCATCATGCATTTCTTGTTTGAGAGACTGAACCCAGCCAAGGCGCACGACAAATTCAGGTGAGTTGTCTTAAGCTTGAGACGATCCACTGATTTCTAACTTTACCGGGAAAAAAAAATGGAATCAACAGAATGTAACTTTTCAATGTCAAGGACAACACATGACATCATTTTCTGTTCTTTTTTTGGTTGTTTGTAGGGACTGCAAACTTGAATCCTCGATCCTGATTGGTCGATCCATGGCAACAAGCCGTGCTACATATAACCATACCGCACGGCCACGGTCCACACCGCACTCTGCGTATTGCGCTATTCCAAGATTCGAGCGACATTCCAGCTGCATACGCTAAGCTGCTGAATGTCCTTGTAAAGCGTGCTAGTTCCAACTGTACTGCGCGTCAAGTTTGCTTGAAGATAAATTCGTTATCGCGCTCGCGCTCGTGGAACACGGAAAATGTAGTTCCACTCGCGCTCGCAAGATAACTAATAATATCATTTTCTGTTCTTTTTTTGGTTGTTTGTAGGGACTGCTGGCCCATCTGTGACAAGAAACATGAGCAAGCCTTCCGAAAGACGGTCAGCAACCAGCTCTCCGAGATTGCAGCTGTAAGTGAATATGAACTTCATATATTTCTTCATTAACCCTAACCCCCAACAGGCACCCTGGCACTTGCAACAAAATGCAACTCGTCTGAAATATAACCCTGGTAAATGCAACAAATTGCAACAGTGGATTCTGCTGCATTGTGCAGTGAACCCAGTGCACACCAGTCTTGGCACCAAGCAGTTACCCTGCTAAATGCAACATAATGCATCAGTGGATTATGTTGTAGCACCTTGGTACTATGAGCAGTTATCCTGCTAAATGCAACAAGATGCAACAAGCACAGGGAGTTAGGTCGCCTGCTAAATGCAACAGTATGTAACAACTTTTGACCTTTGTTGCTTTCTGTTGCATTTAGCAGGGTTTGGGTTAAACAATTTATTTTTCAAAAAAGAAGTAGTGTGTATATCCAGATATATTGTCTCCCCATAGTCAGAGATGGTTACATGTAGTTTGTTGTAGTCTGAGATGGTTACATGTAGTTTGTCCTATTGTGCTTGTGTTTTAATAAGGGAATAAATATGTGTTTTGGAGGTGTTAAACACTACGTTTAAATTTAAAACTTGTTGGAGTCTGGAATGCTGATAATTACCCGAAGCGAAGCCGAGTGTAATTGTCAGCATTCCAGACTAATAAAAAATTGAAATGCCAACCTTATGTGCACCCAAATATTTAGGGTCGGACAATTTTTTTTGGGGGGGGGGGCCAATCATTATATAGTTTTGTCATGTGATCATGGGTTTTGTTGTTACAGTCATGTGGTTGCTAAGGGCGATTTCAAATGGCTACGTAACACTTCATTTTGAATGAAACTACATGTGCACACACATGTTCACGTTGGCGGGCGAAATCTTTGAAAATTAATTTCTCCCGTTCGGAAGACCGTATATCTTCATGCAACTTTCAGCGTTTACTTCCTTCATAATGATCAAAGTGTGTGCTAAAAACCGTTGTGATGTGTTCATTACTTTTCGTTAAAATTGGAAAAATAGGCCTGGCTACGTGCACTTTTGAAAGTTGGTAGACTAGCGTTTGCAATATCTGTCAATCTTTTCAAGACTCACAGATATTAATAAGGTTCCTATTCATTATGGTATGCAGTATAAATTTGGAGAAAAGCCTGCTTCACGAGTTATTAATTAATTAAAATATCACCCTTTTCGCCGGCTTGCATTGGTTGATACCGAGACCCATGCCAAGTGACACGCAGTGATGCTAATGAATATGCTAATCTACCATACTCAGTCAACTGTAGCGCCTATGGCGCTTTGCTGAACAGTGCACGTCAGTTGTGCCAACAGAAAATCCTCATCAAAATTTTCCATGGAGATAGTTCTAGTTGATATACTAGCGTTTGCAACGACAGATTAAGCTGAAATTCAGAATACATTTGTGTACATGTATTTTTAGATGATATAAGTGTTGAACTACTCGTGAAATAACAAACTTGGAGAGAGTCCTAGAAATTGAGGCTAGTACATGTACATGCATTTGGGGAAGTTTTCGAACAATGTCTTCCAGACTTGAAGGTCAGCTTTACCAGTAACGAGTATTGACGTTTCGGCATCGATGACCGAAATTTGTTTTTTTCACTGACATGAAGTTTAGAATGTAACCTTCCATTATAATTTAACATTTCAATCATACTGGGCATATTTACTGAGAAAACGTTCAAAAGGCCATGTTTTTTTGGGGTGCATGGATTTCACTGCTCTATTATAGCAGTGCCACTCGGAATACTGACTGCTCTATTACCTAAGTACGTAATTGGGATTAGCTTTGCCTAACAATGCCAGAAGCTTTGCCCTAGCAACCACGTGATTGGTTAGAAAGGAGTTATCTGATTGCTGATAATAAAGCTGTGTTTTAAAAATGAAACCTCGTGATTGTTTCTGGCGAAAGGAGGAATTTTGTACACCACTGTAAAATGATATCAAATGTCACAAAAAATAACAGTTACTCATAAATGAGTCATCATTCCTCCCGCTTTTATCAGTTGATAGGGAGATAGTAACAAACAGAGTGAAAGCGACTTCAATTACTGCCGGAAATTGATGTGCACAATTTGGTAATGGACGCCAGAATTTACATCAGAGAAATGAACTTTCGAGCGACAATCTGGTATCACCTACAAGGACCTTATGCATTTTAGCCATTTTGCTAATGGACAATTTGCCCCATCAGTCAGTTACTTTCCTTACTTACCTTGAAAAGTTAATCAGAGAATAATAGGGATAAAGCTGTGCCACTTAATGGAGGAAGTGCCTGATTGATAGCACGTCATGTTGGAGAGCTGTAAGAGGCCAATAAATCCATTAGCCAGGCACAATTTCATTCAGTGACTCCATCATCAGTCAACTTGGGAACACTGATTTTCTGACGGCGACAGTTGCTGATGCAGCATCACGCAGATAGATGTGATATTGTCACTGTGTGAATTGGACAATTTGCCTGGCAACATACGATGAGCCTAGGCAAGCGGGACACTTTCACTGCAAGGAGGATACAATAGGAAGGATGAAGAGTTCAAACTAAAGCTGACTTATGTCGACATCTTGCAGATTTGCAGATGCGAAAAGCTTGCTGAATTCGTACAGCGTCAGCAAACAAAATACCTAGCCCATCTCGTCAGACAACCAAATGCTTACCTCACCAAGCATCTCTTGTTCAATGAGGACACGAAGCGGAAATCTGGCAACCGGTTACCTACTCTCCTGCAGCAAGTAGTCAATATCCATGCCAACACCACTGACGAATTCTTCAAGCGAGCGCTTTGGAGGGAATACTGAAGGTTTTTTTACGTTGGGCATGAAACTGACTCTCCATGCCCACTCAACAGCTGCTGTATGCAGCTAGAGTTAAACTTAAATGAATGAATGATGAACTTTCACAACAATTGGAAGCAGTCCATGAGATAAACCGTCGCAAACTGGCGCAATTTTTCTCGCCCAACATTTTTGTTACACTAGGGTTTGACATCTACAAGTTTGTTGAGTTTTAAACTTGCACTGGAGAGTACGAGTGATTATAGCATGTAATAAGTGGAAGTCATTTCTCCAATCCACAGTTATCGGAAACTAACAACTGATTGGAAGAACATGATCAGGGGCCAAGCAGGTTAACAACTTGGCTCTCATCTTCACGCGGAGATTAAACAGTAAAGATTTTCATTTCTACTTGTGCTGTTTGGAGGCATCAGAATGAACAGTTCGTCCACAGAGCCCTCCGAGCTGTCGCCGGTTCTGGTTGCTCTGCGCACCACTTTTATCATCTGTCTCGGAGTTCTGATCATAGCTGGCAATCTCCTTTCCATTGCCGTTACTCGCCACGTCTCCGACTTGGCAGAGAGTACCAAGGTCTTGATGATAACTCTAGCAGTTTCGGACCTCTTTATTGGCTTCTCGACAGCTTTCGGCGTCGTGGCTTCGGCTATGGACAGATGGCCCTTCGGCCGAATCTGCTGCCAACTAATGCCAGTCGTACAGATGGTAGTTTCCTTCATGTCTGTGTTTTCGGTGGTCCTTCTAAACCTCGAGCGATATATCGCTGTCACCCGGCCATTCAAGTACCCAATCTGGTGCAGCCGACACCGCATTCTTGCACTAGTACTCGTGTTCTTGGTGTTGTCTGTGTTTAACTCCATAAGTCTCCAGTTCATATTTGAGATACCTTCAGAGTATTTGGATTCCTCAGCTGTCTGTTTTCTCAGAATGACAAGTAAATATGGAGGTGTCATATTCCTGATAGTCCTGGTTATATTGCCTGTGTCCATTATGATCCGTGTTTATCACCGCTTGATTAAAATCAGCCGAGAGCAAGCCCGGCGAATCGACCCCAACCGTCGGAACGCGAACCCGAGCTTTTACGACAATCGAGCCCTGAAGGCCTTCCTGGTTGTCACCCTTACACTAGCCGGATGTTTCACGCCATTGATGCTGTGCAGATCTGTGGAATCCTTGGCGGGGGTCGCTCTTCCCGGCTGGCTGGAATTCTCGGCGGTGTGGCTGGTCTACTGCAACAGCGCCCTCAATGTCTTCATTTACTGTCTCTTCAAACAGTCGTACCGTCGCCGGGCTATGGGGATTGTCTCAAAGCGATTGCTGTGTTGCAGAAATTCTGTTGAACCTGTGGATATCTGAGGCGTTCATAACGCAATCGCAACTGATACATAGGCTGTGGGATTGACGTGCAATTTAGATGTTGCGACTATTATGTTGCAAATCAGTTGGATTTTTCCTAGCACTTTCTTATTTACTACATGTATTCCAAACACTATTTATAATACTCTTCATATTAACGTCTCCTGAAAGTCCTGATATAATAGTATTTATTGGCAACTATCAACATTTCAATGACATATCAAAGGAGGCTTGCCATGTTTGACTTTTTCATCCCCATCGTCGTTCCTCCGCGAGGGGATGATGACTTGATAAACTTGACTCAGCATTCCTTGATCAACACACCCTGGAAATTCCCACTTCTGTAGTAAAATATCTATTTCGTGATAACCTTAGTGTAGTTCTATGTATTCACCTGTAGAAATCAAGGGCGGATCCAGAACACAATTTGGGGGGGGGGCCAAAAAAAAAAATTTGATCCTCAGAAAGTGTGTCCAAACAAATCACGGCGTGGAGTTCGGGGCCTGCGTAAGGGCCCCGAAATTTTTTTGGATTCTAGATGCTCTGTGGTGCGATCTGAGGCAATTTCTGACCCCTTTAACCAAGTGTAAAAAACCATCAGTGTAGGGGTACTGTACCTATCCCAACAGATTTAAACAAAACCTGCTGTTGAACTTTGATGGGTTGAGTTCGGTTAGGGTTAATGCATACTTACAATATTTCAAACTTTTATTTGGGGTATTTTGTCACTTCCCAAAACATACATGTATACATGAAATGTGATTATTTAAAATAAAAAAAAAATAAAAAATAAAAAAATTGAAATGCCAACCCTATGTCCACCCAAATATTTAGGGTTGGTCAAGTGGGGTTTTTTTTTTTGGGGGGGGGCACAATCATTAACAAAATGTGTCATGTGATCATGGGTTTTGTTGTTAGAAAGGAGTTATCTGATTGCTGATGATAAAGCTGTTTTTTAAAATGAAACCTCATGATTGTTTCCGGCAAAAGGAGGAATTTTGTACACCACTGTAAAATAATTCAAATGTCACAAAAATAACTTTCTGATCAACAGTCACTCATAAATAAGTCATCATTTCTTCCCGCTTTTATCAGTTGATAGGGAGACAGATACAAACTTAGAGAATGAACTTAAATCATTTCCTGAAATTGTTGTGTACAAACAACAATCTGGTGTTATACCTACTGGGACATTATGCATTAGGGCAATCTCACTGTCACTCACGTTACATTTATATGCCGTGAGGCTGCTTTGATCTCTCACTGCTTCAAAGTATTTGATCAAGCTGAATCAAACCAGCCATACAACAACCTTGGGGTAAGGGGAACTCAAACATGGAGAGAAAAATTCAATCCATTCATTCACTTTATGAAAACATGTGTTTAGTTGGTCGTCCCTCACGTTACAAAAAAAGGACATGGAAAATCGTCCTGCAATTTTGCTACAGTCTTCTCACACTGTAGTCTGCGACGCAGAAGTAACATTAATTTACCTTTCATTCAAACCATAGCTAGATATAAAAACCCATTTTGAATCAAATAAGTGTGTATTTTAGACGCAAGGGACGTAAGATTACAGGGAGGTGCCGTCACTCACGTTACGTCACTCATGTTATGTCACTCATGTTGCTTCCTCTTCATGGTTTCTAACGGCATAAAATCTGAGTTTGATGAACTGCAACATAATGAAACTCATTTCTTATAATACATGAACCTTTCTCTCTTCCTTAAACACAAAAAAACTCTCAATAACAGTTACATTTTGCATGTTAAAACAAGGTGCCAAAATGACAACCAAAAATTCATGATTTTAGCCCAAAAAACCCATGTTTTTTACCTTAAACCACACTGAACTACATTCCATCACGGATCCTACACACCAGGATAAACGACTGTTCTGAGCTCCAGTACAAAATGCACTGAGCGGACTTGCCTTAATTGGTTAGACGCGTGATAACGGGCATTAATACCCGTTGGCTTGCAATCGCGAATTTTATAGGTGTGCCATTGTGTCCTTTTTTTGCATGACATCTTACGTGTCTTAAACGGAAATATTCATAAAACTGTATGCAAAACTACTCATTATGTACTGTAGGACATAATTCTTCCAAAATTGTTAAGAAATAAATACTTCAGGGTATAACAGATGGTATTGTGCAGTTTTTTTTGTCATAGATGACGTATTTTTAATACCCGGAAAATAAATGTCAAATTTCGAGGAGAACACCGTTTACCCAAATTTGGTTTTTAATTAGGCTTTCATTAAGAAGTTTGAGACAGATTTGTTCCCGAACCGATGAAACAGAAGCGACATTTCATTGTTCATTTTAAAGCTTAAGATATTGTGCTCGGTATTAACATGGTTATACAGTTATCACTTATCAGAATTCAATAATAAAGACCAAAAACGTAGACTCATGAATATTCAAACATATAATTAGCTGGCTTGACAGACTTCGACACCAGATCGGGCGCAGAGCCATGCAAATCTGAAAGCCACCGCGCGCAGGGGTCTTTGTTGACAAGTACCCATGGCATTTAATTGCCACCAGTACGGGCTGTTATCACACATCTAACCAGGAGGTTGGCCAAGTCGTTGATCCTGGCGTGTAGGATCTGAGATTCCATCTCATCACTCAAATGAAAGATCTTGTTGTCCCCTTTAATTTGACACTACATTTGATGTTACGATCCTTGTAGTTTGGAAGATATAACACATTTTCCATTTTTCAGCCATATCCACTTTTCCATGGAATTGCATATTAGTCATTTTGCTAACGGACAATTTGCCATCAGTCAGTTACTTTCCTTGAAGAGATAATCAGAGGATAATAGATAAAAAGCTGTGTCACTTAAATGGAGGAAGTGCTTGATTGATAGCATGTCATGTTGGAGCTGTAAGAGGCCAATAAATCCATTAGCCAGGCACAATTTCGTTCAGTGACTCCATCAACAGTCAACTTGGGAACACTGATTGTCTGACGGCGACAGTTGCTGATGCAGCATCACGCAGATAGATGTGATATTGTCACTGTGTGAATTGGACAATTTGCCCGGCAGCGTACGAGGAGCCTAGACAAGTGGGACACTTTCACTGCAAGGAGGATACAAAAGGAAGGATGACGAGTTCAAACTAAAGCTGACTTATGTCGACATCTTGCGGATTTGCAGATGCGAAAAGCTTGCTGAATTCGTACAGCGTCAGCAAACAAAGTACCTAGCTCATCTTGTCAGACGACCAAACACTTAATGTACCTCACCAAGCGTCTCTTGTTCAATGAGGACAAGAAGCGGAAATCTGGCAACCGGTTACCTACTCTCCTGCAGCAAGTAGTCAATATCCATGCCAACACCACTGACGAATTCTTCAAGCGAGCGCTTCGGAGGGAATACTGAAGGTTTTTTATGTTGGGCATTGGGCTGACTCTCCATGCCCGCTCAACAGCTGCTGTATGCAGCTAGAGTTAAACTTAAATGAATGAATGATGAACTTTCACTACAATTGGAAGCAGTCCATGAGATAAAGAAGTCGCAAACAGGCGCAATTTTTCTCGCCCAACATTTGTGTTACACTAGGGTTTGACATTTACAAGTTGGTTGAGTTTTAAAGTCATTTTTCCAATCTACAGTTATCGGAAACTTACAACTGATTGGAAGAACATGATCAGGGGCCAAGCAGGTTAACAACTTGTCTCTCATCTTCATGCGGAGATTAAACAGTAAAGATTTTCATTTCTACTTGTGCTGTTTAGAGGCATCAGAATGAACAGTTCGTCTACAGAGCCCTCCGAGCTGTCGCCGGTTCTGGTTGCTCTCCGCACCACTTTTATCATCTGTCTCGGAGTTCTGATCATAGCTGGCAATCTCCTTTCCATTGCCGTTACTCGCCACGTCACCGACTTGGCAGAGAGCACCAAAGTCTTGATGATAACTCTAGCAGTTTCGGACCTCTTCATTGGCTTCTCGACAGCTTTCGGCGTCGTGGCTTCGGCTGTGGATAGATGGCCCTTCGGCCGAATCTGCTGCCAACTAATGCCAGTCGTACAGATGGTAGTTTCCTTCATGTCCGTATTTTCGGTGGTCCTTCTAAACCTCGAGCGATATATCGCTGTCACCCGGCCATTCCAGTTCCCAGTCTGGTGCAGCCGACACCGCATTCTTGCACTAGTACTCGTGTTCTTGGTGTTGTCTGTGTTTAACTCCATAAGTATCCAGTTCATATTTGAGATACCTTCAGAGTATTTGGATTCCTCAGCTGTCTGTTTTCTCAGAATGACAAGTAAATATGGAGGTGTCATATTCCTGATAGTCCTGGTTATATTGCCTGTGTCCATTATGATCCGTGTTTATTACCGCTTGATTAAGATCAGCCGAGAGCAAGCCCGGCGAATCGACCCCAACCGTCGGAATGCGAACCCGAGCTTTTACGACAATCGAGCCCTGAAGGCCTTCCTGGTTGTCACCCTTACACTAGCCGGATGTTTTACGCCAGTGATGCTGTGCAGATCTGTGGAATCCTTGGCAGGGGTTGCTCTTCCCGGCTGGCTGGAATTCGTGGCGGTGTGGCTGGTCTACTGCAACAGCGCCCTCAATGTCTTCATTTACTGTCTCTTCAAACAGTCGTACCGTCGCAGGGCTATGGAGATTGTCTCAAAGCGATTGCTGTGTTGCAGAAATTCTGTTGAACCTTTGGATATCTGAGGCGTTCACAACACAATCGCAACTGACACATAGGCTGTGGGATTGACGTGCAATTTAGATGTTGCGACTATTATGTTGCAAATCAGTTGTTTTTTTCCTAGCACTTTCTTATTTACTACATGTATTCCAAACACTATTTATAATACTCTTCATATTAACGACTCCAGATATAATACTTTTTATTGGCAACCATCAACATTTCAATGACATATCAACAAAGGAGGCTTGCCATGTTTGACTTGTTCATCCCCATCGTTGTTCATCCGTGAGGGGATGATGACTTGATAAACTTGACTCAGCATTCCTTGATCAACACACCCTGGAAATTCCTACTTCTGGAGTAAAATATCTATTTCGCGATAACCTTGTGTAGTTCTATGTATTCACTTGTAGAAATCAAGGGCGGATCCAGAACACAATTTGGGGGGGGGGGGGCCCAAAAAAAATTTGATCCTCAG